CATGAGGACAGCAGAGGATGTACTTCCTGCGGCAGCTGAAGAAGTTCAACCTGCCAAAGGTTGACTTCTACACTGCCATCATTGAGTCCATCCTCTCCTCCTCCATCACAGTCTGGTATGCTGCAGCCACAGCAAAGGACAAGTGCAGCCTGCAGCGCATCAGCCGCTCTGCTGAGAAGGTGATTGGCTGCAACCTGTCATCTCTCCACGACCTGTACACCTCCAGGACCCTGAGGCGCAGGTAAGATTGTGGCTGACCCCTCTCACCCCGCACATGGACTGTTTGAGACTCTCCCCTCTGGCAAGAGGCTGCGGTCCATCAAGACCAAAACCTCTCCCCACAAGAACAGTTTCTTCCCCTCTGCTGTCCCAGCCCAGACTCTCATCAGCCCCACAGTCAGAAAACATTAAAATAATGTGAAGGCTGAATCTGCTTTTAAGCGTTACGTTAACGCTCACCAGACTTTAAATTCATTTTCTTTACATGCATTCTGAGTATATTTATATACACTTTAAGATTGTTTCATTGTCAACTGCACAGCTCCTTTATTGCACATGTCGTACTTTTTGTTTCTTATATTTTTACATTTTCAAATTGTATATTATATATATTTGTAATTGCTTCTTATATTTTATTATTTAAGTTCTTGCTATTTTTGCTCTATTTCCTTTGTTAACTGTTTTTGCACCAATACACCAAGACAAATTCCTTATATTGTAAATGTACTTGGTAATAAAACCCGATTCTGATTCTGAGCTGTTAGTGGGGACTGCAAAAAGCAGACATTGGAGATTCAATATACATCTTTTGAGAAATGAGAAATTTACGTCATATCTGACTTAAATATTCCCATTTTCTTCAATAAGTATTGGTTTCTGTATTATTATTAATATCAACTAATAAAGCTTTAACTTCCTCCACATTTTTGTGGTTTTAAATTCATATCGATCACAAAATGGTCTATTAAGAGAGAAGCTGATATTGAAACATCTGTAACATAAGCAATGATTTCTGGATTACTTTGCTAAAGAAATTCTAGATCTTGGTCTTCCACTGGGGTTTATCCAAGAAATGTGTCTTGTATGTGGGATTTTCTCTCTCCATACATCAATAAAAAAGTTACGACAGTTATGTCATTCATCATCTCTCTGTTGTGGTTGAAATCTTTGTAATTAGATGGACAGATATCCAACCACTCATCTGGCACCATATTAAAACCTCCACCTATCAAGGGAAAATGACGTCTGCCTATATTTAGTAATTATTTCTGAGAGATTCCAATACTAATTTGTTTTTAGCTATATTGTTATAACCAGATATTGATCAAGATTGATACACATACACATGAATGATATGTGAAGATATGTGAATATGAACTGCGCTTTGAGTCCTTTACAAAATAAGAAAGCAGCCTTTGGCTTTGTGTTGTCGTTTAGACCTCTGGCATTTTAAGAAGAAAAATACATCTCTGACTTTAACAAAAACACAAATTATATAAAGTAAATTTCTTTCTAATGGTTTGTTTTTTGCAAATCCTTGCGTGACTCAGACTCCTTTGTCATTCTACATATTCCATTGCGATGTTGGCGCTTGACAAACTGAATAATGACTGTTGTCTTCTCCTTTTTTTGACCCGATGAACTGTGTCCACTATCTTCCATCTTTTGAGGCCCACATTGGCGCAATCTTTTGAAGCAGGTTAATAACCTCTCTGTTTTCATTTAGCTTATCTTTCATGCCTTTTATTCTCAGGTTCTATCACCTGCTGTATTTTCCATGGTCACATGCTCTCTCTTTAAGGACGCGTTTTTCTTTTTGCTGCCACTTCCCTTCTAACTCAGAAACTTTACTTTTGCAATCTTTGAGTTCATCCACATTCAATTCCAGCGCTGTAGCCAGGCTGCAAATCATTGTACTGTCCTCCTTAATCTTAGCACTGATGTCTTCAAGTTAATTCTATTCTTGTTTGGTACACAATGTGTTTGTGGCAGCTATTATGGATTCACAAGGATTCCATGTTAAGTCTTACTCACTTCCTCACATGGGAGCCTTGTGTTGTTGTGTTTACTGGGAAATCATCGAGCACTTCAATGTTTCTTCTATCAGGCCCCACATTAGTAGCTTCCATTGTTGTAGTCTTCTTGTAGAAGCGCATGCTTTGTTGTTCGTTGTCATTTCTTATTCTTTTTAGAAAAAAAATTGGTTTCTTTTCTTTGTCAGGCTTTTAAAATCATAATCCAAAACAAATGTGAAGAAAAAACAAAACGCTTTTAAAAACTTTTGAGGAACTTTAGTGTGCGCTCTGAAAACTACGTCCGCTCAGTCCGCCATCTTGCTGGCCCCCCAACAGAAAGTGAACTAAAGAAAGTGAGATAGGTGAAGAAGGGAAGTGAAAGATAACAAAATAGTGATCTTTATAGTTATACTTTGTAATTTATTGTAAGAAAGGCTAGAGGCAGAACAAAAGTAATCTCCATGTATAAACGGTAGCACTGAGTGGACACAACATTTAACAAACAGATAGACAGGTGCGTTGCTTTGGATAAAAGCGTCTGCTAAATGAATTGTAGAATTGTCTATGTGTATTTTTATTCGTACGGAGCAGCAGACAACAAGGATTTTTTGTACATGTCAGTTTAATTTCAGAATAAATCTAACTTAACAACTGTAGTACTATTTCAATTCCACCTTTTTTAAATGTATTTTCACATTTGTATGTATTTTCACAATTGAGTAAAATAGGCGATTTTAAATAATATATACATTTTTTAATATTTATTCACACATTTAAACTGCAGCTTGTGGTAAGTGATACTCTTGGGCGGTGTGAAAAAAGTAGTTCATTCACAGGGTGTTGAAGACAGTGAATGAACATATCTCTAGAGTTCATTCTCAACGGTTCTGTTGCTGCTTTTGGCAGTGCTCAGTTGAACATCTTCGAGAGACAGGTAAATGTGCAATTTTACTTCTCTTACTATATGTTAATGTGAGTTTTCTGTTTGTGTAATGTTAAAATGTTGTGAATATTTGCCAATCCGAACTTGCTAAAGAGGTGAGAGTAATACGTACATATATGTACTTGCTCATTTGATGGTTGATTAGCTTAACTTTAGATGCAGGGGGGTTACATAAATCCAAAGTGTCATAATTAACAATTTTTCCGAGCGATTGATTGAGATAGTCATTTAAAAAATTATGTCTAATTTTGGTTGTTAATTATTTTCCTGTTTTACATTTATTGTAATTAGATGGCGGAGCAGATTCTCACTTCTAAGCCAACAGAGCATGGATGACTGTGATCAAGGAGTATGAAGACACAAAGTTTGAAAGATTCAACCAGCGATAAAAGATGCATGCATGTTCCTGTATATGATGGAAGGTTTTCACACGGTGTTTGCACTTGATGTGTTCTCTCAGAATAGTTTTTGCAATTAATATGGATTAGAGTTAAATTTATATTTGGTATGTTGAAATGTTGTATCACCTATTTTTTAATTGTGATTTTCATTCAATCACACTGTTTACCACTTTGAAGCTGTCATTGTTAACAGTGTAGTTAACTGGTAAGTTCCTTCAACATGTTTTACTGTTACTTTAAATATGCTCACTGTTATTAATAAATTACTTTACTATACTACTAAGTATAAGTTGGTTATCAACTATCTATGAAGAGCTGTTAACACAATGTCTGGATGTGTTAAATAAATGAGGCATTGAAGTAATTTAAATCGTGTTTGAGTTTTGTATTCATTTTCTCAGGGAAAAAACGTTTTTGGTGTTTTGAAATATTAACTCTGTAAGTGCTAAATGCAACACAATATGAAGTGTTGACTTTTAACACTGGGTTTACATAAGTTTAACTAAAGATGAGAATACATTTTTCTCTGAATGAGAGTAGTAGTTTAACTCCCATAAGAGTTCAGTTTTAACTCCTGATAAGTGTTAAAATATCAACTCCCTGAAAATAGTTACTTTAACTAAGGCCAAGAGTGTATTCGATGGTCTCAGATGTACACTCATATTGAGTTGATCTTGAGAAGACTCAGACCTGGATCCCTGAGACATTTCACAGTGTGAAGATGTATTTTTAAGTAGTATTGAAGATATTGAAATCAATAAAATAACGCTACTTTTAAATGTACATGTAATTGTATGCGTGGCCATTTGTCCACCAAGGAGTGGATTTTGTGCTAAACAAATGCTTGCAATGGATTCAGAATCCTGAAAAACCCCTAGTTTGACCCCTCACAAGCTACCTAATAAGGCTAACATTTTCAATTTTTCAACACTAAGGTTCTGGTACCCCAACTTTGAGCAGCTCTCAGACTTCCCTACATGAGTTGAATTTCAATCTTTTTATATAAATTATAAGACACCTTTATAAAGACAATTCTTGGTGAGGAATTTATTCCCAGATGTTTGCAATCTGCCCTTACTAGATGAATGAGAGATATTGTTTGACTGAACATTGTTGTTTCAGGAGTGTGTGGGCTTTTTCATACTGACTTACTGACAGTAAGCCAAGCAGTTAATAGAGAATAATTTCACGGCTGGTATAGATTTTGCTCTATTTTCTTAAATGGGAATGGAATGCCTGAAAGCAAAGGATTTACAAGACCGGTGGGAAAGTAATTGTAGAAATTAATAATGTGATAGCTTACTGCAGGCTGTTTTTTTGTAAGACTCCTGCATAATTTTTGCTTTAAGAACCAAATTTGTGTATACATTTTAAAATCATATAATCACGCCTCCTTCCTAATAAAAAACTTTGAAGCTCTTGCCAGAGATTGCTCTTGTAATTTGTCTTTTGCTGTGACTTTCTAAAATAACTGCTGTTTGTATACATATAATGTAGTCTGTTGAAAAGTGGGCTTTCATTTCAAAGACTTCTGAATGAATTTAAGTCTGTTAAAACACTACAATGAAACTCCAGTTCATCTCATACCCAACAATGATTGCTTGTGCAAATGTTTTTGCATGTCTGGGTCCACTCTCACAGGTTTGTGTGGAAGACCACTGACTGGGGGGAATGTCGCATTCTCCCTTTATTGAGCCAGTGGGACCGCCGGCTGGGTAACATCAGTATTCTATGTGGAGGGGGTATCCAGAGCAGGAGGACATACTGTGTTCAAGTCTCTGATGAATCAGCTGCACATAACAGGAAGGAGGGTAAGAATAACTCATCTCCATCACAGCTGTTCCAGACTCATGAGATACACTCTAAATTGATAGTAGATTAATTCCTGCATTATTGAAGTGAGAGTTAGTAACAGACATATGTTGGCTTTGTAAACTGTGTTTTCAAAGGCTTTAATTGGCTAAGATGTAGCTAAGCCCATGAACAGCCTGGATCCCTTCTTTGCGAAATAGCTAATTTAGCACCGTAGATTAAAAAAATATATATATACCTTTTGTGACAGCACCAGACTTTTTTAATCCTCAGATTCATATTTTTTATACATCCTATTTATTTTCAAAACCAGCAAACCCCAATTCATTTTGAAATTAGACTGATAGCAATTTTTCACAAATGGTTGTATAAAAACATTTAGCAAAATTACCTTATTGGTTGTTTTTTCAATTTATTAAAAAACTGAAATAGTAAAAAAATTAGGACTTCTCCAAAAGGGACAACTCTTGCCCTATCATGTGTTTCTCTGTAATTCAAGATCATAATATCCCCAAATGTGGACTGGATGTTCACAGACAGGTCTTTGAATCACGAAACTTGAAGGACAAAGATCATGAGTCATTATATATATAGTGTGTACCTCGGAATGAACTGCAAAGCTTTAGGTAATGTAAACATTTATGGCTGTATACCTGCAATTTTACGAGCTTCTGGTCAAGTGGAAAACAATATCCAATATAGAAATAGAAAAATACAATAAATTAAAATGGAAGGATAAAAAAGTCTTCAAAAAGCATTTTATTAATATGTTTAAGAGTTTGTCTTGTGGACATAAACTACCATAGAAAACCTTGTAAATTACTTATGGTAGCAAGCCGATGACACAATGGACATTAGGTGAATTTCTTTTTGGTTTCATTAAAATGGAAATTCGCCACTCATAGACTGACAGGGCACATCTAAATTGAGTTTAAGATTGACTCAACTAGTATGTTAAAGGTCAAAAATAGCCGCTCATTTTGTTTGAGACACCAAAGTCAGCAGGTGACTGAGCTTGCGATGATCGTCAAGAAAAAACAGCAATACTTAGCATTGAAGTGGGTCTTGTTTTGTTTTGCCTTGTCTTAATATCTCCATGTTTAGTTCCTATATTCCCTCAGCTGGCGACTGCCCATTCTTCCCCAACATGAACTCCAACTTGGCCTGCGTTCCTTAGCACTTCCAAAGCCCAGTATACCATTGCCTTTTGTTTGTTCAGTTTCCAGGCCTGTGAATGCAAGGCTGTGCACTGGTGAGGATCCCCCACCAGCTGTCCAGAATTGTTCCATCCCTTGCCAGCACCTCTGCCTGCTTTCTCAGTGGTCTCCTTGGGGTCCCTGCGTTTATGAGAACTGCAAAGAACCACAGGGGAAGAAAGGTATGATGGAGAAAATTGTAGATACGAGTTCAATGTGTTTGCTTTTGAAAGATCTTAACTGAGTAAGAATCAAATAATGCAATCATAGCATGTTTATAACTAAGTTTATAAATTTAGCTCATAGGTCTATATTTTCATCATTTATGTATTTTAATCCATTAGAATCAACGTAATACCTTTTAATTGTGAAACTAATTTGTTATAATACTTTAAAAGAAATAGCTTTTGATAAGCAACATTCAGTGAGACAAGTTTAAAGCTGTGTCCAAAACCACATACTAAAATACTACCTACAACATACTCAAACAATGTATAGGTGCATCTCAATAAATTAGAATTTCGTGGAAAAGTTAATTTATTTCAGTAATTCAATTTGAAAGTGAAACTCATATATATATATATATGTTGTGGATTAATTGCGCACAAAGTGAAATATTTCAAGCCTTTATTTGTTTTAATCTTGATGATTATGGCTTACAGCTCATGAAAACCCCAAAATCAATATCTCAGAAAATTAGAAATTGAATTACTGAAATATATTAACTTTTCCACGATATTCTAATTTATTGAGATGCACCTGTATACAGCAAACCATTACTATGCAGTTAGCAACATACTAAACTAGATGAAACATGTTGCTCTGGTCTGAACTTTGTTGGATAAGCTTGCACCAATTTGGCGCGACCACCATTCCATAATTAAATTTAACAATATACATAGTTTATTACTAAAATATACATAGTCATTTTGATATTATTTGAGAACATATAAAATGCATTAGAGTTTGGTTACTTTTATTTTTACGCTGCTTGTTGGCTTGCTAGCAAGCTCCACCATTGGATAGTCTGAGAGACGTAATGCAGTGTAGTATGAATTATTCAGACCAAATTAATTTCTTGTACCAGGCTGTATATGTTTATTTCTGTCAAAATGAACAATTTAATACGAGATGTGTATGGGACTTCTAGGTCTTTGGGAGACAGCCTCAAGAAATGCAGTTTTTTGCACATCCCTGTTGGCATCATATTTTTCTTTCTTTACACTTTTTTCTGATTTTCACATTTTTGAACAGACATACACGGCATACAAACAACCATAGTACAGAACATAAACAATGAAAAAAAACACACCCCTCCCCCAAGGCTCAGAGATAGGAAAAAAAGAGGTAATACCGCTATTCTATGAGTTTACTTTTAAATGCAATATAATTGTAAACACATAGATCGATACAAAATATATATATATTATCAGGCGAGCAGAGCACTGAATGTAAGGGAGAGCCTTCATTGAAGTCTATAAAAGGACTCCAGGTTGCAACAATGTCCCTGCGTCTTTTGCCTGTTTTATATCTGAGCATTTCTAAAGGCAGAAACGAAAGCACCTCCTTCAACCACTGTAGAAATGATGGGCCTTTATTTGAATTCCAGTTAAAAAAAGATAAGTCTGTGAGCAAGCAACAACGCAAATGCCAGAGCATTCGCTTGAAAATTTGTAAGCGTACAATTTGGGGGTGCTATGCCAAAAATGGCCATGTGGAGATCATGAGTTATCGTCTGTTCACAAATATGGGGAACTACATCAAAAATACGTCCCCAATAACTGTTTAGGGAGGGACATGGTCATGGGACAGCTCACAGAAAAACACAAGTCAACTTCTATGCCAATGTTGAAATGCAGTATCCAACACAGATGAAGGAAAGAAAGGATTATTTTCTACTGGAATAGAGAAATCGGGGTAAGACTGTCATCTTCAATATGTTGATTCGGCCTACCAAAGAAATAGGCAGTGTTGACCACTTTTTAAAATCTTGTGTTGTTCTTTCTAGTACTGTTTTAAAATTATAGTTATATAAATCGAATGAGTGACTTTGATCCCCAGTGTATGTAAAAGCATTTTTTTTCAAGTTTGAAATGGGAAAATGGAAACGTTGTTGTCAGCGTCATTAATTGGAAAGACCTCTTTGAATAATTTAACTTAAAACCTTACAGGTGGCCAAAATTATCTAGAATATGTAGTAGTTTTAGTATAGATTCTGCTGGGTTAGATAGATATAGCAAAAGTTCATCGGCATAAAGCGACACCTTATGGGACTTACCCCCCCGAAAGATACCTCTAATGTCGTCCTCCACTCTAAGAGCTATCGCCAGTGGCTGAATCACCGACTCAAAAAGATAAGGGGAGAGGCTACAACCTTGCCTACAGCCCCTATGAAGATGGAAGTAGTAAGAAAGCATAGTATTTGTTTGACTGGAGCCATTGGGTAATTAGTGTATATAGTATTCTATTACATGATAGAAATGATGGACCAAAAGCAAACCTTTCTAAAACAGCGAATAGGTATTGCCATTCATCACTGTTGAATGCCTTCTCGGCATCTTATTTACTGGACGGTATGAGCTACACGATGTGGGGTCTTTATCCTTTTTGAGTAACACTGATATAATTGCCTGCGTCATAGTCTCCGTTGGTTGAAGATATCCTGATATATTGATTTAAGTATTGGTTCTAATTTAGTTGTAAATTATTTATATATATATGTTAAACATTTGAGACAGATCACTAGTCGGTTGTGAACTATAGAGGTTAATGTAAAATTGTTTAAACTGATTATTAATGTTGTCCGGGTTGGTGGATTTCACCCGTCACTGTGCATATTTCAGAAATAGTATTTGAGGCTGTGGACTGTTTGATCTGATGAGCTTGAAGTTTTCCAGCTTTTTCTCCATGTTCATAAAATGTCTGTTTTGATTTAAAGAATAGCTGTTAGCTTTCTTTTATTAGCTTAATTTTACCACTAAACTCTCGGGGGCTCACCTTTGCTTGGTGGAGGTCGGAGGCTGCTATGGGCCCGGTTTAAAGTCGGAGCAAAGTCAGAGCAAAGTCGAGGTTTAGCAGCTCCTGTGGCAGCTTAGTGAATGCATCTGTAGGCCACTGGCCAGGGCCCGTGTTCACAAACATTCTGAGAATCCTCTCAGAGAGCTCCTAACTTAGCTTAAAAATTCCTAGCAAGGAGTCTTAGCCTAAGATTTATTTAGGAACATTCTCAGAGTGACTCTGAGCAAGGAATGGACAGAAACTTTTATCTTGGTGAGGACATGTGGGAAAGGAGCCTCAAGTGGGATTCAATCCCGGGCCACCCGCCTGGAGGACCAAGGCCTCCATACATGGGGCGTGCGCACCAACCACTGCGCCACCAGCGGCCCCAGTCCTTTCAGTCTTATTATTCTATTGTCCAGTTAATTGTTTTTTTTAAGGCAACACCATCTAGCTTTGCCCATGTGAAAGATAAAATCTGCAAAAGTGTAACAGTTAGCTGTAAAAAGAAAAGCCAACAAAGTTGTTCACAAAACTAATTGTAAACATTTCTCACTCTTGCTTTTAGATACTACTGAGTGTAACGACCAAAAACCATTGAAGACAGGACTTACATGCACAACAACACACAATCTTAGGATGAAGTACAAAGTATTTTACTTGCGAGTGAGTTAAAATCAGAACAGGCGAACATATCCAAAAAGGGAGCAGGCAAAGTCACAATCCAAAAACCTGAAAAGATCAATACCATAGAAGTCCAACGCTAGGAATAAATGCTGGTAAGCTTGACACGAAGGACAAAGACCAACTGACACAGAAAGAAGGAGAAACACTGGCTACGTTTACATGTGCACAATTTCTTCAATCTGATTGAAATCATTCCGATTGGGGATTCCGATTTCACTGTTTACATGGACTCTAAATAAAATTATCGGATTATGCCGTGCTTGTTCATGCATCGACAGTAAATCAGAATAAAACCATTCTGACATGCGCAAACTGGTCTCACCTTTCTTATCTGCCGGAAACATCAGAAGAAGAAGCTGAGATTTCAGCCTGTGTTTGTAAACAATCTACACTGTCACAAGGGGCGCCAGGACCTCCGGGCCCCATGAAAAGATCTCACATTGGGCCCCTACCACAGCCCAACCCCGGAGAATTGCAATAACCACACCTCCATCACACAAATGACCCATACCAACTATGCTTTGTTTTATACACAAATATAATCCAAACGAGACTGGTCGGAGAGGGTCGTCCTCATGGAGTTCACGGCAATCATTCATGAAGTTATGCGCTCTGATGGAGAGGTATATGGAGGCGTCACTTCATGTGGGGCAGACATGCGCAGTAAGGATCATTTTATCCCAGTCAGGCAGACACGATCAGATCGAGCGTGTACATGGATCCTGATCCAAACATCGATCTGCTTAAACCACCCCTCTCGATCCGAATGAAATTTCTTTCCGAATGAGCCTGATCAGATCAGTCTGTTCTGATTGACATGTTAACATGAAGCATTTTTATTCTGATCAGCCTTTTATTCCGATTATTTGTGTCCATGTAAACGCAGCCAGTGACTAAATACTAAGGTGAGGGAGAGACAATGAGAAGCAGCTGGAAACAATCAGGGCCTGGCCGACAATCACACAGATGGGAAACACATGAGGGCATGTGGAGGATCTGAAACGAGAGGAGAGGTAAGCAACACAAAAACAAAACATAAAAACGTAACTTCGGATGCTGAGCTGGACATGACACTGAGATGAAGTGTTGTTTAAAAAAATATATTTGAGTTATCCTGCAAATGTATGCTTTGAATATTATTATCAAATTGTGAATGATATTCAGACACTTCTTGTTCTCTTTGTTTATCCTTACAGATAAGGAATTCAAAGACGCCGAGTTGGAGAGTGTGTAGACAATGATGTGCGTTAACTTTACTAAGGAAACTATTGGCAGTCCTGAAGACAAACCTGGGGCCGTATTCACAAAGCCTCCTAAGTACTAAGAGTTGCTCCAATTGAAAAAATCTTTAGAAGATTCTTAGAATCATGACATATTCACAAAGTGTCTCAGCCCTTAAGAGATCTCCTAAGGTGTGAAACTGTTAGGAGTTAAGAGGACTTTTGACAGGATGAAGAGTTTCTCAAGCTGAGGAGAAAGTGGAAAAATGTTCTCCAAACACTAAATGTCTTTTAGACTCATAATTGGGCAGAACAGACAGAAATGATTTGTGCAGACATTTCAATCCATCTATGACCTTTTTCAATACAAAGTGAGACATTAATGTCGAGCTTCTCTACATGTGGTTACCTCCACAGGTGCATTGTATCACTAATTAAGGTTCTTCACATGCTGCTATTTCTCAGCATGTGGAGAAGCTGCTGCACAAGTAAGCATGTGATTGTAGGCAATTTACTTTTAAAGTAAGTCTTACAAATGATCCCACAGATGCTAATGTCATAGTGGTCATAAATACACAATGGGTGCATTCGAATTGCAAAGTGCCTGCACAATCTTTTAGTAGTCAGTAGTCAGTAGACAGTAGCTACTATCCGTGCTGTATACTGTTTAGTATCTACTATTCAGTAGGAGTGCACAGTAGGCAGATATTTGTTCCTACTTCGTCTGATTCATTCAGTGTGGAAGTGGCGTCATTTACGTTACCCGAACCGGCCGCATCCACCCATTTTTTTTTTTTTTTTGTTTAGCTTTATTCAAGAAGAGTAATGCACATATACAGTCAGGTAAAAAAAAACAAAAAAAAAAAAAACAATATCACAATGTAAATCAAGTAAAAGACAGATTTAATAACTAAATAACATACAGTACATACATGAAAGTACAAATGAAAGACAGTAATATACAGAATATAAAGTAAACCAATAAAGACACATTTAAATAGTGAAATCATTATTTAAATAGAAAGGTTTTATAATAATGCAGACATTTGTTTGCACACAGACATAGAGTCTGTTTTCTGCCAGGAATTTCCAAGATCAATTCTGGAAGAAATCTTGGAATCAGTTGAGGAAATGGCCTTATGTGTTGAAGTAAATATGTCTGTAAATGTATTTATTACATGTTTCTACTGCTATATTGTATATTTTTATATACTATTATAAATTGGTTTATTATAGTCTATATTCTATTATATACTGGTTTAGAAGCAAACTTTAAACACATATTGTTTATTTGTATGTACTGCATAAACTTGTTTAGAACCCAAACATTATTATTATTATTATTTAGGATTTAGGATACTTAAACTTGGTTTTGTGTATTCTAAACATATTGGACCTCATTCACTATGCGTAGACATGTTCTTAAAATAAGTGCATACGCAAAATCACCGTCGGATTCCGTGCGTACCAGTCAATTTTGTTCTCACCACCTTGTGTATGCTAGTGAATCAGAATCATTCTAAACAGGCGTGTGCCTGCAAGTATACAGTATACTAACATGCCTCCATCTCTCAATGTAAGGACATTGGGTTGGTGTATCAGGACGAGAGCAGTGCAGTGGAGACAAGTAGAAGTTGCAATAGATGGCCCCAAAAGGCAAAAAAGAGCAGTGTGTCCAGGGACTTATAATGGCAGCCATTCTGTACGTGCATTTGCAGTTTGAATCAGCTGATAAGTCATTCATCACACTCAAACATGTTATGAAGGTCTCTTTTCTCAAGGCACCAGCTACAGTTTATTTCAGCAAGGCTGGATCTCTACACTTTTTTGGACATTAATCACAATTAGTAAATGGCCATCTATGGCTTGGTAGAAGAGTCTCTCCATCGGTTGGCAGTTCGATCCCTGGAGCTCCAGAGAAACCGACACTGAACCCCAAATTTCTTCATGGCATTTGAGGTTTGAAAGTGTATAGAATTAGAAGAATGAATTAGTACTGATGAACACTTTGAATCGCAATCTTTGTCATCAGTGGATGAATAGGTGAATGTGACATGTAGTGTTTAAGTACTTTTAATACTTAGAAGACTAGCACTTCATAAAAACAGTGCATGAGTAATTTACCAAAAGTTGCCTCGATGTAATATGAAATATAAACAAACTGCCAGATTGTAAACTTGCAGGTTAACTTTTTCCTCTGCTCTGCTTAATTAAGTGTCACTGTGCCTCTTTATCTTACTTGCTCTCTCTCAGTTGCTTAAAAATCTTCCAATGTGTACTCTACGACACGAGTTACAGCAGAGTGTCAAGGCGTTCATGTCTTAGCAGAAAAGAGAAGTAAGAGTAAGAAGTCTGATCATGAAATAACTTCTCCAGAAAGTTAAATTAATGAGATAATGCACATTTCTCTTCATCATGATTATAATTTCTGTTGTTTAATTAGCCATACCTCAGCAGACAGACAGCTGCAGATGATGGTAAATGGACTTGAGCTTTTATTGCACTTTTCTAGTCTTCTGACTACTCAAAGCACTTTTACACTGCTTGTCACACCTACACTTTCACACGCTGATGGCAGAGGTTGCTCTGTAAAGTGACCATCAGAAGTAACTAATCCCATTCATAGTCTGCCGATGAAGCAGCGGCCGGAATTCAGGGTTAAGTGTCTTGCCCAAGAACACATCAGACATGTTGCTGCAAGAGCTGGGGATCAAACCCTCGACCTTCCAGCTGACAGACGTCAACTCTATACCAACTGAGCCACAGCTGCCCCGATGATGAAGAGAGAGAAAACATAGAGCCAGCAGCAAATGCTGGTGGAAAAAAAGAAAGAGAGGAAAGAGTGAACAGTGAGTTACGATAAATAGTGCAGATACTACTGGTTAAACTATATCTGCAAATTGGAGTTTAAGGAAAATATTTTGTGATATTTCAATAAAGTAATGGTAAACAAAATACATTTAACTATTTGTCCAACTCTAGTCATTGAATGTTACATATTAGCTGGTGTGATAATATCACATTATCAGTGGTTAAGTGCCTCTCAATATATCCTCAAATCCTAGTACATTGCTGTTGGTTAGATACATTTAGATAAATAAGATCAACACATTTGGTCTCTAATGAAAAAAATAATGGTAACCAATACTGACCAGAATTTTTTTTTGTATCAATTTAACTGAGCTTTGACAGCTTTCCAAAATTTTGTCACTTACCTCTTTGGTGATGAGGAGATACATAAAACATAATCTTGCTTAGGTTTTAAAAATGGTTAGAGCCTGATCAAGGCCAGTCATATCTGACTTCTTTAGAGATGCTACGAAGTGTGTGTAATCAAGTGTGTGTGCTTAAGTCAGCATGCAGAACAGGTGGTGCTGTTCATGTCTTAGACCTGTCCTGAAAGGAGAGCATGACCTCCTCCCTAATGTGAGTAAATGTGCATGAAAGCCTCTTTGGAGTAACTGTGTGGATTGTTCAGGTCAGTGCCTGCACTATTCAGAGCTGGATCTCTATGAGATAAGCCTGCTCCTAACAGTGCCATTAGTGTATTTCAGAGTGGGAAACACAGCACATGCTGTTTTGCACAGTACACTCTTTGGGCATATAGTCATTTGATGGTATGCAGAAATACCCGGAACCAAGAGCAGACAGGGTATGAAATTAAGAGAAAATAACTTGAAATGAGGTTTGTTGCCTGCTGCAATTATTGAGCAGTAGGCATTGTTATGATATCAGTTATTTGCGTGAGGCAATTGAGATGAAAAGAAAATGTCTTGCTCCTATTGAATGTGCACTTAGCCTTTGTGTTTCAAAATGTCAGAATATGCTGTGAGACCTGCCAGATTCAGTGTACAGGTAGAAGAGTCAACCAGCCGAGATGCATATGCCAACCAACTTCTACCACCAGAGAATTGCACATTTAAATTACCATACCATAGCTCTCTGTTGGCTTATAACTTTTGCTGATTTGTAGATGAATATTTGAAGTCAGGGGCTTACTGGATATAATTTACTACAGTACTGTCTCTACTAGAAATAACAAAGGGAAAGGGGGGCCACATTGTGTTGATGTGTTTAGCATCCTGTCATGAGTTTTCTGTGTCATCAGGAATTTGCTCAAAGGTAAATTGAGATTAAAGATCAAAAAATGAGTCATAGGGAGGCTGTTGATCAGTGGTAGAGTCAGTCAATTCATATTTTGTTGAACCCATGAGGCAATTATTATTTGTCTAAAAAAAATGTGTATTTCAAACATTTTCAACATTTATGAAACATTAAATGCATTTTCAGACATTATTGTTCATACCATGTTATTATAATTTTCTTGGGTTGAATTTACAGAATATCTTTTCAACATGTGCCAATGGACACAAAAATCTCTTGGGTTTTTCTCCCATTGCGTAAAATGAAATTTAATATTTCCAGATATCTTCAATGCTTTGACTAACATAATCTATATCGCACAGAAAACAAAATTATTACGAGTATTGTGATATCATGATTTTGGATTCTCAAATCCAGTGTTTAGTTCACCCAAGATAAAAAAAAAGAAAAGAAACTTGAGACCTTGTCAGATGTAGTTACACACACCTCCAACTAGCTTCTAATACTTACACAGCAAATAGATACTTTCCCTTTCATATTTATTTTGTTATATTATGTATTTAATTTATTTTTTTCAGATGTATTATGATAGTTTAGTGGCACTTACATGTACGTCAGCTCACTCATTATTACTCTATATTTTTGATTGGCTGGTACTGGTTTTGCATTCTTTGTGTTGGACGGTTGCTTTTATTGTACAGGAATATAAAATGCTTCTCTGAAATATTTTTTTGTTTCTTCCCTTTCCACCTTTTCTTTGTCAGGTTTCAAAAAGAGGAGGAGAGAGGTTTTGTGGGAGTCCAGCAGTCCTCCAGAGACCTGCCCTCATCTGATTGAGTTCATCCCTTGTGACAATCCTGCCTGTTCCCTGTGGAAGGTCCAAGAAGAAGCAAGCTGCATTCCCAATAAAAGCTACTGTGGTCCTGGAACTGTAGCCCTAAATGTGTCCTGTGTCAGTGCTGAAGGTAGTGATCTACATTTGCATCCCAAATACGTGATTTGCATTAATGTCCTTATTCCTAAATAAGTGCATTTGTTGAGATAATGTATATACCACCTTAGAGATTATAGGCCCTAATGATATTCAAAATGGTATCTCGTAAAAATCTCAAAATATTCTTTTAACATTTTTTGTCTAAAAAAGATGATCTGCCCCTGTACCAGTGATCAAATAAAATAGATTAATGTATCGCTATAATACTGATAAAATGCTGTTTTGAATAATGAACACTGATCATTTTTTACCTTTTAGCATTAAAAGGGCTCTTACCCTTGACTGCAACACTTATCTAGAAATGTAATTCAACTAGGTCTTCAAGTTATGGTGGAATTCATCAAGGCCACAATAGAGCCATTTGTGCGGTGGTCCAGACATTTATTGTTTTCAAAAGCAATATGATGCATGAACCATCAAGTACAATGTGATCCATTGTGTGCAGCCATATCATCATGTTGGGTAATAGCAACATTAGTGTTAACGAAGCATGCATTATTCATGAGCGTCCATCAGTGAGTTTATGAGCACAGAAAAACACTTGCCTTATTAAAAGTCAGAATCGCAGCTTCCTACCAGGCACCCATTGCTCATCTCCATAGATTATCAACCTAATTGCACAATTTATAGCCGGTGTTTTATTAATATGTCAGTATGGATCATGTGTGTGTTCATCACAAAAGCAGTGGAGGGTCCAAATGTGTTAGGCAACAGGAGAATCTAATGCATTTTGACAGGACAAGGTAGGATAAGCTTTGGTGGGATTCAGGAAAGACTATTATACATACATTTATTTTTACTGAATGTTGACAAGTTATTCACTCTTTCTTTCTTAATTGGCTTATTGGACTTACCATACTATACCATTTAGGTTATTATTACAAACATTCACATTAATGTCAAGGCCATGTAGTTACGCTGTACAAAGTCCTGCAAGAGCCTTATTTTTCATACTAGATCCCTGTGCTGTCTAGTCAGTTCACCATGACAGCAGTATTGAAGCGTATGGACTAAATATATTTTACATGATGAGTCACAATTTCACAGGACAGTATCCAGCAAAAATTCCCGGTGGGCCCGACTGGTTGTACAGTGACATTAAATAGATCATACAGGCTGCAATCTCTAGGGATGGGTCCCTCAGACCCCGGGAGGTCCTTTTCCGAATGGAAACACAAGCTTAACATAGGTTCCATAAAGCTGTCTATTCCTTGACATTGGTTGAGAGTGGGCATGTAGGATTCAGTCTATATTAATATTCTAAAAGTATAGTCTAGACCTTTTCTAAAAATGGAAAGTGCTCAACGATTTAACGCTTTATAAATGAAACTGATTTGATTGAAAAAAAAAAGTTTGTAAGGAGGAAAGACTTGTAAAAACTGTAAAAGCAGTAAAACTTACACTTGATTAAAAAAAACAAAACAATCTAAATCCCCCTACCTGGGTTAGTTGAACAACATGCCACAGCTTTCCAAGGAGCCCAGTGCTAAACCTCTGCAAGGGTGAACCAAAGGCAGAAAGCTGGTGACTGGGGTGTTGGAGGCAAAGCTTTGCCACTAACAGAGTGAGTGCAGCATTTGTGTAGCAATGAGACGGAAGTTGTGTTTTAATGGACAGCCTTGATGTGACAATGACCTTGAGTAGTCAGAATACTAAAGTGCTATTCAAGCTCTAGTCCATTTATAATTTACCCTTGGTGTGTGTGAGTGTGTGATAAGAAGAAATGATTTAATCAGCTGATTACTTCTGTGTCCTGCATGGACATATGCTAAGCTTCATTTGTGAACTTATGTGCATCGAATCGGACATTTTTTGATTAAACTCTTAATCACGCTATCAATCACGAGGTTGTAGAGAAAACTGCACTCTTTTTGACCAATAAGGCTAATATTATATATATCCAGTCACTACTACTAAGTAGGCTGGTTTGAGCCATGCAACTCTGTTTTCGGCCCTGTTTTTCTAGATAAAACATGCCTGAATTATTTACGTTTAGTCGAACCTTCAGGAAGCAGAAGCTAATTGCTAGTGTTTCTGATTGTCTTTTTAGCTCAGAGCTATAACACAGGGACCTGTAGAGATGGAAGACAATTCTTCAGTGCATTACTAAATTGTTGAAAAAAGTAAGATGACAAGCCTCTTCTCTGCAAAGACCAAATTCAAGTTACCTGCTATAAATAAGACTGGATCAATTTTCTTTTAAATTCAGGATAAGCTTCAAGTCAAAGTCAAACTCTCACCTACTTCTAACCCAAAACAATTAATGATATCTATTAATTGCAGACTAATGCCTGACAAAGAAATGTACTCATGCATGAATGTGTCCATCCCCGTCCATCCAACCCCAGAAAAAATAAAAAAACTTTTCCATTTGGGTTTAATATAACCTGGGCTGACAGCCCAGTCCGCTCTCACCTACGTGGGAATGTTGATGAATTGTGTTTTTTTCTTAAATTGGATGCATGCACCAGGCAATTTGCAATTTATACAAGGAAATGCCTGTATAAATTGTATTGAAGGGCAGCAGATTTAAGTGCCACATGCAAATTACAAACCAATAAACAACTGACGTTTGACAGGTAACGTTAATCTCAGACAGCAGCCAATATACTGAGGGTGTACTCCCCAGTTTCATTTTGTGGTTATAAGCCACCTCGTGCTGTAAAAGAAGGTTGATTATCTTGTAAGCTAAAGTAGGATCTGAAAGCCGGATTTCTAAGATTAAAAGGTGGATTTGGACTTAAAAGTAAAATTATTTAACATTTAACTGATGAGTTCTGTGATTTGGAGAACAGTTAATTTGTCCCATACTGTTGGTGAGTCCAGCAAAACCCAGAAAAGGAGGATAATACACAATAATCTTACAATCTTTGATTTATCACTATCTATCCCTATGTTCATTGGTGTGACTTGAATCTAATATGATGAAGTGACTGAAGTCAATTTACCCAACTTGGTCCCCACCTCCTGCAGCCATGTGTCCATGTGCAAGACACTTCAGGCCATTGCACACTGAATCCATTTTGTTCCTTCTGAATATGAAGGAACATCAAAAATAAATACGATCTCATGTTATGTCAATGATGTTTGCATACTGACATTGTGTGTGTGTGTGTTTTGTTTGTGAATAACTTGTTTTTGAGAAGAGGAAAGATGGGAGTCAGGAGGGAGTCTTGAGTTGAGGTTAAATGGGGTGAGGGGTTTGTATCACATGTCCAGATTATTTAGTGGACAAGAGCTGTAGAAGGGTGTAACAAACACTGTGAGGATGCTATGCAACGGCTCAATTATCCAGGAAACAAACAGTCAAAACATCTTCTCAAGAGCAAAAAAACAGGCAAAAAGAACAAACCACCCACTCTTGGTGTCCACAAGCACTTCCTCCTTTAATCTTGGGCAGCACAGAGACTCTTAAACTCAAAATTTACACTTTCCATTCGTCTTAAACACTTTTGAAATCCTCCACTCTTCATTGTGTCAGTCCTTTGTCTCTCCTCACACACTACACACCAGGGTCACATGTGCTAGCAATCAATCAAGTTGCTTTGACAGCTCCCATAGCATCGAGTCACTCCACAGCCACAAGTTACATCGGAAAAGTCAATCCTATAATTTCCAAACCCTCAGACTCCTGGATTCACCTGTCAATAGCCTGATATGGCAGAATGCATATTATCTTAATTTCTTACATACAATGATTTTTTTTCTATACAACAAAACAACTCTGTAGTATAGTAATACTACCATTTTTCTTTTACCAGCTATGACAGATTATTCAACAGAAATTATGGAAATTGAACTCAGGAAAACTATTTTTGTAATTGTCAATTATAATGAAAACTTACATGATTGGCAGGCAACAATAATTAGTGACCAAGAATAGTTTGTCAAAGCACACTTCATCACCAGTTAGATTTTCTTTGTTATTTTTGCTTGCTGCCATTCTTCAAAGCTTACTTTGCAGTGTGGTTATTAACTTTTAGTAAAGGCCAGGGTTTTTTGTATCTACCTGAATAATAACAAAGAAGAGGATTAATTGGCTGGTGGGCGAGTAAAATAGAAATGTCATGCAGGAGGCAGTAGAATTATATCTGAGTGAGAGCCCCCAACTACTGATCCCTGTATTAATAATGCAACAGGACCCATAGGGCAGTCATCTATTTGCAGAACCCTCTCCAACAACACACATCTACACACACAGACAGACCCATGTGCAGGCATGCATACAAGAAAGCTTATGGGTATGAACTTTTCTGTTTTAATAAGGTTTCCATGCAAAGCTTTGTGAGACTGTTTTTAATTTTGTTTGCTACTGTTTGTTTTCTAAAGAGAGCGAATACTAAGACTGCATAATACATTTAATAATACTTAATAACAATTGTTAACATTTAGGCGTCGTTCTTTCAAAGATTTTGCTAACTAAATTGAAACTTACAGTGTTACAGGGAATGGCTCTCCTTGTAATCCCATGTGCCTTTAAGGTATAGTTTCTCTTAATTCAGCTTTGTTGTCCTTGTTTTAAGTTTATATTTGTCTTTTTGAGTCAGTCTTTGATAACTTGCTTTGTCAATGAATTTTGTACATCTGGGATATAGGAACTACAAGCTTATTTTAATAATACATGTTGACATTGTGGCAAGTTACCTGATGGTATACATATATTGTAAGCTTGCTGAATAAAGTGCTCATTGGCATGACAATGTTATTTTAAGATTTTTTTCCAACTTTCATTCAGCTTTAATGAAAGATATATTCTAGGTTTAGTATAGCAGCAGTTTTTACTTTTCAGAGGGGTTTTCGTGAAATAGTTATATGACTAATGTTTTTGTTAAGTTTTTTAGAATGAAAGGACTAAATAACATTTTCCTCTAAGTGAAAACACTGATCTATCTAAAGCAATTCACATTTCCAACATTTTGTACTTTGTAGTTCTCTTTCAAAGTTTTAAACATAACCTTGTTGTCACTCGTTGTCCACTTTCATATTCAGAGTGGATAATAACCACATTACAGAGAAACTTCTAGTTAGAAAAGCTATGGTACTAAGAGTCCAACCCTCTTAATGTCGGTCATGGAGGTGGATTCACAGATTCTGGATTATGCAGTGTTTCCTTTGTGCTTAATTTGAATACAGCACTGACAGTTGAAAATATTACCTGAGGTGGGAGATGGGCGGTGGGGGTGGACTGTCAATCATGTTTAGTACAATTCCTATACAAATGCTGGCGCGTCAAGATCTTTGTACAATTATCTAGAGTTGATTGATTATGTTGATGGCTTGCGCCCCTTGATGCCTGTTAAAATATAGTCTGCATACTTTTTGTTGTTCAGTGTGGTTAAGAAAGTTCTTCATACTGACTTATTTACAAGCCAAAGGTTTCTCTCCTCAAGGGAGTATTTCACATCTCTCAGATGAGGCGACACCATCAAATGTTGCCTCCTCTGCCCTCCTATACATCAAGGGTACTCACTTGGAGAGAAAAAAAGACAAATGGATGACAAATCTACCCTTGTTTTGTTATTGTTAAAGCATATTATTTGATGTAGTGGCAGAGTTAAACTTAGTTTATGACACTGTGTGAATATGTATTCTTAAATTATGCTTGCTATTTTTTAGAAATCTGGATGGAACCCAAATTTTTCTAAAACAAAATCCCTCTCGGTGCAACAAAATCTACAAACAGTGTTTTTTTGTCCTATCAAGGGTATTATTCCATTATTCATGTTCATACTTAAATAATTACTCTAAGTGTTTAATGGCAAAAATAATGGCAGAAAATAATTTTCCTGGAAATAAATTAAAGAAACAAGGCTGTGTTTATCCTGTAGCTGTTTACCCTCTAAAGCAGAGTTATGTTGGAGCTGTGATTCATATTTCATAATATAACTTCAAGAGGAGCTAAAGGATAGCTTGTAATATGAGCTGAGAATACCAATGGGGTGGCATAATTGTTATTTGAGATAAAATGAATTTCCATTTGTGTTTACTTCCACTAAAGAAGCATAACAGCTGAAGTTGGAGTAAATCTTTTTATAAGGAAAAGAAAAGGTTTTTCCAAGGTTTAAAAATGTTTTCTATATGTACATTTTAGAATCATTATTTAATTAAAAAAACGTTGATCAACATTATTAACATCATAATAAACAATTATAATTTAATAGTTTTTAATTTTGTGATATTTTTTGGAGGTTAATTCCATTTTAAGACCAATTATGTTTATGACTTTTGATCAAATTTGCGTCATTGTCAACAGTGTCAACCGAAGAGATCCCATCATGATCATGATGACACTAGTATTCAGATTTGTTAGGGAGGCTGATAGGCAGGATATGATATCTCCCCTTTGGAGTCTAACACTGGTGAATTAGTGACTCGATGTGATGAACAGTGGACTTTTGAAGACTGGAATGGAGGGGACTACAGTGGAGAAAGTTAGTAACAATCCACACCAGAATGACAGAATGACAGCAGAAGAGAATAACTGGTTTTGAAGTTAGACAGCTGCATGATGAGGGGTTGGTTAAGGTCAAATCTGTTTAGTTTAAAACAATTGGTATAAGAGTAAACACCTTCATTGGGAGAGAAAGAGAGAGTGATGAATGAATGATAGTTATTGATGAAAGAGAAGAAATTAAATCAGACTTCCTGCTTAAACTTGCGTTAAGCTTTATATAAATATCTACTTAAGTTATTGTGTTTTACTTGTTTTTTTATTTTCTGAAATTATATATTCGTACACGTTTTAATTTACTTGGAATTTAATTTATGCCTTACCTTGATTGCAGTTTAAATGAAGTCCTAATATATGTTGGTTCAATGGTTTATCACTTTCTAAATAATGTTTGATCATGTCAATATACTTGTAGTTAAATGGGACTGATTTTGAATAATTTAAAACATTTTGCTAATTTATCCTTTCAAATTTCCTGAATGCTTTCCTTAGGAGAAGATGTTCATATTGCCCACTGTCCAGATGATCCTCCCCCCAAAGAAGTGGCCTGTGAGGTGGCCTGTCCTGCAGACTGTGTGGTTGGCTCCTGGTCTCTCTGGTCGCTCTGCTCCCACAGCTGCGCTTCCAAGTCAGCAGAAGGTCGACAGAGCCGCACTCGTACTGTGTTGGCAATTCCAGGAAAAGGTAAAATTCATGTGTGTTCTTGTGTGTGCAGGTTTTGCAAGACTTCAAAACTTAAGTAAGGGAGTAATTTATTGAATTGAAATGTATTGCTCGTCGGTGTCGTTTGAATGTGTTTGAATGGGATTAGTTACTTCTGATCACCTACCTCATCACTATAGCAACCTCTGCCATCAGTGTGTGAATGGGTGTGAAAGTGTAGGTGTGACATGCGACTTTAAAGCGCTTTGAGTCATATATGAAGACTAGAAAAGCGCAATATAAGCTCAAGTCCATTTACCATTGAAATTTATTACAGAATACTGTTATAGAATTGAAATGTATTGATTGATAGTCATAGTGATAGTCATCAAACTTGTAAAATCACAGACTGACACTAATCTCATCTCAGCAAATGAAATGAAAAATGATTAAGGCCTTTGAATATTGTAAACATGCTGTCAATTTACACTGTCTGTATTTTTATAGTCATCAGTTATTTTGACATTTGTCATTACAAATATATATTATATTTTTGTGAGTTGATCTTCGCAGGAAAATGCAAGGACTCTTGCATTTGTGCATTATCTGTGCAGAAATATTGTTTTTATTTTCAAGTAAGAAAGCATTGCCTTGGCAGCCTACTACCCATTATCCCTGGTAACAAAAGCACATTTGCAATTGCAGCTGATGAAAAAAGTATAATTATAATGCAAACTATGTTGTCTATTACTATGTTGCTGGCTTAATTCTGTAAGAGAATGTGTGTGTGTTTTTAGGTGCCTGATTTGAAGAATTTATAAAAGTATGAGAGATGAAGAGGTAAAATGGATTTGATGTAAAAAAACACCTTGATATATATTTGTACAGAACTGCTAGGTCTCATGCATTGACTGAGAGTCACGCAGTTGAGCATCTTCACAGTCACACACACTAATCCTCATATTTTACATAGTGAGAATCAGAAATAGTTCCTTTTTAATTGTCTTACTCAGAAATGAACCCTAACCAATCATCAGTCGTCATGCCTGAGTCTACCCAACCTAATGAAAGGCAATAAGTACCAATCAATCAGAGGTCGAGTGGGGCAGGTCATGCCGTCAACACCTGAGAGAAGAATACGATCTTTGGCGAGACAGGCTTGGAAACCATTCAAAAAATAATGTGAGCTGAATAATGCTATGATCGTCTTTCAACTGAAGGGGAAGGTCATATGGTAGTTGTATCAAGTGAGACAAGTAAGCAAATCAAACAAATATTTATTTTACATATGTGATAATGAGTTATTGTCAGAGAATCTTTGGCACTTGAACTCAACAGGGTGATAGGGACCAAGATGTCTGCCCTGAGAGGCAGCAGGATCTGCCCACTCCTGAACTCCAGACCCTCGTGCTGGAGGTCGTTAGGTAATGTCATCTGAGGCTGGTAGGACGAAGGAACTGATTAAACTGTGAAGACTGGGTTGACCGAATGATGGCTGATGTTGAGGTCTGAAGCTGATGGGATGAAGAAGGTGATGAAACTGCGAAGGCTTGGTTGTGATGGGGAGGTGGAGGGTCACAAGTAACAATGGTATGAATGAACTGGAAGACAAAGCCATATTTATGAAGACAGCAGCAAAATGAAAGGCTAACAATAAGGTAGTAGAGCAGTGCTATTGAATATATGTTAGCAGGTGATGTGAACAGCTGAAGATTAAAGGAAAATGGGTGAGCTTGGGTGAAGAAGTGCATAGTATGAGAATGAACAATAATACCAGCATGCAGAATATAGTCTTTCTGACCAATCTTTTGCTAGAGCTACGTTTAACCGACTCATTTTGGTATGAATTTTATTATTTTTCTTGATATATTAAATTCCTAAATAGTCACTCCAAGACGGAGTTTCACAGCCTGGTGAACAGCAGTGACTCCAAAAAGGACAGGTTGCTGAATGTGGTGGGTCCAACAACACGGCCAATAGCCATGACTAAAAGGGTTAGCTATTTTTCATTTCAGTGTCAGATTGGATTTAAAAACAGATATGACTCATTTGCTTGTGAGCTAATGTCTACCTTATTCTATATGTATTTAAAGTTCATAAATAACTGTTTTTACTCTAACTGAAATTTCTTGTTTTATCAGATTTTACAATTATTTTCATTTCTACTTGCTGATCCATTGTGAACAATAATGCAGGAACTTAGTTTTTAAGTTGCAAAAGAAATTGGACGGGGAGAGGGGCTGCCTGAATAATCACAACAAGTCTAATCTTCATGTAGAAATATATTTTTCAACATTCTTTCTAGTCACTAATTTACTGATAATGTTTCTTGCATGTTCACTGGTATATTCCGAGTAAAGACAGAGAGGGAGGGAGCATGAGGAGGCCAACAGGGGAGGGCAAGTAGCTGGCATGGAGGTGAGTGAGAAAATGAGCAAATTATGACATCACAAAAGTCTCATCCTAATGTTAATTTAAAAGGAGTTATTACTCCTAATCTGGCTTCAAACTGCCCCTGAACTCTCACTCCAAACCTTTAGTGTGCAACGACGGACAAATAATGTAATACTATTAACATTACATGATGCGCTAGCTTTGGACATTTTAATGGCATGCCAGACTGTAAGTTAAAATAAAATATGGTGACTAACTCAGACAATGTTTTGAGTTAATGTTTACATGTTATAGAAAGAGGTATCTTTAAATCCGATGGAGATAGGGAGCGAGCTTTCTCCAGCCCGCTAGCTGCAGCTGACTGATATCCAGCGCTGTGGGCGTTTGGCAGGCAGACGTTTGTTGTAAAATCTCCTAAGTAAAATATATTGCAGAATAAATTGTGATGGTTCATAATATTCTGTGTTATCCCAACAACACACATAGTGACTCAGATGTGCTGAATGAAAAGTGACAATTAGGGATTGCGCTGCCGCTGTAACTCATTCCAACACTACGCAACTGAGCATGTGCGCCTTTCTTCTGTGATAGGGTGCGTTTGATTTATTGTTCAGGGATGTTTGATTTCACAACACTTGACCACGGACTTCATTCATGTCATTTGCAACAGGTAAAGACAAACCTTATATGAGTGGAAGGAAATCAGAACAATTTTAGAAACAATGTTTTTTTTTTTTTTTTTTAAAGATTGATTTTTGGGCTTTTGTGCCTTTAATGAATAGATAGGACAGTGGATAGAGTCGGAAATCAGGGCGAGAGAGTGGGGAATGACATGCGGGAAAGAAGCCACAGGTGGGAAGTGAACCCGGGCCACCCGCTTGAGACAACAGCCTCCATACATGGGGCGCGCACACTAACCACTGCTCCACCAGCGCCTCTAGAAACATTGTTTTTAATGGTTAAGGTGCAGTCTGCAAATGTGAAAATTGACAAAACTTTCAAAAACTTGTTTTCTTTCATTCCAAGCATCTTAGTTCAACATCTGAACAGTTGTCTTCTGTTTGCTCATAAAATATATTATTTTAGTGTCAAATGTTCTGAAAAGTCAAAGACAGAAGAACACTGTTCAGATGTTAAATGAAGGTGCTTTGAACGGAAAAAAACAAGTTAACAAGTTTCCCTCTACTCCATAAAGGTAGCCTTCTAAAATATTTAAACATTTTTTTAAGGAGGCCTGAGGCCAAGGAGAGTTTACCAATGTGCAGCGATGGATGTTGTTGAATTGTAAACTACTAGCTAACTTATTTTGACCATACCATAATAGGTCACGGACAATAAATGATAACAAAATAATTTAATCATTAAATTAAAAGAAATGTCTGTGGGAGCAGATCCCAATGATTTTCTTTGCTTGATTGCCTTGTGTCAAATGCCTACGTCCAATCTCACAACAGTGACAGTCAGAATGTAGCAGAGAGAGTGGCGATCCTGTAACAGCCATGACTTAAGCCCTGTGCCTTAATCATTGCTCCATTGACTAAATGAAACTGCTACCAAGGAATTCCTTTATATGGAAACAAAAAGAAGAGACTAAAAAGGCTGAACTTGCAGCATTACTCCATTTGCAGTTGTTTCTGAATGTGTGTGTGATTTTTTAATTCTTTTGTTTATGTATTTGCAGTCATTTGTTGTGAATGCAGTTGTTTCCACTTTTTTCAGCACCTTTGTGTCTTTTGCATCGCACCTAAACTCTATACCAGTGTATTTTATACACTCCCTAAGAAGACATTTTGAATGATTGACTGAAAAATTGTGTTGTGTTTTTAAATGTGGAAAATTGTCAAACTTTTCTGAATTTATTTGGTCTATTAAATGTTTTGTGTTAGCTCATGTTGTCATTCAGCTAATATTGTTACAGACTGAGTTTATGCCACTATACTGAATAGTGCATCCTGCACCCTCATTGGTGTTTCCATTGGTGACTCCCAGCTGGACTCATTGGTTGATGAACCCCCAAACCCCCCCTTGTACTTATACCATTGTTAACTATGTAGCATACACAGCCAGTACCTCATCTGAAGAACACATATTGGTGAACTATTTTATTTTTTTTTTTATCAAAGAAAGGTATTGCACTGCCACTGATGTTAATAAGGAAACAGTGAGCAAGGACTAAGTCATTGTGATTTTGATGTTGGTAATGTAAGAAATGTTCAGAGAATTTGAGTTATTTTATGTGTAATTCAAATCACTACAAGTTGTTACTTTGATTTATTTCGTTTCTTACAGTCAGAGCTTATTTTAGAAGCAGACATTATTTTAGATTTTGTGTAAGTCATGTTTTCATTGTTGGAAGAGCACTTGTTGAAGTTTTCACAGAAAACTTTGAACGTTGTCCATTCAGATTATGCAGAATTGTATTGTTGAATACAGTAGTCCTCCTATCTTTGACTCTGTGGTTCTTAACTGTGTGTTTATTGCCAGAAGGGAAGAATTGTCCAGCAGCTTCAGCCCTCGAGGAGTGGAGGGTCTGTAATGACCATCCTTGTATGGTGTTCTACTGGGAGGCCTCAGCCTGGGGCCCGTGTATTGAAGATGCCTCAATGAATATCAATGGATCCAACTTCTGGAATGGGACCCATTCTTGTGCGATGGGTGTTCAGTTCCGTGATGTGAGTTGCATGAAGATGAACGTTGGACCTGTCCAAAGTAAAAGGTAAGATGTAATGATAGGCTGAAGACATATTGTTGAAGAAGTTATATTGTAGTCAATCGGGGGGCAAATCAATAAGTTGTCTCTTTCCTTACTTCCGTTTTCTCCTCAGGACAATGCTCTAACCCCTCTTAAAATGAGAATAACAACCCAGAAAAAGTATAGAAATAAGATCAATATATGACCATGAGTCACAGGAAATTAATCACAATCTCGATCATGTTTAAATGTTCGAATGAATGAAACTTTGCAGGGCTGAAATGGTGCAGAAACAACTGTCCAGTGCTCATGTTTATAAAAATATTAAATAAATGCATTCGTTATTGTGTATAAGACACAAACAGGACAAAAAGACTAGATTAGAATCATAAAGTTCTGCAGAAAGAAACAAATATCTTTGAAAAAAACTACACCATGGTGACGACTAATAAACAGCGAATAGGGCAATTTTTACTTTTTAATGTCGAGCTGCATGTTATCTGCAGATCATTCATGTTACAAATAGGAAGTAAATGTGTGTGAGTTTGTGTTGGTTGGGTGTTTAGCTTGGGTTGCATTTGAAGGTATCTTGTGGGAATGAATTTTACATGCCCTGAAATGCCTTGAATACGATACATTAACAGAAAAAATTCTGGACCTCACTATTTTTTAAAGCAAGGTTACGGCCCTGGACACCACACTAAAAAAGGAATTCTAGACTGCTGAAATTGTTTCAGTTCAATAGCTCAACAACCAACATGATTTGCGAGAATGAGATGATGAAATGTTTCGTTCTATTGTAATTTATGCATTTTCTTGTTAAAACCCGACCACTGTTTGTTTGTATGCTTAGATGTTCAGATTCTGCTCGTCCAGAAAACATCCAACCCTGTTTGCTTCCCTGCGAGAAAGACTGCATCGTTACACCCTTCAGTGAATGGTCAGCCTGCCCATCAGCCTGTATGCCAGGTAGCTGTTGCATTTCTATGAACTTAGTTTAGTCATGCATGTTTATTGCTCCATATCTTCATGATAGAAAGAAAGAAAGCAAGAAAGAAAGAGAACCTAATGTAGTAGTTATTAGTTTACTAAAACAAACAAGTTTTCATTTAAAACCTAATCATAGTCCAATCACACATTACATGGTTTCAAAACGTTATTTTCCTTCAACATGTTTGTAATCATGTAAAAACATTATTTTTGTAAGATTGTTTTCAAGTTTTATAATACAAATAACTTACACATAAAGTTTACTACATCTAGTTTCAATACAAATGTGCAATGTCCAATAAAGTTTCAAGTGTATTTAGTGATTCAATTCAAAAGGGAAATGATAGTTGTGATTGGTATTTCCGTTTAAGTTACTCATCAAGAGGACACGTTTGTTGTAAGTATCTTGAAAATCAAAAAACATGTAATTCTTTTTAAAATAATTGAGCAGGCATCTAGGCTTTGTAAATGTGCCTTAGTCTATTGGGTCTACTTCTTAATTGTACAATTTTCAGTGTTTGCTAATTAGTGTTGCATAATAAGGCTTTGAACATAAGCCAAATGAAGGTATTATACTGAAGCTGTACTGGTGTGTCTGAAAACTGACTGCAGTGAACTGGAGGATATCACAGCCATAAAGGCTTTAATCAGGTTGGACTCAACTCTGAGACTACTTGTTTTCTTCAACCAGGTTTTTCCGATATTATTGGTCACAAGCAATATTGTGATTCTAAGCTGGTTCCGGATTGGGGGGCAAGACATTTTGTCTTAGTATCACATTACTTTAATTTTCTCCAGGTTAACATTTAATTAAATACGACTTTTAAACTAACCCACCACTGAACAAAGCCTTTTTGTAAGATTTTAAAAAAAAATGTTTTGCCTTTAATGGAGAGATAGGACAGTGATAGAGTCAGAAATTGGGGAGAGAGAGTGGGGAATGACATGCGGGAATGGAGTCGAACCTGGACCGCCCGCTCGGAGGACTACAGCCTACATGAGGCGCGCAACAGCACTGCCACCACACAGTCTTCATTCAGATGTTGGCAAATGGAGGTCAAGAGTGTCCTGACACCCTGTATGAGGAGAGAGAGTGTGAATCACTTCCTGTTTGTCCAGTGTATAGGTAAAAGCATCCTATGTAATCGAATATGTTCTTTTCTTAATTTTAGGAAACAATATTCTTATTTTATGCCCTAAGCAGAGGGTGAAAAGAAAGTTGCCTATTTTAGACTAGTTATTTTAAGTGTGTGTGTGTGTGTGTGTGTGTGTGTGTGTGTGTGTGTGTGTGTGTGTGTGTGTGTGTGTGTGTGTGTGTGTGTGTGTGTGTGTGTGTGTGTGTGTGTGTGTGTGTGTGTGTATATATATACTGTATATACTTTAGTTGAAAAAGATGCTAATACTAGAAGAAAAACTAGACATGACAGAGTAAAAGGCTCTCAATAATGTTAATGGACCATGTGCATTGTATTTTAGTGCTGTATTTGTAGTATCGTACTTTATTTGGTGGGAAATCTTTAGATTTCAATATGAATTGAAATTAAGTGGGTCGACCTAGTACTAACAGCAGTATTGATGTAATAATAGGCTTATACTGTATGGATTCCATTTTATTGACACTGTGTAAATGTTTGCATATGCTGTTGACTTTATTAATTATAGACAATTTGTTTGTAGAAGCTTGTGGTTTGGCAGTAGAGAAGGTTTGATCCAAAATCCTGCAGTTACATGTCAAATGTCCTGTTGCAAACCACTGAACCCCAAATGTCTTCTATAGTGGTGTTTGAATATGTGTGAATGGCATAGTATTGATGGGCAGTTGGATACTTTGCGTAGCCGCCTCTGCCATCTGTGTTTGAATGTGTTCAATTCTAAGTCCATTTAACATTTATGTAGTATTATTTGTAGCAACAAATCTCCTATTTTCCCCAATTTTTCCTTCAAGCTTTATTAAAACCATTCCAATGGCATGTCAAAACACAGAAGACTATACAATTACACTGATTTTAAACCTATACGATATTGATGGTGTATAACCAAACACCAGTAGATAAAGAAATATAATGTATTCTGATCTAGTTCCATAAGATTTAGCACTGCAGCCCCAATGATGACAAAAAGTCGTATTCCATGTCTACTAGTATTTTAGTTTATATTTTGGCTATATGTGTTCGTAATTACACACAATATATAAAGATATTTTGCAGACTTTGCCTGCTTTGTATCTAAAACTGCAAAAAAAATACTGCAGTGAATAAGTATTTCTGTTTTTATTTTTCCACATAGGTGGAGGACACACAAGTGGAACAGCTGTAAACTGGTTCAAGATTCAGTTCAACGTAGATTACATGGACCAGGAGAAGCCTGTGGAAATGGTGTAGAAACAAGAGGTTGGTTTGATCCCCTATTATCCATCCAGCCATCAAATCATGCAGCCTTCCATCAATTTTTGTTTTTACACAGTGCAATATCATCATAAAAGTGATTTAATGACACTTAAAAATTCAAAATGTACTGTACTTATCATACCTATATACTGCTTTTCAAGTCTTCTTGTGCTTTTTACACTACATCACTACGTCACTTTCACTCATTATTTATGTAAAGTGTCCATTGTGTTAAATCATTTCCAATGATACACAGTCACACACCACTGGCTATGCCACTCTGGAGCAATTTGGGGTACAGTGTCTTGCCCAAGGACTGCAGTAGCTTGGAACTGCCAACTTTCCATATGATATATGAGCAACTCTACCACTTAGTCACAGCTACCCCAACTTCACATAAAGAGCAGGTCTAGACTTTACTCTTTACAGATCATTTACATACTGTACATAAAGCAATAATCCACAATGAGCAAGCTCTTGGTGCAATAGTGACAAGGAAAAACATCCCTTTTACAAGTAAAAACCTGACCGTTGATAACATGGTTGGAGTCCCAGTGCGGACTGCTGGGCTGGGTCAGTGACATTATAATTACATTTTCTGAATTATTTAATCGACACATAAATTTGAACAGAACATTTCTCAGCAAAGCATGAAATGTGGACACATTATTGAAAACAAACATCTGACTTGCACTCATCCATCTTGGCAGCTTAAGACATTTTCTGAATGCATCTTTATATGCCACCTGTAACTTTTTCATTTTAGCTTTACTATAATTGCACCACAAGTGGGCAGTATACAGCGGAGTACAGTAAGCTCAGTAACAGCTAAGTTTTAAAATTGTCTGTGCACATTGAACATTTGCGTGCCAGCATCTTAGCTTGAGCGTACATTTTGCAGCACTGACGCTGCACATTATCATCATCACTCAAGTCATTCCTGATAATATATCCCAGATATTTGACTTATCTACCACACTCAGGGCTTGATCAGAGATAAAGAACGAAGGGAAATGTTTCTTTTGATTGTCCTTGGCTTTTACTGTCATGACAATGGTCTTCTTACTGTTATACTTTATGTCACACTGCACTCCATAACTCGAGCAGATTTTTAGAAGTTGCTGTAGGCCAGCAAGATTGACAAGATTACTAAATCATCAGCATACGTCAAATGGTTAACAATTGTGTCTCCCACCATACAACCAGTCTTACAAGCTATAAGCTATTCAGAGAGATCGTCCATATACATATTAAAAAGAAGTGGTGACAGAATTCCACCTTGTCGTACCCCATTGGTCACTGAAAAGGGTGCCGATATACTTCTGCCCCATCGAGCTGCGCGCATATGGATTGATGCAAATACCAGAAATGCACTATTCTTATCAAATAAGGGGGGGACCCCTCTGTTATGTATTTTCATAAATAATTTACAGTGATTTATCCTATCAAAGGCTTTGGACGCATCCTGAAAACACATAAATATAGTTGATTTTTTTCACCTGTACATGTTAACAACTTCCTACAGAGTGTGTGTGTGTGTGTGTGTGTGTATATACACACACACACACACACACACACACACACACACACACACACACACACACACACACACACACACACATATCTGTACTGTGTTTATTCTTGAAACCAAATTGGTGGTCTGTTGTTACAATGTATTCCTGAAGGCAATCCAATGAAAGGTGAATTAGTTCTAATACTTTGGAGAGTATACTAGCCAGGGCAATTGGTCTGTAGTTCTCAATGCTGGATATTTTACCAGTTTTGTCTTTGACTACTGGCACTTGTTAAATAGACAACATAGAATCAGGTAGTACACCATGCATCAAACAAACTTTTTTCACCAGTTTTCACTGAACCAGAAAGGGTAAGTGAGCAGGAGCGCTTGTTAAACTGAAGCAGCGGGGATTAGGCACTGCACTTCCATCCATTCACATGGCGAACGACCGCTCTCTGGCTAACAAGATAGACAAACTCCTGCTCCTAAACACAAGAAACACAGACTTTTGCTGATCTGCCGCCCCAGTTTTATTTCCCAAACTTCACAGGCTACTGTGGGCCGTACCCGACGCCAAAATAACAATTCAGTCTCTCTGTCAGTAACGGTACTCCTCAGATTAGGTACCACTCACACCTTGCCTAACTCCCTGACAGAAAAACAGGAGAAAAGGTTTAATAAAAAGATAAGGCTCCTCTACCCTACAACATAACTGGACTTCTCAAAGAAAATCTATATTCTCAAAATACATCTAATTCAACAAAAATCACTATCTCTCTCATTAATGTCTTTGAGAGACATTAATGAGCTTCCACAACTCCCTTTAAACTTGAGCCCTCAGCTCTCCACCAATAAGGTGCAGGTATGCTGCACAAGCGTCGGTCCATTCAGTAGCCGGCCCGCACCAACAGAGTTTACCAAATCATGGAGCGGGTACCTGCAGCTCAGCACTAAGACAGACAGACGCACAAATAAGAAAAGGAGCACAAAGCCCCACAAAGGCATATCTAATAATAACAAAGTTTAATACAACTATGACTCAGTCATAACACAACCAAAATGTCAAATATCTTAATCACCCTCCTGTATACTGCACAACTGAAAACACAAGATTGGGCTGAAATTCGGCATGCAACTCAAAAATCAAGTCTAAATTGCCAAAAATCCTACAGTTTACACCAGGCTTAAGACATCCCAACTAATCTAGAGTCGTACTCTCACTATTGCTCTCTTGGCATTGAAATGACTGGCATTTCTCAAGGTTTTTTTTACTTTTGGGTTAAGACCAGAAAAGTACATGTACTGTTCCCAGGTTGAAAGCGTGTCTCATTGACCTTTAGAGCTCTCCATTTGAATATGATAAGAAAATGATTAAATTAAATACCTGTGACATTTCAAAACTGAAGTGCTCGTTTGGATATTGCAGTCAGTGGAAAACTGAATTTAAAGATAGATTTTAAGCAACAGACAATTTATGCAGGGTATACTTTATTAGAGAGTAGGTGAAACCATTAATTGGAAGGACATATAAAAGTCATACTGAATCAAAATTCATCAATATTTTTGGAAATACGGCCAAATTAGGTGCATAGAAAAAACTAAATAAGGGCATATCAAAAATGTAATGACAGTGAATTATAGAAAATGTTTCTATATTATTTCAGAACCCTTACTGTGTTCCTATGCATTACATAATAGCAGTACACGAGTGTTAGATATTGTGTTATATTGCGTAGCATCAGACACTAGCTGTAGTGTTTTTGTATTGTGGACAAATCAAAGTGTGGTGCTTTGTATTCACGAGCTGTTTTTTCCTATGTTTTTTTTCCCATTGTAAGATATCCTACCAGCTCAGGATTTTTAAAATATTGTTTATTTCTGTATAGTTTTGTTTGGGGTAGAGCACTTGGGATAATTTCAAAATTCTAAGATTGCTCCACTCTTTCGTAAGGTGTCAAACTCAGTCTTTTTATGCAGTATGTAGCTTGGTGGGATGATGGTCTCAATTCAGTAGAGAGCTGAGGTTACATTGTATCCATGGTTCTCTGGGTGGAGAGGCCTCTCCACCTTGAGATCGCTCAGAATCAATCAATCAGGAAAAAACAAGGTCATGCACACCTTTGCTTTATGGACACGCCGATAAACTTCTGTTAACTGTTAAGCTCTCTCTGACTTTTTTAGAAAGGGCACTAAATGTTTATTTACAAATAAAAAAGCTGTTATTATCGCGGCACCAAGGAGAGATAGAAAGAGTAATTTAAGTAGTAAGCACATACATTGGAAACAAATACAGACACATAAACTTTTCATTTTTAGGACTGTTGTAACTTCATAAAGAGTATAAAGAGAAGCAAACAAGATCCTCACACAAAGAAGCTCCTTTCTAAAGCAAGTGATGTTTTGAGCCAACATGTCTCAAATCCTTTAAATGGGAGCTCTTTGGTGTGCAGATCTTGTTTACTTCTCTTTACCTACAGTGTCTGTGTTTTCAGATCCTGGACCCAGTTAGGGATGTGCATGTCTTTTTTAAATTTGGATTTTTCTGTTGTAACTTCGCTAAATTCTCAGGCCGGACAATAAAATGTTAGAACGACACTGGAGCCTACAGTCTCTGCTGACAGTGACAAATAGAGAGTTGGCTGTCTCAATAGAACCATTACTCATTGGTAGAGGCACATATTATTGTACATATATATTGTAATGTAATCTTTGACCTCTGACTAATCAAATCCATAGTAGCTGGATAGGTGTTGACATGTCCTTGCCATCTCTCCATATTCTGCACCATTTAGATATCTCAATGTTGTGTATGTGTTCAGTGTGTGGTATATGTTTATGTCTGCTATTATTTCTCCTTTGAGAAAGCTTTCTGTGGAATGAGATGCTCAGGTCCAGTCAGTAGCTGGATTGTGATGTATCTGTTTTGATCAGATACTGGTTTGTTAATGTAAAATGTAAAATGTTGTCACAAGTATTTGGATTTCATGTTAAGCTGTTTTATTTGGATGCCGTGTCAATAAATTATTGGTATGTAAAGTAGTAATACCACAGTAATCAATAATTTATGATTATTATTATTATTATTATTATAATAATAATAATAATAATAATAATAATAATAATAATATTTAACTTTTTGTGTTATAATTTAATTCAAGCTTCAATTTTAAGCTTGTGCACACAAAGTTACATTCATGCAAACACATTTTTTTTAATTGAAATTGACAATAAAAGATGCATTGACAGAAGGTTAACCAACATTTAAGTTGGTCTTAGCATGAAAGCTCTGTGGATATTCATGATAGCTGTGATTTATGCAGTGACTTTTCAATAGCTACTTTTACTTTTTGACTGAATTCCCCAAAATATAATTATCAAGATGTATAGCTCTCACCTTCCTGTTTAAAGCACAGAGTTTTCAAAATGTTCAATAACTCAACAATGAGACCCTTTAGTTATGCATTCCTTGTATAATTGAAGTGACATCCCTTATGTTTGCAGGAGTCAGTTGTGTTGAGGAAAGTGGGGAATCCGCCAATATGACAGAATGCCTGCAATGGGCTGGCCCCTTACCCCTCAAATAAGACAGTGTCGGGTGGCTTGCAAGGACGACTGCACCCTAACGGCATGGTCCAAGTTCTCTGAATGCTCTGGGTGTGGCAACTTCCGCAGCCACAAACGTTCACTTACAGGTAAAGACCCTTATATTATTAATTTGCAAATCACAAATCACAACTCCCAAATATTATTTACCACTTGTAAAAATTCAAGTAATGCTACACATTGGTTACTGTTTTATCTTGCTGTACACCTCCACCAGACAACCTGCGATGTGATATGCTATGTAAAAAAGAGTAAACTTTTAGACTTGTTTCCAGAGGCGCTGCTTGTCAACAGGCAAGGCAGGCAACTGCTTGGGGCCCCAGGCCAGTAAGGGTCCCTCCAAAGGCTGACAAACTTGAAACCGCAGCAGTCTGTCAAAAAGTGCAAATTATGTCAATGAGATTCACTGAAGGAAAATTAAGAGGAATTATCAGCCTGGGAGTGAAAAAATAATGAGGAAGAGCGTCTACACACTGGCTGACATAACGGTGGTTGGATGGGCCCCCGATTCATTTTGCCTAGGGCCCCAACAGACTCTAGAATCACCACTGCTCATTTAAAAAGTAACCCAGTCACATCCCCTAATCTTAGGGGTTGCTGTCATTTAGGTGTACTTTTCTGTTGTCAAAAAGCCCCTGTGCTTTGACGTGTCGCAGCCTAGTTCAATGTCTTTTCCTGGTTCTGCACATGCTTATGTAACTTTGAACTGTTCCTTTAGTGTTATGTAAGGTCTAAATTCAGTCTCTCAGAGCTTGTTATCCCTTTTTCAGTGCTCACGGCAAAATCTGAATTACATGCTGTAGTTTCACACCAGGCTGGATACTATTTGTCTTCATGAATATTTGATCCCGTGCTGGAGGGTTTGTAATAAACATACCCATCCAGGACTAGACTTGCAAAAGAAATTAGCCCACGCAATTTTGGCTCAGACCGGCCCTTCAACTTGTCAAACACAACCCACCTTCCCTGTAAACCCTTTTAATATGCATTCTTATCATTCCCCCAAATAATTCAAAAGCTGAGAGGTAAGTGCCATAGGGACATTTAATAATGTGTATTCAGTCTGTTAACTGAATCCCTCATAGTCAGAGGTGAGTATATCGAATAAATAATGTTCTTATCCAAATATGTAAAAAGTAAACAATTATCAGGGAAAAAGCCCAGCAAGAATTGATTATACATTTAATATACTCCAGGCTCCATGTATTTAATCTTTAACTCACTGTACAGAGTCATTAAGATCATTTACCACAATGGGCAAAGAGAACGTATTGAATTCAAATACTTGACTTGGGTAGTTACAATTACTTAATATATATTCTACTCCACAACCGCTGCACTGCAAACACTGTACTTTATATGCTCAGTCGGTTTTCTAAGCACATGAACACATGCAAAACCTTAAACATCCAAAGCAATAGAATGCAACATAGTAATAGAACAAAGAATATAAAAAAATCGATATAATTAATATTTAAAAAATGTATACAAAATTCATATGACAGTAAAAAACGTAAAGGACACGTATAGCACAAGTATGGATTACTTTTAATTATAATTGAGTACTTTCTCAAGATGGTAATAGTAGTACTGTAGTAAATGTAGTACTTTACAACCCTCCCTTCATTACATTTCACACTGAAGAGCTACAGAATAAACCTATCAAACTGATTTTTCCTGCATTTTTATGAAGGGAACTCTCTACCTAACAATGTTATATTACGCTACCATTCAGACTTATCTCACTTACGGCTTGGCCTGACTATGGCTAGCTTGTCAATGCTTGTCATGTCACTCCAGCCTCTCCTTTTGCTATTTCTATCCCTCCACTTTCCTCTCACACACCTGCCCCTGCTCCTTCTGGTCTCTGCCTGGCAGTATACATCTTTTCTCTCTACCTGTTGCTGCTTGCGAGTGGGTACTGCAGTAGCAAACCATGCCATGCTACAGGGGCTGCAGAGCTTTTACACATTTGAACAAATCTTTACTTTTGAAATTGATTAGCTCACATCTTGATCGGCACACACTGTGCGGGGCGGGGTGCTTTTTTTTGGTAATTTGTTTTGATTTTATGAAGGATAATTGTGTCCCAATAAGGTGCGTAGTTGATCAGATTGACAGGCAGACGAGATGTAACAGATTTTCAAGAAAATGATAACCTGCCTCAGCTTCAGCTGTCGATAGGTTGACTCCAAGTTAGGGTGAGACAGCTTTTCCAGCATGATGACCGCCAGATTACCAGTCCAACCCTCTGTACCCATTCAACTATAATGCTCTTGATATATAAGGCTCAGCTAAGCAATGTGTTTTACATGGGATGAATTCCAAGAGTTGTAGTTCTTACATTAGATGACAATTGCTTCACAACGAGTTTGACATTTGTTCATATTTTTCTCTCAAATAATTTGTCGGAAAGCAAAACTTACTCATTACGATCTAATTTGTGGTTAAGGAAGTTAGCAGCATCAGAACAATTTTGAAGGATCAAAAGCAATTTGATAAAAATGCAGCAGTTGTAGTGCATATTTCTTGGATCAAATGAGAAAATAAAAAAATATTTGCAGGTCAACTTGTACTTGTGCGTACATCTTGCCAAATGTGTGCTAACATACAACACACACATAACAGTAGGCCGAATCGCTGTTTGCTAGTCATTCTTCAACGGCTGCATTTGAGTCCCTCTCTATCCTCTATCAAGTAGTTTTGAGTAGATTCTAGCAACCCAGTAAAAAACTGTTCTGAGATGTATGTTTGGCTCCCTCTTGTTACCCAGCAGGATAACTCTTAAACCATTTATTCAAAACATTTGACTCCCATACAATAAGTGAAGTGTATGTGCAGGCGTCTGTGGCAATCAATGACTCTGAAGACTAGTACGATTCTTGGCAGATGATTATCTTAGAAGTTCAGCAAGTAGTAAATTATACCATAGAAGAGAAGATTGAAAACCTTCTACTTTCATATTCAAATTCTTTCTATTCATCATGTTTAAGATCATGGTTCCTATTGTAATTATGGTATTATAAAGTCTGTTCATGGAGAAATAGCATAGAGGATGCCAGTCATCCTGTTTTTTTTTTGTATTACACTGTTGTATTAACATTTAAAGAGTAATGACTAATTGTTTAAACTAAAATACTTTCATACATGTGTTTCCGTAATATGAATATGTCTCTTGTCAGAATAAAGGACGAGTGCAGCTTTTATATTTGTCAAGCAGTATGGTGAGTTTTAAACATTATCTTCTTTGAATTATATTATATCTTTTTAGAGCTCAACCGCCCACAAAGGGTTAACTACACTATCCAGCTTTATTACTTAACCATTTGAAATATCTCTGAGTCTCTTCTCTTTCAGAGTAAGCTTTCAGTGTTTAGATACTATGATGGTCAAGCGTATTGTTAAATTTAACCTGTTGTTTTTTTGTTGATGCTAATATATGCGCTGATAATAACCTATATGTTATTATTATTTTCTCACATTTAATTTAATTTTATAGAATGGGATTTACAAATAAAAAGTGATTGATAATGTATTGTCCTCCAAGTAAATCAATGGGGTGGTTAATCTCTTATGTTGCAAATGAGAATATGGATCAACGAGCGTGAAAAACAACAACAAGAAACAATCGACCACGAGTCGGCGATGGGGAAAATTATGTTCGACTATGTAAATCCTTAGTAGGTGACAGGCCTAATCTATTGTCTACTCAGGATGTATGACAGACAGGGGTGAAAATAATAAAAAAAAGGGCACCTGCTCCATGCACAGAAAGTCGTCTTACATTTATAGTGAAATAGTTTTGTCTACTGGAAGGGCACCACAGAGGGCAGGTTACCATTTTTGGCCCACTGGAACACCACCCTGGAGGGCTGGAGGGCTATGATATTTTGTCCACTAAGAGGGAACACTGGAGGGCCCTTTATCACGTTTTGTCCACTAAAACAGCACCCTGGATTACACTTGATCATGTTTTATCTACCACAGGGGCATCCAAGGGGGCACTTTAGGGCTGTGGGGGGCAATCATCCCCCTTAGTCCACCAGTGAATTGTTTCATGGCCCAACTCTAAGCCATAGCTCTTTCATGCAAAAGCACCAAAAAAAAGTTTGGAAAAGTCATATCGGTCAATAATTTGCCCCTTTAATAATACTAATTGGTGTTGTATTTCATATCGTTGGAAAGCATGATTAGTCACCTTAACAACGAGGTATAACTTGGAAGGATCTTGGAAGGAGCAACACAGCTAAACATGGGAGTAGAGCTCTAAAAAAATGTGCGAAAATCCCCTGCAATATTCTCCTGTTGGTATTCACTCCTGTTTTGAGTTGATTGGTTGATTGGAGGTTTGCATTCTCCCACAGTAATAAGGGGAAAAAAACACATATTTGCCATTTTTACACTTTATTCATTCATTTATTCATCCACTGTCAGGGACCTCAGTAGCGTGTGGAAGATCCATATGCAGCCACAACAGCTTGGCCCCTCCTCCTCATGCTGGTCACCGGCCTGGTCACATTTTGCTGTGGGGGGGGGCATCCCATTACTCTAAGAATAACACAATCATACAGTGTTATGGGCTCTACTGTTGCACCAGCTACCTGTATTTGCTTGAACAGGTTATATAAATCACACTTGAATGCAGTTTGTTTTTGTTTCCTGTGCTGTGCTTTTACTTGTAATGTAGTTGTCAAAGTGAAGGAATCTCTCAGACTTGTATTCCTCAATCAGCCACCAGCAGTGGCGTAGCTTGAACAGATTGTTGGTGAATTGCAGTGAGACGGCAGTGAGTTGACACTCTGTGAGGAATGTTTGCAATCAGACCCACTTCAGAAACAGATGGGCTGCTCACTGGGCACACAGGAGGCCGAGGACACCCAGGATCCATATAACAAATAGTGATGCAGGATAAGCATGGCTGCAGTGCAGCTCCTACTCGTGGCTTTGTGTTTATGTGAGTTTTTCATAGAGTGCGGCCTACTCTGTCTCCATCTGACACTCAGTAACTGTGCCGCTTGCGCTTACATTTCAACATCAATCAACAACGTGTTTAATTAAATTTAAAGAAATCATTGTCTTTTGCTTATTCTTTGGAGACTGCAAAATATTAATGCACATAATGTTATTACTTGAACTCTCAGGACTAGTGGGATGTTTTAATCATACAACAAGGAAATAACCACTTGAAGATCAAATGTGTGAGAATAAAAATCTATATTGGGATGTGTTGTCTTATAAGTATTCCTGTAAAGAATGCATATACTTTTACAAAATCAAGTGTGTTTCCTATTCAATAAAACATATCCTTTCTTAAAATTAAATGTTTAAAATAAATTAAAATGTTTTGTCTTTTATGGGGCTCCCCAAAACACTGTCTTACATCCTTGATGTAGCAGTGCACATGAGGTGAGTCGTTTAATGGGCCATCCAGTGAATAAAGAAGTTAGGGGAAACAGAATATTGTAATTGAACTTAAATATTTGGCATGGCAGAATGTAGAACGTGAAGATCAAAATGCGTTTGTCTTCCCAATACTACCTTTCAGGGAGAACTATTCTAAAAAATAAGAGCTCAAACAAGACAAGGTAGACTGAGGGAAAATGGATACACCAGGAAGAGAATAAAACACTTAACACAAAATGATTCCTGAGCTAAAACACATCTACAGCTATCCATTGTCTTCCATATCTTAACGGTTGTCTGACCTTTGAAACCAAATCTTTCCGTGCACTGCTGATCATTAAAAATGAAAAGCAGCCACTTCATGGTGAGGAGTTGTCTGTGAAAAGGGAGGAGAATGAACAAATGTGCATCAGGAGAAAAACATATTTTAAAGAGAAAAAAGTCCCGTGTTGCGTCCTCTGTGAAAGATTCCTCGGCTGCAGCAATTTTTAATTCAATAAAACACAATAAAAGACAAAGTCTAGTCTGTACGTGCTATGCATAAAGGGGTACATTTGCAATCCAAATGACATTCAAAATGTCAGAAAATTGAAGTCTTTTTGTTCTTGTTTCATAAACCTCTAATCTTGTTTGTATTGTGAATTCTACTTCCACTTGCTTGCAGACTGTGTAGAAAAACAAATACCCATTAACAAAGTAACGCAGATATTTAGCATGCAACATTTCCTGAGTAGGCTTTTAAATGAAGACAAATTCTTTCAAATAGAACTAATAATTCCCTTGGGACATTTAGATTGCCTTAAAATATGCATTGCAGGGTAAGTGGCTTCCTTGCCACTGGATGGCTATGCCTGTTTCTTTCAAAGAAATAAAGTCCAATAATAAGTGAAAGAAGGGCAAAATGAGTTACTGAGTAAACACAGCCCCTTTATTTTGGCATAATGCTGTGTTTGGTAACCAGAGATTTAGAAGGAATAATTTCTCTTACACATTTTGGGATTGTTTTCAATCTGAAAAGTGGTAAATACACCTTTCTTTAACTGCTTGTTTAAATAAACAAATATGCAAAGATAAATAATGATTCATTTTGCCTTTTATTATTTAAACTTGACTTGAAATGCGTCACTACAACGGGTGGGAAGGGTGCATGTAAAGGATTTAAAGATGGCAAAGCAACCCTTTGTCAGTGACCCCTATTTTAAAACATGTTCTTTTCCCTAGTGTCAGTTTTGCACATGCAAGCCCTACGATCAAGTTAACAATAATAAATATACAACGTCCAAAAATACTTACTGAATAAAGAGGCCACGTTAACAAAAACATGCATGTAACATCTCGCTATACTTTTAAAATGAACCCAGCCAAATCTAAGCAGACTTGATTAGAATGACTATGTTATTAAAGTTAAGCATGTTACCTGCTGAGAGTAATACATTATAAAAAAGTAAAATGACAGCACTGAGTGATGGATTTCACATGGGAATAGAACCCAATCCCCTGAAGTGAAAGTCCTGTTTTTGACCAGTTCAATTCCCTTGACCTCCTCCTGGTCTGGGTACCATCACTTGTTTCAACATCTTTAACAACATGTGAAAACATTATGCTAGATGACTGTTTCCACAAATGAAAGATGTTAGGTTACTTTATTTGTACCTGTACAGTACAACAGTCATCAAATCAGATTAGCGGTATCACAGTTCAGAATAAATGAAATCATGATGTGACTTTTTTGGCCATTTATTTGTCATCATTCCGAGTAGATTTATAAACTTACAGTGTCAACGGTTCACCGAAGTACATTAATTGTTCATTTGTATTGTTGTGATTGCCAATGACAGGGGCAACACAGGCATCAGTCATCTCATCTTTCAATTTGAAATGACTGAGGATCAACATGCATCAAGTAAATGAAAGAATTTTTTTGATTACTCTGAGGCTTAAATGATTACTTGAGTGCCCATTCTGTTTGCAATTGGTTAAAACGATCAGATATAAACTCTCTTTTTTAAATAGTTTTCCTTCTCTCTAATGTGATATCCCTTACATCTGTTTTGTAATCTGTGTGTCATGATGGATGTCAATCTTGCTGGTAGCAAATTAATCTACCAAAAGTGTAGGCTGCCTATGAGTGATTTTTAAATCAGAAATAAGTTGGATCTTGCATGAAGGTGAATCGCAAATAATGTAAAGTAAAATTGGTGTCTGTCTTTTACACAGGTCGCAGTAAAAATAAGATGCATTGCCTCAATGAGGAGTTGTACCCTCTGGAGGAAACGGAGACCTGTCCCTGTGATGAGTTTTTGTCCCAGCCCTTTGGGAACTGGTCTGCTTGCATCCTCCCTGATCCTTCAGCTCCCAGCCAGCAGGGCTGGTTTGACCAGAGGGAAATAAAGCAGTGTGGGCAAGGCCTGCGATACAGAGCTGTGGCGTGCATTGACCTGCAGGGACACCTGGTCAACCCCACTCTCTGTACAGAATCCGGTAGGAAATACATGTGACAACCAATAATCTGAAATGTAACATCAACCCGAAATGTAACAACGACCCAAAATGTTGTAAAAAAAAAAAAAAAAAAAAGTAATAAAACCCCAAATGCAATAACTGGTTGATTATTGAACAAGATGCGGAGCCAGAATCTCTTGAAAGTGATGAAAGTGAAAAGATAACACACAAGACATTAAGAGGTCAATTATGGAGACAAAAAAGAGACACAAAGAAGCAGAATCTGAATGTGTGAATATTAATTTAATCTTAATGTGTTTAATGCTTAGGAGAATTAGGAGAAAAATATTTTGCCCCCCATATAACGTAATAACTGACCCAAAATGTTATGACTTGGCATAAGTTAGCATGTTTTGGGCTCAGCACTTTTGTTACATTATTGACCAGTTATCACATTCTGTTTTATTACATTTTTTTAATACATTTTTGGTCGTTACATTTTGGGCTCCTTACAAGGATTTTTTTTAATGATTAAAAGGCAAAACATGCATGTTATTTCTTTCATCCATTCATCTTGACATCGTCTTTATATAATAAGAGTTCTTATTTGAGTGGGGTTGTTCTGTTTTGTTTTGCTCAAACCAATGACTGGCCAGTGGGGTAAATATCATACCTGCATCTGCAGTTGCCAATGCTTGCTTTGCTAGAGAAAGTAAACTTTAAGCTGGGTTGACTTTTTACAGCTTCTCACAGCTGGGTAAACACCTTCTTGAGAATGAAACAGCCCTTAGTGGTCACAACAAATAAAAACAGAAATTATGAGGCTGGCACTTTAGAGGTCTGGTACGAAATTAATTATTACACTTTTAAAGAAGATAATTGAAATGAAAGATGCATTTCAAGTTATATCTCTAAGCATTGAAAGATGTTAACTTTGATAAACACCTGGAAAAGACAGCATTCTGAATTTGTTCCCAGATTAGGTCCCAACCGGAACTACTTCTGTTAGAAAAATAATGCAAATAGCTATTGAAGAGAGATTTTCTATAAAAATATAAATACTGCTATATATACAAAATGAAATTACAATTGTAATATCATGATGAAAATGCTTGCATTCATATACCTCGTCTCTGTGTACTAAGATGCTAGAGGATGTTTAGGGGTGGCAGTAGCTCAGTCTGTGGCCCTGGGTTGGGAACTGGAGGGTTGCTGGTTCAAGTCCCAATATGGGCCAAAGCATGGAAGTTGGTCTGGTTGCGGATGGGGTTGCCTGGCCCCTTCCTGAGTACATCTAAACCCCCAACGGCTTCGATGCGCTCCCTGTGTAGCAGTGTGTAGCAGCCCCACTCTAACATCTCTCATTTAATGCATGCCCATAGGCCCTGTTTGTGTGTAATTCATGTACATGTCTCTCAATAACAGAGTGTAAAACCAGGAAAACCAGATGTGAAAAATGCAATTTGAATGACACATTTATTCAACTTACACATTGCAATGAACGCTGCAGCTGCTGACCAAGTCTCAATTTCAGGCTACATGGTGGAGTTCTGTCACATCCCTTGCCCCCTAGACTGTAAGCTCAGTGACTGGTCACCCTGGTCATCCTGCAGTGCATCCTGTGGCAGCGGGTTAAAGATCAGGTCCAAGTGGCTGAGAGAGAAAGCTTTCAACGGGGGACGCCCATGCCCAAGGCTGGATTTAAAAAATCAGGTAAAGTTTTTCTAAGGTGCCAATAATACAATAGCAGTCTGTACAGTCCAAGAGGAAAAGCACACTTATGAATTAAAATAAACTCCTATTTGTTTTCTTTTGAAGCATCTTTGGACCATTGTTAGTATCTAAAATAATAAATAATTTCCACATGTATATAGTAAATTTACTGAACTGGCATTAGCAATTTGGTTTTACTTTGACCAAACAAAGTTGCCCTGTTCACCCTTCTGCAATGTTCTTAAATCACTTTTCCAACTACCACATTGTTTGTAGTGATACATTTAAGGGAACATTGATGAAGGCAATTGTTTGACATTCAATGTACATGCATTTGGGGGGTGGGGGTTCATTTTTAATGAAGAGTAATTATTTTCATATTAAGCAAAAGAGTCCACAATGCTCCATTTTTATACAGTCATCATTCTCTTGCTACGGTAAGGGTGCATGTAGTATTTTTATTTATCTAGTTTTTATTATTATGATGTTTTTTTTACAAATTGACATTGTGTTAAGGGAATATATTTTCCTCAAGCCCTGGTTTTGTTACAGCCTAATGCTGTCCAATAATTGAAGAGTAGTGCTGTATTCTCATCACATTTCAATAGCAATGTTTATTACCAATCAGCTAGTGGGACTCCTGGGTGACCTGTTCATTTTCTGGTATCGCCAATCAGATCAAATCATTTGCCTTGCAACACATGCCCATTCCTTGACATAAAAACAGGGCAGTGTTAAGTACCAAAAGGGAGGATAGAGATGAGGAAGTGAACAGATGGAGGCTTGTGATATTCTTCAGTCGGGCTTTATCTAAAGCTCTGAATAATTTGCGACAGCATTTCTCCCATGGGTTCATGGTTCAAAGAAGGAAAGTGTTTTATGAATGCTGCCTGTAAGCTTGAATGGGCTTGAAAGGACACTTCAGTTTGTAGAGGTCGATATGGAAACACGGAACGACTGTGAGAAAAATGTTCCACTGTGCTCAAGTGGCGATTTGTGTACAGATGGTTAAGTGCCCACTAACAGAGTCTATATGGCCCCTGTAGTTATGCCCTGCAATAACCCTCGCCACTGGTTTTGGAGCTTGCTATTGCAAATGCTCTCGTGGATTTATCCTAAGGTCGGACTTGAGCACATTGCTAACTTAATCAAAGTGGTCGTTTAAAGTAAATTGCATTCAGGAGATGTTGGCGTAAACTTATTATAATCTCTTCCCTAGTTCAATTAGACATTTCCGTTAGGTTAAGTAAGGACACTCCTGGATGGTCAAACTAACTTCTTGACATGATTTCAAACAACCTGCTTTCTGCCTGAGCCTGCAAACTTCCCAGTTCAGCCTTCAAACTTCTATTTGGTTCAAAGTACTTTATTCAGCCTCTATTGGAATATTTACATGCCTTGGCTAATGGCTATCCACCTCCCTAAAAATCCCTTGCTCTGGTATGACCTTATGTGAACTATACTCTCTAGCTTAAGTGTGGCTTGCCTCACATCAACAGATGTTTCCCCAGGAGTCATGACCAGAAGTGACTGACATAAAAGAGATGAAATTTGCAGTGCACTGCGACTCATCCTCTCATCACACGGTTGAGTGAGCAGGAAGGACGAGGGAAAGACATAGACAGAAAGACAGAGTGAGAGAAATAGTCACCAAGAAAATATAAAGCAAAGAATCAGATTGTGTGCTGAAAATAAGGTAGCCTTTAAGATTAAATGCAAAGTATTTGTCTCCCTCAAGTTCATATTTATGATACTATGAAGCAGGGCTTTAGGTTTAAACTGAGGCATCTGGGTACATCAAAAGTGAGCGTGATATAATCTTATGAAGCCAATATTAACTCTTTGCTATCTAGCTTCAAGATACAAAATCTGCTGTTATGACTTAAACCTGGTTATCATTTTGCTTGCTTAAAATATGAAGCTTGACTTGTCAACCTATTCCTTTCCCATTGGGAAATAACAAGACAACATTTTTGAGGAAAGTCTATGGACAGAAATTTGGGTCAGCCGAAGCGGAATTTTGAATATTTGAATTGCTAAACTTTTAATTTGTACTGTTGAAACTGAATCTAAAATAGCATAATTTGAAATTGAATGTATTATTTTGTAACAGGATTCTAATGAAAATAAAACTATATTTAACATTTTGAAATTGAATACACTTTTTTTAAAACTGCAATTTTTTCCAGACTAAAATTACAATTCCCCAAATTCAGTTGTCACCACAAATGTCCCTGATCAAATTCAATTGAACACATTGCAGCTAGGAAGAGCAATTGAATGCAGATTGACGGCACTTCTTTTTGACCAAGACGCTTAGAAACTGTATCTGTATCTAAATGGTATGTTAGAAAATGATTAATAGCATGCTTGTAAAAAGATACACAATATTGTTTTATCCTCAACAAAGTTATTTTTGTTATTTGAGACTTTAGAAAAACATTTGCGTATTCCAAAAGTGAAAGATTGGCCGCCCTGATCAAGAAAAACTTGAGAAGGCATTTCTTTTGACCTCTTTTTTAAATATAAAACTTTCCATTCCATCCATTCTAAAATATTCCATATGACATATGTTGTGTATTTAACTCCTGTAACAGTGTTTCGTTTTCAATTGGTACATGCACTTTTCCTAAACAGAGTTGTCCTGATTGTGTATAGCCACTGCCTCAGTCAAGTGTATATTTAATTCAGTTAATGACTTGGCTTATTTTAGTGTTTCTGCTGGGCTCTGCATGGGCGTAGGTTGTGCTATAGTATCTTTATGTTATTTGAATGTTACAGACCCCTTTCAAAAATGAGATGCCCTACCGTATTACTGAAACGAAAATGCAGATTTAAGCAAACTATAATCACCAGATATCAACAGCAGGCACACATATAAAACACCGCACAAAAAGTAAGGACATTTTTGTTTGGTAGATTATTTCTTTGTTATAATAATGCTTCTTGGCAATAAATCGTATACCATTGGAACATAAGTAAGGTCTTTTACCTGCTTTTGTAACATAACAATGAGTATGGTCTTTTTACCTGCTTTTTGTAAAGTGTCTCGAGATAACACTTGTTATGAGTTGACGCTACATAAATAAAAATTGATTAATTGATTGAATTGAATGGTATAAGATTTATTGCCAAGAAGCATTGTTACAAAAAATAAAAAATCTACCAATTTTCTACTTATTTCCTTACTTTTTGTGTGATGTTTTATATATCTTTTTGGAATACTGTTTGATTGTATAGAGCAAACTGTCAACTGTAGTTCAATCAGGATAGACTTAATTGAGAATGAACAATTATTTATTTAACAATATAGGAAATAAATTTGTGAAAAGTTTTTGGGGATTAGACTCCATCATGACGACTTCATGTACTCGGAAGGGTAATTAGGCCGACAGCAGGATAGGATACCCCCCTATGGAGTCTAGACACTGGTGGTGGAGGTCATGTTAGCAGAATGCAGGATATGATGAGGATTGGGTTTCTGATGCTGTATCTGAACTCTGCTGAGCTGGAATTGAGGTGGCTGAATTTGACCGCAGCAGGATGATTGGTTGAGAGAGGTTGTGGCAGAGTTGGGTTGGATTATTACTGAGAGTAAACACCCACAATCAGCTGATCAGCATAACAGGGAGACGGAGGGAGTGGTAGAGAGGGAGTGGCTAAATTGAATGAAGAAATTGAAATGTGTGAGAGAATATAACCAATCTTCCTGCTTCCTGTTTTTTGCCCTAAGAATATCACTAGCTGCTGTCACAGAATCAAATCCTTTCGGAATACAATGAAATTGGTCACTTCAAGGGCAAGCAAAGAAGTGTGATATAACATATTTAAGTAAAAACTAGGGCCGTCAAAATAATGTGTTAACTATGATTAATTCATTACAGATAATTCATTACATTAATTCCTAGAAACACGCAATCACATACACACACTCACACACCAAACAGAGACACACGAATATACAGAGACCTGCTGAGGTAGGCTACTTTGCTACTTTGAATACATCTATTGATGTGCAGTCTTTTTTCCGTTTAATATTGCATTAAATATGAATCTACTTCAATCACTGTTTCAAAAGCTTGTAGAAAGTTTAGATGCCGTCATGTCATGAACAAGAAGCTTCTTCTGCGTGACTTACCTGCGGTGAAAATTGATTAACATAAAAAAAATAAAAATAATAATAATTAAAGAAATCAGCTTTGACACTAAAAAACATAGATGAATAATGACTGCACTGTGCGATAAAGTCATCTTTACTGGATGTAATGGACTTGAGCGTTTATAGCACTTTTCTAGTCTTCTGACTACTAAAAGCTCTTTTACACCACAGGTCACACACATTCACACACTGATGGTAGAGGCTGCTGTGTAAAGTAAATGGTAAATGGACTTGAGCTTGTAGCACTTTTCTAGTCGTCTGACTACTCAAATAGCTTTTAAGCCGCATGTCACACCTACACATTCACAGCCAGTCACACTGATGGCTGTGAGATTGCTACTGTATGTAAAGTACATGTTGCTGGGGATCAAACAGATGATCAACCTAGCACAGTGTCTTCCTTGGGCAAGACACATGACCAAGTTTCTCCTTCTTCCTCTTTGGTGGTGGGTGAATGGATTAGCTAATACTGATAGAATACATAGCAGCCTCTGCTATCAGAGTGTTAATGGGTGGGTGTGACCTGATGTGTAAAATATGACTTTTAATAAGTCAGAAGACTCGGCGAGCAACTGAACAAAGTCAAGTCCATTTAAAAAAGGAAACTGAGGGGCACATTGTAACAGATGGATTGGTGTGATTTCTTTGCAGAAGAAACCTTCTTGGAAGAAAGTAAGGGGGAAATAGCACTATTTTAAATCAACTCATTGGTCAAAATGTTAGATAATTATAGAGCGGCTTCTGTTGATTTCCCTTGGGTGGGTCTGAGAAAGGAAGCTTGAAATTTGATTCATTATTGTCTCTACTGTTTTGGTTAACAATAGGTTTTAGATTGTGTTATTGCAACCGTTGTTAATACATTCCTATTTTATCACAATATATGCTTTAAATACTAAACACAACCAAGCTTTTGCCTATGCCATGGAAACTTGGAAAAGAAATCAGAGCAAACTCTGCTTTCTTAAAAAGTATTATTACCTTAAGTTCCACAGGATAAAAAAAACATCTTCTGGTTGCATGAAGAATCAATGAGTGCTTTGATCACATTCCTTTCTCATGGCTGAATTTTTCTCCCCCCCCCCCCCCAAGAGATCATGGCTGTTATCCCTCAGTCTTAAATCTTTAGGATGTTTAAAGGGCTCAGTGTGTCAGTACGGCTTAAATGCAGCTGATGAACTCAGAATTTTGATTAACTTTGTGCAAGCTTTATTGTTCCTTAACACTACAAATGTTCTTTTTTTGCTTACTTTGTTTTAATGTTGTTTTTTCTAATTGACAAGTGGTGCCAACACATATTCTTAGCTAAATGTCTTGGGACAAGTTCTTTTCTTCTCTCATTTTAATTATAAAGAGTGTCCTAGATTTCAGTATTTATTAAAAAAGAAGAAACAGAAACAACATAGCTCAGTTTTCATAATGTATGAGCTTTTCTTTTCAGACATCCTAATGGCAAAAATACATGTTGACTGTATCTGAGATGTCATCATGACATGGGCATATAGTCCTCTGTGCTTCTTAGAGGAGTCATTGATTTCTGACTGATTGCACTCCTTTTGAACGTGTAATTACACATTGATAATTAGAGGGCTTTATTGACGACAGGCTAAGATTTATTTTCCCATTTTCAGTTTGTTTATATCATAAATCCATCCCTGTAGGAGGGCTTGTTGTCAGTCCATCTGTTCTTGTGTGTATTTTTGTATGGCTATGTGGATGTTTTCTTTTCATGAATACCATGCATCATATAGCAAACCTTTATGTATTTATTTGTGTCTGTTTGCATGTTTTTTTTTTTATCATGTCTTATCTGGTGTTTTTCCTGCAATTTACTTTCCATGGCATTCACGTGGCAAGGTCAAAACTGACTTTTTTTCCCCTGAGATCCGGGACCTTAACACTTTTAAAATGAACCTTTAGTAAGCAGTTTTAGATCTTTGGTTGCATAACTGATTTATCTGTAGTAAAAACTACAACACCTAGAGCTTTCTGACTGTAATAAAATAGGGTTATGCATCCTTTTGTTATGAACATCTGTCACTGCATGAACCATACATGATTTGGCTCAAACAATATTTTTGTAAGTTCACTAAATGTCCATGGTATCCATGTTTACAGCATATTTTAGCAGTATCTTGGGTCAGGGCATACATTTGAAATATCCTTATGGCTGTGTAAAATCATTTTAGACAACCTGAACTGTGTCTTGCCAGAAGTATGATTACATTTAGTCACATTGTTAAGTCACAGAGTACGCAGCCTCTCCAGCGTATCCTTTTTACACCAACTTCCCTCTCACCATCCGGACAAATTAATTTATCTGAGTTGCCTTCAGCTGCAGGTCTGGCCATTGCACAGCTGTTGCAACCAACTGCAGCACTTCAAAATTGTCGCAGCACCATAAATCATTCGGTTTGGCAAAATATCAAGCACTGGTAGATACACTGTAGACAAACTACTTAACCATCCTTTGCCCTCATTAATGTAACACAGAAAAGAATGAACATTTGTACCTTTTTATTTAATCTTTTTATTTTATGTACGCTAAACTAAAAACATTTTTTACCGGAGGCTTAATCCAAACTAACAATTATATCGTTGTTGTTCTCTCCCCTGCCCAACTTCTGTCTTGTCATGCAATGCTAATATGGACACCCACGCAGGCTCAGGTCAGTGCTATTCCTTCTGTACATATACTGTGCTTAAGCTAATCAATAGAAACTGCATGCCAGATCTGTCCAAGTCACATATACTCGGTGACCTTTTTGTGTTTTTGAGAAAAAACAATCGCTTCATTAGAGAGACTGCTACATGGATGGAAATAATTTTTGTGAGTGCGTCTGGATGATGTCTCATCGCTTTTTATGCCAAGGCCCTCAGATTGACATTTTTGAAAGAATGATAGTTATTCATCACATTGCCATTAAAACCATTGACAGTAGTTTATAACTTATAACCCCATTTCAGTTGCCTCTCTTTTAAAAGCCTCTCCTAAAATTTTGTTTCTTAAGATTTTCTGAAGATGAGTAATTTTAGAAATGTTCTGCTTTGATTCTGTATCATATACAAACCAACAGATTATTAGATATGTCTCATGCATCCTATGCACTGTGACACTAGAAACTGTTTTGTTACATTATTTATTAATAAACAAATGGTTTAAGTGCTCAATAAATTGCTTATTTATAATGGAACATTAACAGATAGTCATTTTGCTGTTGACAAAAATGTGCTATTGGGTTGTGTTTCTGTGGTAGTGGGGGAGAAAGTTGGAGGAGAGCAGTTGCCGTTTACCCAGCAGGGGCATCTGCAGGGACAGATGGGAGATGATGAGGGTTTGTAATAGGCATCTGTGTGGCCCTTAGGGGAGGGAATACTCAACACACATTCACTTTCTCTGTCTGCACACTCAAACGCACACATCCTCACACTTACAGACACCCATTACAGCTTGTCATAGCTTTCCCCACAAATTGTCCTCTGGAGTATAACTTTTACTGTGGCAGGTTGTTACATAGATTGAGAGTAAACATGTGCTTACAGGAGCATTGCACTGGCTGTTCCCTTGGTTGTACAGACATGCCAGAGAGATAACTAGCTGGACGGGGACAAGTGAATAGACTCAAAATCCAGACAATTACAGCCTTAGCTGAAGTGCCCATTGCCATGGTCATTGTTTTGTCCATGCTTTTCATATCATAGATTTTATTTTAGTACAGCAAAGGAATAATACTTTGTGTCCTTTTCTTCAGTAGTAGCATGTTAATTGAGCAACAAAGCCCTTAAGTGATGGACCATAAACTTTCTTTAAGCTGGCATTGAACTATCAGTTATTTTGTTGTTATTCACAGTCTATTCGTGTGTTTTCATTAATACCTTTAGTCAGTCATATTCCAAAGGTAGGGAAGTAAAGGGAAATGATATTGTGCTGGAGCCGTTAAGACCGGTTGCTATGTATTCAGTCCCCCCCCCCAGAGAGTAAGCTTTGCTCTAAACAGGAAATAGATTTTACATATTCAAAGTCTGGCATCAAAATAAAAAACACCTCATCTCTATGAGGAAAAAAGCAGCTCTGTCAGCATGACAGCTTAGCTCTGCGCAGAGTAAAGGATGCAGCCAGCTTCTCTCCACATTCAGACGCAAAACATGAGCAAACCACATGGAGCAGGACAATTTTGGGGGCGTGTTGGCGTCTGAATCTCATTAGCGTTATATGCTTTGGGAGTTAGATCTTGAGACTTGCAGAGCAGATAGTGGGAGCATATTGTGTGCACATTATGGAGCTATCAACAGCTGCAATTCATTCTTAGTGAATCAGGCCGTTAGTGTTTATTCGCTTATTTGTGAACTTGTTTATTTTTCAGGCAACATAATCTGTCACTTTGTTTCTTTGATCCCTTATGTGTGTCCCATTCCTGTGCTATCTATCTGTTTACTTGTGTGCTTACCCTTGCACCCATACAGGTGTACGAGGCTGTGAGGTGCCACAATGAATGCAGCCAATATGAATGGAGGACGGAGCCCTGGTCTATTTGTACCATCAACACTGTAGATGACCAGCTGGGCTGTGAAGAGGGAGTCCAAAGCCGTAAAATTAGGTTAGTGAGCCGGTTAGGCCCATAGCTTGGAAGCCTGCTAGCACTGGCAGCCAGGAGGACTCAACTTTCAGCCCTCCTGTAGCTCATAATACTGGTAATGCTTCCAAGGTCAAGGGGAAAAATGTCATAAACAACTATTTTCAAAGTAGTGTTGTTAGATTTTTGTTGGTGTGCATTTCCATCTTGTTAGCTTCACTAAGAGGAAAGCAGTGAAGTGTCAGCATGCACAGGTGTTGCTATAATAGTAGGAACCATCTGAAATCTAAAATACGACTGCATTATTGGATAAAGACAACCTGAAGTTTTCCAATGTACTTTGTGTGTGTGCTCAACTATACATACCTGCAACTGCTGCCAATCAGACACTCAGCCCTCTACCTCTCTGCCAGGAGAGGTTTTTTTAAGACCCTCTCAGAGTGTCTAGATTTAGCTACTGGACCAGTTCTAGATTCTGTTCAAGTGGGGGAACAGTATAAAAAAACATTAACACAAAGGACCATGTAATTTGAATTTAAAGCCAGCACTTTACTGAAATTAGCACAGAAATAAGCCAGAACTAGTTACTCTATTTTAGATCAGACCTGTTTGTAAGTTTGTAATTTTCCTTTTTAGTTCCAAAGTCTGTGCCTTAGTATTTTTTCCTCCATTAACAGGTGATAAAATAACCCATTTCCAAATAAAGTAAAATATATCAGGTTCACAAAATGGCAGTATAAATGAAACACTTCAATTTCAGTTCAAAGTTATCTTCTTATCTTCAGTGCAGTTCAAATTAGATCCTTGAATTCATTTCAGTTTGCAAAAGGATCCAACACTCCTACCACCCTTGCAACAGGTTCCAACAGTCTAACAGTAGCAGCAGATTCCTTCACTAGCGCGATGAATTGATTCCAAAAAACGCTGTCCTTGAGTTTCGCTTGCCATCGTGTGTCCTGTGTAGCCTGTTGTCTCCCAACACACAACGGACAAAAGTATATTTTTCTTCGAGCTATTTCAAAGTAAACGAGCCAAAAACTGTTCTTAACCTCTTTCCTAATGTAATGTTGGAATCAATGGCAATATGTGAAACTGTAATACCAGGTTCAGCCCTTTTGTGAAAATGTCTTCAATGTTCGGTGCACCTCTTATAACAGAATGAATTCAATTTACATCTTTTTAGGGATTATGCCTGTTATGCATTTAAGTTTGCGAATAGTTTTAACTCTCAATAAAAAAAAGTGTACCGTTTTAAACTAAGTACATTTTTTATGCATTTTAACAAAGTACAAGTAGGCTACATACACCTTCCTAGTTACCAGGTTTGTCGAAACACATTTGAATCTAGGTGAAACTGTAGCTGATAATCTTGACACATCTCTGTTTTTGCTCTTCTATCCTTTAAATGAAGGTATAGTTGATGTTTTATTAGCTTTGTTAGTGGTACTTAGACATTAACACTTGTACTTCACATGTGAAAAACACGGGAAACCTACTATGCACATGGGAAACATATGATTGTTGTTCTTTTGTTGTGTCCATGAACCCCAGTTTTCCAATTGGGTTTTAAGACACCATTTTACAAGCTACAAAGTAAAAGTGTCACATATTTCAAGTAAAAAAAAAACCTTACAAACGTAGAACTTATATGGATACAGTAAGGACGGAGTGCCCCGGAGACTAATTACACATCTACCACTCTGCTAGGTGTGTGAAGAAAGGAACAGGAGGTGAAGCAAGCAGTGTGGAAGAGAGTCTGTGTGATCATGAGGAAACACCATCCACAGCCCAGGTCTGCTTTCTGGTCTGCCCAGGCGACTGTGTCACTACATCCTGGGGACTTTGGAGCAACTGCCCACTGGTAAGACACAATGATATTTCATATTTTCCTTGTTGGTTCACATGTTGTTTCAAAGTTGTATTTCTTTTTTTTTGGCTGATAGAATAAGCATTTTGGACATTTCTTAATGACTTTAGACTCAGATTGGACTCAAAAACCTCTTTATAGACTCCATTATTTGGAACATTTGTAAAGTTGTTAGGTAGAATGATGTTGCAGTTCTACTGGCATACAGAATATTACCTTGCCAGTTCACAGGAATTCAGCTTCATTGACACCGACAAGTGTTGACAGACAGAAAAGTAATAGTGCTATCCTTCCCACGACTAAATCAAAAGGTCCAAAAAGCACATCAGTAGTGAATAAATGGTCATTCTGAAGAGCTCTTGTTTGCATTGACCCCTTGTTTGCATTGACCCCTTGTTTGCATTGACCCCCTGTTTTGCATCCATTTGTGGTTTTAAATTCCATTTAAATATGCAATGTTAGGTGCTGAAAATTTGTTGGATGATACTTATATGCCGTCACTTTCCAATGCCGGTTTATCATTTGGCTTCAACCATGTGCTACTCATAGATTTTAGCTCGGCCCACAGACATATCCATGTTTTGTTCCTGACAAACTCAACAGTCCACTGAGTCATTCAATGTTCCCTGTGTTGAAATGTTTATGCTTTGGCAGCGTTCTTAACATTAAAGAGCAGCCATCAAATTCATTTGGTGATATACGTTAATGTTTAAACCATAGACTTTAAATATTAATATACGAAGCCTGAGTGACATCACCCATCTGTTACGACAGGGGGCTCTGGAGGCTCATCGGTAGCAGCTGGACATGCTGTCTCACCCTAACTTTCAGTCAACCTAACAACAGGCTGAGTGCTGGGGGGGGGGGGGGTTAATCTTCCTGACAAACTGTTACATTTCGCCCACCTTTGAATCAGGTCAGCTACGTTCCTTACTATAGATAACAGTCTATATCGTTCATTAAATCAAAATGCGTTATAAAAAAAAATCTCCCCTGTATAGTGTGTGCCCATTAGGACAATAACTAATCTGACCTATTTCATTTTTTGGATCAGGCTGTAAACAAGTCAATTTCTGCTTTAAAGACATGCTGTTTTGAATGTGGTGTGTATGTGACCTCCGGGGCTCTTGGAGCCAGCCTCAAGCAGACACTTTTCAACACTGGAGGTTGCTGCTTGGTATAAACTGATATCTTAAAGCTCAGTGAACTGTGAAAAACAAATGTTATCTTTGTAAGCTCTGAAATGCTTACCACACATTGCAATGTGCATGTGAGACAATGGTGAAGTTCTTAAGTAGGCCAGCTTATAGAGAAAGAGTCAGCATGGTTTAGATGGAAATTGGATTTGTGAAAAGAAAAGGTATCGAAAGGAAATGTGTTTCTGTTGTTGTGGTTAAACTATATACCAATATACATTTTTAAACATGTTATTCACTTTTTGGTTTAAAAAAATGAGCTATTTTTTCATAAAGCTATTTTAAGGCTTAAGTGTGACACTGGTAGCTTAATTTGATAAGAATGAAGGACAGGCTTTTTCTGTCCGCCAACACCTATTGAGTCACTACTTAATACATCACTGTTGACTTTGTTTAAACTGCTTATACTGTTTATAAAGATTTTATTACGTATGATGACCGAATAAAAACACCACACTCTGACTACTTCTATAAAAATGGTACACTGTATTCATTGTGTAAATGACACAAATTAGCAGTGAAAGAGATACCATGGCAAGGTTAAATATAAAGATGGGATATATATATAGGCCTACATATATATAAAAATAACAAATAAATAATTTTCTGGTTTCAAAAATAAATAAATAAACAACAAAATTATAAATGTTATGTTAAAACAAATTCTTAATTTTACTCCGAAGAGCTCCCAACAAACCTAACACAGCTCTGCATGAACTCTTCTACTTACTTTAGTATAGGGAACGTCACTTACATGCACTTTTACAATAAATGAAAGATCATACTTATACGGAGAAAGTATCTGACTAGTTCATCTGATTTACAGACTTGCTAAAAGCAAATGTCTACAGTGTATATGAATTCAACTGTATTTTGGAAAGTCAAAAGTTCTCAGGACTGTTTTTGTATTATATAACTTGCATAACTCCACAACCAGTCTCAAAACATCATGTTGTCATACAGAAACTCAAGTCACTGAATTATTATTGATTCTCCATATTCCTTACAGAAGAGTATGTCTCACATTCTGAATGACTGGTACATATACCCTGAGACACTAATGAGAGATGGAGCTCTTTAAAAGGCCCATCTAAATTCCTGACATCCTTCACAGGTATTTTATTCCACAAATTAATTGTGTTCCTGCAGAAGGGGACGCTTAGCATTAAATGCACTAGTCCAGTCTATTCAGCTTTAATAATGATGTTGTAGTTCGATGTGTGCAGAATTGTGATGAACTCAGCCCTGATTTTGGGTCCATGGACGGCATACTGATATTTTTACCAACCCACCTTATTATAGGCTTAAGATGTTCCTGTCACAGAGTATCAAGGATAATCCCGAGCTGTCTTTACGCTGAAGAACAAACACAGCATTAAAGTTTGGTATTTTCACCATGCACAGGATACACAGAAACCACAATGACGTGTCATTTTTTTTAGTGTGTACTTTGTGCCTTGATTAGAAAAAATTCAGGCAATGGAGAAATAAATGCTTAAACTGTAGGGCTGGATTGTTGTGACAAAAACAACAACAATGCATTTTTATTACAAGAAAATGTTGTTTTTGTGACTGGAGGATGGAGAAAACATGACTGGGCTTTGCCAAACAGTTTCTTCATATTCAAGAGCACGTCTATTCAGAAGCTGTTCCCTCAGACACAGCCAGAGGTGAATTTAGCTGAATGTAGATTGTCAGGATGATAATCAAGGCACTTTCAAGTCAGAGACCATGTAGCTACTTGTGTGGTAAGGTAATTGTCCCTTTCAAACTGGGTTTTGCACTTCAGGGTAGGGAACATGACAAACAGTTTACTTTACAAAAACCGTAATTCTGCCTGCTGTATTTTGAAGTGGCACTCAGCTTTTATAGCTCAGGTTTTATTTGATTTTTTTCTACAGACTGAAATAATTGATTGAATTTTTGTGTGTTCCCTACAGTTGTGTAAACAAACACACTTCCCTTAATGCAGGTCAAAAATGCATCTTTTGTTTCAGTTACATAAAATACAAAACAGCAAATCCCCAAACTCTTTATACTTTTCTGTGATTAAAAATGTAAGATGGTTTGTATTTAATATTCATGCTTCTGTACTGTAAACTGTTCTGTTCCTGGTTTTAAGCTGTCAACACCAAAAAGTGGAGTTCAGCCTGAAGACTGCAAGACTGTTGTGTGTACATATATGGTTGAATCTCAGTTTATGTTTAAACATTAAGGGTACAATAACTGAGCCACAAACAGGCTCTCTTTGGGAAGTAACAGTGATTGATGAGAATTTCCAGATGCAGCAAGAGCAAATAGACAAATGCTTTTTAGATCGTTTTTTAAGGTCATAACAAATGTTTCGAGAAAATCTGGCTGACACAGCTAAAGTTTGTTATTCTAGCTCAGTTTCCCTTGACAATGGACAGGATGACTCAGATTTTTGCAATATTAATATTCAGAATGTTGCATATTTTACTTAAATGAAATGTGCTCTTTTTATGTAATAGAACTACAAGGGACAACAGTGTATAAATAACTAAATTACATAATAAAACAATTGCCCATGGCAGTGATAGACAAGTAACTCTTGTATTATGTTTTTGTCAATGGATTTTTATAATCAAGCTTAAAGCCCATGACAAATAAGAGAATAGACCCGATTGATTATGCACAATACGAATTTATATTCTTTCAAATTGGACAACTGAATAATTAATTCAAGTGTGGAGTGTTTCTGTCAGTAATAAATATAAATAAATAGATATACATGTAAATCAGTTAAAGCAGTGCCAGGCCCAGGTGCTCCAAATCTGGCTGCCTTATCATTTGGTACCTTTTTGTATACACAAAAAACAGAGTACCAGATAAACCATCCTTACATGTGAAAATGTAAGTAAGTGACCATCAAATGTCTGAAACTTAGAAATCAAAAGCAAGCGCGTCTGTAGCAAAAGAAAGCACTTTGACTGGAAACTTTGGATTTGGTTCAATGGCCCCAGATGATATCTTTGCAGCCATTATAGCTTGTTTCAAGGTTGCTGGCTGAGGCAATCTACTGAAGCATTTCCAAAGTTTAGTTTACCAATCAGACATTTACTTTTATAGAATAAAATTATATCCAGGTTTAAAAGAACCAGAAATACTTTTGATCCTTTAGTTGTAAATATAAACCTGGTGGTCCTCAAAGTTACAGCATTATTAATTTGATATTTAACATGTGTTAGTCAGAGGGTGAAATACAGGTGACATCTTTAGTTTCTTTGTTGAGGGACACTTTAATCCAAATAGCTTTGTCGAATCCCCTTTAACACTGAAACTGAACCTGGACCTTTATCAACTCATTTGTTGATGTTGCTACTGTTTTGCAGCAATGTGACCAAGGAACAACAAGGAACAGGAGCAGACACATCCTCCGCCTCCCAGCCTCGGAAAACTCGTCCTGTCCAGAGCTGGTCCAGTCAGAGCCCTGTATCCTCAACAGCACCTGCTTCACCTACCAGTACAGAGTCTCAGGTAGGAATAGGCACAGCAGCTCTGAGGTGCAAGTGAATAATACAGGGCAGGTACTGAGAGTGCAGAGCGTCTCTTTGTTTTATCCCATATGTGAATGTAATGAACTGAATTAATGTAAAGCTAAGCCTGAGGGGTTGGCTGTGTTTGCGTCTGTAAAACAGAGTTATGAGAGATTCCAAAAATAAAACACAATGACTGTAGCACAATGTTGTTAGATCAGAGGGATTCTGCTGGCATTGGCATACAAATGAGTACAACAGTGACACAGATACATTGTTGTTGGTGGTGTGTGTGTGTGTGTGTGTGTGTGTGTGTGTGTATTCCAGACTGGAGTACATGTCATCTGAGTGAACATGCTATCTGTGGTTGGGGATTACGGTTTCGGCTCTTGGACTGTATTCGCAGCGATGGTGGGATTGTGGAATCGCAAAAGTGCGAGCAGGTAATCTCTATGTAGTCGAACATTAAGTTAATAATGGAATACTTCAGTTTGAACAGCTATCTCAAAGGGATAGATGTTTTTTTTCTTTTTGAGCAGTATTGTATGAGGTACTTGTCAATAGTGAGTGAGCTACCAGTCAGCTAAGCCCCTTTGTTTGGAGTGCCGGCACTCCAGCCAGTTTCTGAATAAAGGGAGCATACTGACTGAGAACTACCGTGGGTAATACAGTTACTACTGTAAATACCTCATACCCTACTCAAAAACAGATTATCCCTTTAAAGAGTATACAATTATACTTTGTGGAAAATTTCATTTGCACAGTTATTTCGTTATTCTTGAAGTTTTTTTTTTTTTCACAACATACAGCGAGTTTCAAGCAGGCATTTCGGAAGTTTTATGTTTGTTTATCATAATCATTTTTGTTTTAATGGAATGTACTGGACTTACACTTTCTTATTTTCTCATACACTATACTTTGAAATCTTTACCAATACTGATGGGAACAAGGGGAGAGGAAGTAATGTTTTCAAAGTATCAAAGAATCCATTACAGGATGCATTGAGATATTGTTCTCCTTTTCTTCTGTTTGATATAAATTAGTGATTGATGTGCAGTATCTTCGTTTCTTAATCTTATTGCACCACTGAGTGAAGCACATTTTCTAATCACTCATGTAAAATTTACTTTGAAAACATTTGAAATCAAAGTTAGTGGTAAAATTTCAGACTCCATACTCCCCTGCAGTCTATTTAGAAAAGAGAAATGTAAACATCTTGTCCCTTTTAGTAAAAATGAATCAGACTTCTTCTTGTTTTCTACAGTTTGGTCTGATCAACGAGTGGAGGCTTTCTGAGAGCTGCATGGTTGACTGTCCTGTCAGCTGCATACTCTCAGATTGGTCACCGTGGGCTGACTGTTCACACACCTGTGGAAGCAAAGGTATGGGCGAAAACAGTCACCCATCCACTAAACAAACAGAGTCGCCAGATGTGTGGCATCTCATCATACTGTCTACTTGATTGGTTCATTTTCAGGCTTTTTATGCCTTAAGTAGAGAGATATCACAGTGGATTTGAGGACAACAGCCCATCATAGGGGAGTGCACACTAACAACCAGGCCGCTGGTGCCCCTATAGCGGATTCATTTAAACTATCAGTTTTCCTTTGTGATTTTCATAAATTATTCAGTGTTGCCAAATTAAATACATACCCCACCTCTGCATGTTTAAAAAAAACAATTCATTACTTTGAAAAGCAATATACAAAAATAAATGTTTAAACCAGGATGCATACATTGTCTCTTGGGCCTTGAGAGACAGCTTGTTATTCTGTTAATAAGAGGGACTCAACAGTAACTTCTTAAATGAATTAATTTTAATTTTGTCATTGACTGACTTTCTTCTCACAGTGACCCCCTCATTTTAATAAGCTCAAACTAAGACATGCTTTCAAGTGGGGATTTAAAACCATGGCCCTCTCTCTCTGCTCTGTCACTGTGACTCTCTTGGTAAGTCTTAGCTCATTCTCACACATTGTGGGAATCATCTGTAAGCCTTGATGATGGATTTGTTTCTATCCTTGCATCATATCTGTGTCAGATGCAAATAACAAGCATATCTTGTTTGGTCAGGCGACATGGGAACGTTAATGTTTTGGATTTGATTTTTGGGATAGCAGAGCTGAAGTCCCTTTGCTATGTCGGCCTAGAGACCGTTAAGCTCGGCATCTCCCCTGGTGAAACACAAACGCATAGTGGTTCTGTTTTGTCTGGATGGCTGATGGAGGGCTTTTCGGTGAGCCTTAAAGGATCAAGACAATGAGCTGTTAATACATTGTCCTGCTCTGTGGCTCTTGCCTTTTCTTGTTGCCATTTACTTTTCCTTTCACACATTCTTAGCTAAAAAAAAAAAAATTGTGGATGTAAGCATAGCATTGTGTCACAGTCACACATATGTATGGTGCAGTTGTGGTCATTCCTCTTTGTCGTGAAGATGAGAGGTTGCAGCCTCTTCATACTCTTCATACATAAATTGTCCAACTATTTGATTGACTTATTGAGTTTTAAAGGGCTTCAACATCATCACAGTTGCAATTTACTGATTGATTTGTCTTACATGTTTACTCTTGATTGTATGACATGATAACATGGCCTTGAACATTTTAAATATTCATGCATTCAAAGATAGAGACAGTATTACGCTTGCACATTGACGTTTTATAAATGCGGTTAACAAATGTACTTATGTCTCTTTTGTTGTATTGTTCGTCCTAATGGTGTGTGCCTTGATGTTCTGCAGGTCAGCATGTGCGCACTCGGAGAATCCTGCAGGAAGCTCACGAAGAGGGTCGTCCCTGTTCTAACCAGCTCAGCCAGACCAAGCCATGTCCCATAAGGCCTTGCTATACATGGATTTTAAGTGACTGGTCTCCATGCTCTGTCGAGGTATGACCTGCTCTGTGAATTCTACATCATACAGCAAATTACTACCTTAATGCGATGTACAATGTGCCAAGCTGGCGCATAGCAAAGAAATGTTGTTTCTGTTTTTGTCAATCTTTTGTTCTTACCTGCAACCTTTTTTTTAAGTATGAAGTCAGATTTCACAGAATCACGTTGATTTTTGACCCTGTATCAATCAATTAATCAATCAACCAATCAATCAATCAATCTTTATTTGTAGAGCGCAAATTCACAACAAATGTTATCTAAAGACACGTTACAAAAAGCAGGTAAAAGACCATACTCTTTTTTTATTTGAATTGACAAAAGAGCAGGTTAAAGACCTTACTCATTGCTATGTTACAAAGACCCAACGTTCATCCATCATGAGCACAGCACTAAGCAATAAACCTCCTTACTCACTTGGGTAGCTGAGTTGGTCTAAATTTTGGTTCTCACATGTGCATACATAAAAAGAAATGTGATTGAATTGCATAATATGAAAAATAAAAGTCACACACTTTGGGTGGGTACGTTGGGTACATTGATTTTTAACCTATTTCAATTCATTTTCATCAAGTATTGGCATTATTCTACTATTTTTACCAGCACCTATCTTGAGTTGATTACAATCTTTTGAATAACCAGATGGTTTGATCAGCATTATATCAAAACATTGATAAATCTTCTGTTTTATATGTTTGTGTGTGCAGGCTGCAAAGTGTGGTGAGGGAATTCATGGAAGGAACCTGACATGTGTTGTCCATGGGGGTGACTGGCCTAAATCTTCTCCTCAGCCTGTGAAGGGAGAGCTTTGCGGAGATGAACTTAGACAGCAGCTCAAACAGGAAATGGAGCAGCCCTGCTTCGTTCCCTGCCCAGGTATAATACCGATTATCATTATGCTCACTTGTGTTATAATAATAATTAGTCTTGCTGAAAACCTATTAACTACAATCAGTCACAAAATCATCTTTTTGTAAAATAAAAAAGTCAGCGATCAACGAATGACTCTTTGAGCTTTACACTATCTGGTTGTGCACTTTTGAAATTTGTGTGGTGAGAGCTAATGTCAGTGCAATAAGCTATTAAGCCAGCAATCTTGGAACACCAGAATGAAACATAATTTTGAATACAAGTTTTGTTAACTTTTATTTTTCTGAAGCCCTTAAGATACAAATGGGAAAAGTACAGTTTTATTATGAGCTTAATCTACTTTAGCCTGAGGTCATCGTGAGTTTGTTACAGGGGGAGGACAAAGCACTTGGAACAGTGGTGGACGATTGAATTGAGTGGTGGGATAAGTCCTTTTTAAATTTAAATATCAGTAAAACCAAGGGCATGTGAAAAGATTTGAGATGGAAGTCAAATTCACCAATCAAAACTAAGATTGTAGACTGTAGAACAAGTTCAGTTTTAAAAGTACCTTGGCATTGGTTTGGTGTGTTGAGTAAACTGATGACACTTTTCTATAACTCCATGATGGAGTCTGTTGTTTCTTTTGGCTTTATCGCCTGGTTTGGTAATATCTCAATAGGAGCCAAAAATAGGCAACTGTGAAAGCCCTAATAGTTGACTGACAAGCCAGCTGCATAGTCACATACTGATTTTCTTATGAAGAAAAAACAATCCTTATATCCTTATTATCCTATGAAAAGACAAGTTATCTATTTGGCAAGGCTTGTGCCAAGTTCGGTCTCTTGTTAGCTTTAACTTTGAAGCTACATCATCTTGCAGTGCTTGCTTTTGCTCATCCTTCTCTAACTCTCCTCTGATCCTTGCACTGATTCATCACTCAAGCAGCCTTTGCTGTGTGCCTTGGCTCAGCATCAGAAGTGTTTGATGGCTGGAGCAGATGTGTGTGAATTCGAGTCCATGTGTGGGTATGAAGGTGGTGGGAGCAATGTAGGGGTTTTTGACATGCATGTGATGTACCCCATGTGTGTTCCTTCGTCTTCGTTGCTGTGATCTGTTCACTGAAGTATTTGCCACAGCATGTTTACAGAGCCATAGCAGCAGGAGAGAGGAGCTGATTGAGTGGATTCATATAAAGATGAAAGAGATGCATCAATACACTGACAGTCACTAATGGATGTTCTGGGCAGAGAATCATAGGGGTTGTTCTGACTGAGAATATTTAGTAGCAGGGGATATTATCACTACGAGATAATCCTAAAAAGAATTAAATTGAATATTAATGCCTAACCTATGAATGTAAGTGACTGCATGATATTTGTAGACGCACAGACTGCCTCATCCAGCCTACGCTCCTAAAACATTTTTGAAATTCAATCATCAATCAATCTTTACTTGTATAGGGCCAATTCACAACAAAGTTATCCCAAGACACCTTACAAAAAGCAGGTGACAGACCTTACTCATCATTATATTATCGACCAAGACCCAACGTTAATCCATGAGCACAGCACTAAGCTACAATTAGCAAAGTTTCAGTTGCAAGATAAAACTTCCTTCACTTGACTTTTTCCAATGACTTTTGCTTTTCCTTAGAGCCGTTTCAGGCTGTCAGGAGTTGCCTTAACAGTCTGGCTCAGAGTTATAGCTTATTTGTATAATTTAAAGCTCTGGTTACTCTATTCTGAACACCCATTGGGCTGTCTGAGAAATCAGTTTGAGCATTTTGCACATCATCATCTGCAGACCTGCAATGACGTTGTTTTAGATGCATGTTTCAGGTGCTAGCAGATAAGCCAATCAAACTATCCCATACAGTTGTGGCAAGAACAACAAATATCTGTAAAAAAAAAAAAAAAAGTGTTTAAAGATAAAGTATGCCTATCAGTTGATGTCATGCTATTTTCTCTCTGTTTTTTCCCCCTCAGGAGACTGCCATTTGACTGTGTGGTCATCTTGGAGTTCTTGTCAGCTGACCTGCCTGGAGGGGCGGAGCTTTGAGACCACCGGTCGCCAAGCTCGCTCTAGAGCAGTAATCATTCAGGTCATGGAGAACCAGGAGAGCTGTCCAAATCAAATCTTTGAGACCCGCCCCTGTAAAGGTATTAAGGCAAATCATATACTGTAATTCTTTGAGCCAAGTCACAAGTAACATACTGGTATACTCACCATTTTTTCACGTGTAAGCATGATAAGTTAAACAATTTACAATTGAGTTAAGGGAGTAATATGTAAGCTGTCTACTGAATTTCATCTTAAAATAAATGTATCAGACATTAAAGAAACATGCTAGATTGAACTGCGGGCTTATCTGACAACAATGCAGCAGCCGGTATGTAGTCCATCTAAGTTTCGATCCCAGTCCAATGTTCTGTATTTGTTTTGACCAGAGAAGGTTGGCAGTTTTAAGGCACCCCCACACGGCCGTTTTAGACCCCCTAAGATTTCCAGTCAACTGCAAATCAACAGGTTTTGCAGCAATAGAAGTGGGCCTCTGCATTCTTCAAATCAGCTCCACGAGCAGAAATGTGATAAAACTAAGATTCATATTGGAGATCCATTGAAAAATTTAAGAGATATAGAACACAGAAAGGCTTCAAAATGCAGAGCTGGCTAAACACTGAAGCTTCAGTGTCCATGATATGGCAACCCTTGTGTGAATCAACTCTAGAGAGGAGGGGGCGGGGGAGACAGCGCCCTTCAGTGTTTTGAATTTGGACTACAGTACCAATTTTAAACGCTACATGTCAGAGTTAGATATTGCTCCTTTAATTCATCATTCAAGGAAGATTAGAGCATTTTTTTCACACCCTGAAGAAGTTATTGTTGGAACTGATGAAGGAATTGAAGAGTTCTTTGTGCTTCGTAAGTTTCTAGCAAAATAATTTAATATTAAAATATTGGTCCTAAGTGGTCGCAGAATTTCCCTATCAGTCCGAAACGTTGTCCAAAACATTCAGAAAAGAAATGAGGTGATGCCTACAAGCTAGTTCAGGCAGACAACTCGAGCTGCACTGATTTCACACTTGATATTCCTCACTCCACACCTCCTTCTAATTAGCAGTCTATTTAAACTGCAAGATTTCCGCCCTCTCCCTTGCTCTTTCATTGCCAGCTCTGACCTGCACCAGTACTGCACTCTCCACTCCCCACCAACACCCAACCAGGGGCCTGTTCAACACACCTTCAGTCTAACCCTGAGCTCTGAGTTGATTAACTCTCAGATGGGAAACTCTGAGTTTTAGGTTCCAGATCAGCAGATTTGAATTTGTTAAGTCAACTCTGAGTAGGTCGACTCGGTGTTCAGCGTGTGCACCACGATGATAAAAAGCCAACATGAATGGAGCCCCGATTCTATGATTCACCATGGCAACAAGTGACAAAAAAGAGATCCTTCTACTTTAACCATCTGGAAATATAGCCAATCTTTGTGTGGACATATGGCGGATATGAACAGGTTTTAAGAAGGAAAAAAAAAGGAACAATGCTGCAGCGTCAAAGGAGAGAGAAGTGGTTAAGAGAAAACAGCTGCTCTATTGAAGTCTATTCATTTCATATTTAATCATAATAATAATGTTGCAGGTCAAAACTGGTGGAATGGTATTAAACCTACAATTTATTTTCATTAAGATGAAATCCAGCGGAAGAAAAGTGACCTTGAAAATATAATATAATAATGAAATATAAGAACAAACTATACTCAGGGGTATTTTAATCATATTTGACATATAGCCTGTTTAAACAAAGTAGGCTACAGTCTACTTCATTCTATTTGAATGTGCATTAACCTTCACCCCAAATGAATGCTGTATTCATAGGCTAAATGTCCACTCACTTTATCCTGTTTAGTTTATTAACTAGCCCTACTTAAAGGAATATCTCCTGACGTAAATGTAGGCTCTAATTCCCTGAGGAGTAATGTAGCCCCTTCATACCGAGGCTCGACTAAAAGACATGCCATGTTCAACAAAATAGTTAGTTTTATATGCTGTAGTATTGCCTATCTAACATATCATATTAAAACAACCTGGATATTTATTCAAACAACCGATGAATCTTCACTAACACGGCGTGATACGGACTGAATGAAAGAATGAGGAAATGAAACAGTGTTTCTGGCTCTTAAAGAGGGCGGAGACCGAGAGAAACTCAGGGTTCACTGCAGAAAACCTGCTCCCGACCAAGTTAGGTTCACAGACTCAGTTACCATAGTAACTGACTCATAGGTAAAGTAATCTCTCCCTCTGGAACCGGCTGGAGTTACCCCTCTTTCTCGAGTTCGAGTGACCTCCCCCTCTGAAACGGATAACCCAGAGTTTCCCTCATTTCAGGGTTAACTGACTCAGAGTTTGAACTAAACCTTCTTTCAGAAACGGGCCCCAGGTGAATACCTGTAGCCTCCGACTGAGGAATTAAGATATCCTCTTATCCCTCCTCAATTTCAGCATCTAAATAAAACTGCCAGGAGTGATCAGGTTGGTGCCTAGACACTAAACGAAAACCATGTCTGTTGCTGCAATAAATATTTTAAACAAAGACAAATATGAGTTGTCTGACTGAACTGAGGGTTATTTGCCCAGTTTACATTATATCATTGATAATAATCACTCAACAGTCTTGTTTTTTTATGAATAGTCATATTAATCAAAAGATATTTAAATATTAATCCTGTCAATCCATTAAAAATATTTAATCCATTAGAGGTTGGGATACATCATGATTAATCACAATTAGTTTTTTACCTTTTAAAATGTTAGAATACTCAAAATGTGTGTGCGTGTCAGTCAATCTTCTTACTGATAAAACACCAGAATCAGTGTGTTTGCTTGGTTTGAGGGCCGTTAACGGTATGTTTCTGTTTTGCAGCTGACTGCTTTGGAAATCATACCATTTATAATGATATAGTTTTGATCAAATAATCCAGAGTTCTTTTTGCATTCATATACGGTATTCTGCAGAAACAAGTCCAGTACATTTAACTTCATCCTGTTTACTGTGGCAAAAAAGTGAAGCAGCACAGCAAACCACAGTGATGCTTATAGACTCAAAGTGATGGTCAAGAGTTACTGAACACATTAAACTGAACACAGAATGATGTGGGCTATGGCAGTGTTGTATATTGTGTTGATGAAATTCTAATTTGAACAGACTTAGACAATGAAATAGCATAAAACCTGAATCTTAAGCTACTGTCATTTAACCACAAATGAAATGTTCAATGTAATCAAATTGTAGGGACTAATGAGTGTCATTTTTAAAAGGCTATGGAGATTAACCTTGCTATGTACGCAGTTCTGAATATATTTTTCTACTGGAACAAATATTGTGATTGTATACATCAATATATTAGTTTGCTAATCAATGTTTTTGTTGAATTAATGGTTTACTATCTAATGAGCAGTTTAATACAAGCGATAATGTACAGGGGGGTCAGGGGTGGGATGATTCTCTGTGTCTCTGTTCACTTTACCTTACCCCCCATTACCGATTTAATAGCATGTCTTTGTGTGTGTGTATGTGTGTGGGGGGTGATTGCTAGTTGTTGGACAGAGCAGGACAGTCGTCATATTGTGGTCGATGTATTTTCTTGAGAGATGTCCATTGATGATTACCATTGTCCTCTGCATTTACCCTGTTATCTAGCTAATTAAGTATCCCTGCCCAAAGTTTGAGGCTAGAAAACCTCCCTAGCAGCAGAAAGATATGGGCAAAGAGCAAGTTCTCTGTGGACACATCTTCACACACTTTTAGTAAGTAATAAGTAGCGATTAAGAGGAATATTCTTCTTGTGTGTGATTTTATACATTGATTTAAAAAAAAAAAAAATCCAACTCTTTTAATCTGTAAGGCTAAATTTACTTTGACCATAGTCCTATTAGTCCAATAGCCCTTTGTCATATACCTATTAAGAAAGAAACATTCAATCCTCAAGATAGATCAATGGACATCTACTCATGAGGGCCACAGAAATATTTGTATTTTACTCTGCTAACCTTCATGCCACACTCCACGGTTTGTGAGTGTGTATCAGGCACTATTGAAATTCATGAGAGTTATGATTGCACAATGACAGATCAACCATCAGCCCACACACTGTCACAGCTCATAATAGACACAATGGATTTGAGGCCTGCCTTGGGATTCCATAAAAACATATCCTTCAGTTGAAGGCTAAAAAGAGATATTGCAAATCCTGCCTAAAAGGCCAGTTCTGCAATAAATGGAAGTTTCACAATTACAATAGTAAGCTGCCTTTTCGGCTCTTATTATTGACTCAATTCAACTCAACTAATCCGTTTATTTCATTGGACATATATGTCCCTTAGTTAAGTCCATAATAAGATGCAAAAAGTAGGAACATATACATGTGTAATCTTTGAATGCCATTTATTTCATGTTTTGTAAGTCATCACAAGTTACTTTGATATTATCATTTATCTCAGTAGCAACCGAGTTAAATACTGAATGTGTTGTAAATGACAGTCATTTCAACATTGCTCAGTGCAACTTATTTCCTAACTTTGACCTGATCACTATATTCTAAAGTATTTCCTTGTTGTTTCTTTTGTTTGTCATATTGCTATAATTAAACATTACATTTGGGGACTTATTTTCTTTGAAAGATCAAATCTGAATTCTGACTTTGTTACTGTCTTTTTCTTTTAGGGAGTTTTAACACTTGACTAGAAACTAGACGTAACAAATGAGTTGAAATGATCTAATTTCCTGTGAATAGTCACATACCACTGTGTTTCAGAGAAAGGTCCATATCTCCTGTCTCTAAAATGAGTCAACAGGGCAGCTGTAGAAGTTAGTGTCCAAGGGAATCTGACAACAGGGCTGGATGGATTAAACAAATTGCTCCTGAGAATAGTCTATTCCTGTCTGCCATTGCTACAGGAGGAAAATGTCACAGCCTACCAGTGGAGGACAGGAGGATGGAGCAACAATGAGAGGGAAGTGTGGTGTCAGCGCTCGGATGGTGTCAATGTAACAGGTAAGTAGAACGAATATCTTTTGTCTATCCTAGGAAGGTTTTTCATAAGCACTCATATTATATATAATATATATCACACACGTGTCCATACATAAAAATGAATGTTAAATTGGCTTTTTGAAAACGAAACGTAGTCTCATTTGAAAATGTAATATAGATCACACTGATATGTTCAACTATACTGGCTTATAGTGGCTCAAGAAATTTGTAAGCAGTGCCAAGACAGTAATTGAACATCTGGTGAAGATGTCACAGTAGAATATTTGGCAGAGGTGGATGTAATTGGGTTTGGTATAAATGTAAAATTAGCTTCCGTGTTGACTCATAAAATAATGTACATGCAAGTGCATGAGATGTTTGCTAAATATGAATCTCAGTGCATAATATTATATTATTTTACACGCTGTTTATCATATGATGGGTGTTATCAGTTACTTTAATACCCTGCAAAGAGCAATGGCATCATTTCAATATCGGCCTACAACATTTCATACACTTGCAAATAAACAGATGCAGATGCAGTTACACACAGAGCCATTTCTGAGGTGTGGTGTAGTTGAATTTAACACCTTATTTGATCTTCCTATTCTCACTGCAACCCCCATTGATTTCTTTTCTCCCTCTTAACATAACAAATCAATAAGCCACAGTCTGAGCTGGGAGGCTTTCAATCAATATAAATATAATCATGCATTTGTATTTGTGGGAAGTAAAGCAGGCCCTCAGAGAAGCAGAACAAAGGTAATACTGCTCAAGGAAAGAAAGCTTTAGGGGAGCTTGATATGCTGCAAATGGTGGGTGAGTGTGATCTTATCACTCTAAGGAGGTGTTACTGATAAATAAAAGGCCAGAACAAATAACCTCCATCTGCAGAGGAGGGAAGACTGCAAGGCATTACTTCGGTATATTTTGACATGCAATTTTCCATGTTTGAATTAAACTGTTTACCAATTGATCAAGACTCCTGATAGGCAACTGAGTCCCATTTATCTGGTGTGACAGGACATTAATTCAGTGATCAATGGGTAAAGGAACAGAAGCAAGAACCTGTTGTTTTTTTCACCAGGGGGTTGTTTCCAACAGAAAAAGCCGACTACAGTCAGACACTGCCATCCTCTGTGCACCAAACCTTTTTCATACTGCACACCGGTAAGATTTTTGTGCTCTGATCAGGCATTTGTGATCTTTTTTACTTTAACTGTGTTTGTTTTTTTACCTGCTTTTACCCCAAGCTAGGTGAGGATCATGAACAGGGTAATCAAATAGATACTAATCAATGTGGGCTCATTGTCAGTTACTGGCTACACCTACATGGGGGGGGGGGAATGCTGAAGCCCAAGCTTGGCATTTTACTGCCCCCTAGAGTCCTCTCCTTGTAACATTCAAATGCAAAACAATGGAACACTGGTTCTTTAACCAAAATATTCTCAATTGAGTTTAAGATATTGTTTGTTTAAAAAGGACATATTTTATTGTTGGAAAAAATAAATGTAAACTTGAAGGCCCCCAAACACTGTCTCAGTGATCTCAGAGTAGTCACGTTAAATCACACCTATCTAATTGTATTTTTAAAATAAAAGTCAAAGCTAAATAGCTAATGTTGTTTATGTTAATAGAGTCTATCAATATTTATGAGATCATCTGCTATATTTGTGTAACTGGGCCTACGGGGTAGACTTGCTTGAGAAGTGACCCTTTGACTATACACCCCCTCTGTTTGCGAACTTGTAATATATATATATATATATATATATATATATCTTTTCTTCTCTTTCTTTTGATAAAATTTCATCTGTACTCTTTGCTTTGCTGTGTTTGTCCTCCCAGTGACACAGCCTCGCCTCTCTCAAAGTCAATTTTCAGTTTAAGAAAGGGGGTTATTATATTGTATTTAAAAAAAAAAAGATCTATGACAATAAAAAACTACCAAATCGTCTAAGTTTTTTAAAAATAAAGCTAAGCAGTATACTCACAATAAATTGCAGAGATTTCTGTTGGCACAGTTTGTGCTAACGAGGTAATGCTCACTACGCTGTCTTGTGTTGGCTTTAATGATGTCCTGTTGGCCTTTCAATCCCTCCCCCATACAGAGCGGTGTGTGTGGGTGTGAGAAGGGTTACACTGAAGTGATGACCATGCATGGCTTCTTGGACTACTGCACCAGAACCCCGGGGGTAGACAACAACAAGAAAGCTGATGTGAAAACCAACTCTGGAAGATTAAAACCCGGGCCGTCTCAGGCTCAGGACCTCTTCAGGGAGTGGACCTTACGACCTGTTGGACAAGGTACTGAAATGGAAATCATTTTTACCACTCAACCAGCTTGGCTAAATGTATTACTGACTTTGAAACTGCCTTTGTAGCTGTAGGATTATTGGGCAAGAGGTCAAATCTCATATGGTACAGTTTTTTTAAATAAACTTTGCTCATCAATGTATGCAGTAAAATCTAAATCTCAAATCACCACTGAAAGTTCAAGAATTCAAGTTGTCCCACTGAGATTAAAGTCTTAAGATATCCAGACTAAAGGTGTACCTATAGATAGAATTTTCTATTCAAACTACCTTTTGCTTGCACAGATGGAAGAGTAAAGCTTTGGGTTTACGCTGTGACTGCCGTTGGATTCATCTTTATACTCTTCATTATTGCATTGTCATTCCTGGTCTGGTATGTACTATATTGCTTTGTTATTATGATCCATCAGAATGCAATTTCAGGAACATAAATATCCTTGCATGTCACACTTTTTGTCGATTAAAAAACGGACTGAATGTTGAGAAGCAAAGTGAATTTTAAACCATCTGTTTTCCTTGAAAAGCACCCTGTCAAGTATGAGTTATTTTTCTAACAATGTTTTGTCTGGAGACTGCAGCTGCTATCAGATAATGGAATTCTTTGTAAAGAAGGAAATCAAGTTGTGCTGCCCTGTGCTTCAGATACACCATCAGCCTTTCTGTCTTGTCTTTTTTTCAGCAACCCATCCAAAACCACTAAGACATCCCTTCCATCCCAGAAACCCTTGACTCTGGCCTATGATGGGGACATGGATATGTAAGAACATGCCCAGCTACAGACTGACCAACTACTGAATGTGTTCAATGAGCAATCAAGTCCATAACATACCGCAGCTTTTTGGGAAGTTTACAAGCTAGGTGGCTGTTTGCTGTAGAGCCAATATTGACAACATGCATTCGAGGAACTCTGATTCTTGTTGAAAGGCAATAAGCTCATATTCTGCCTGTAGCAATGTATTCTCCCTGAAGAAGAGGAACCAAAGCCAAACTTGGTGAATAAGTTAAGGGTGTCTAGGCACTTTTATCAAGGGATCTAGGCATAGGATATAAATGGTTGTAGTTTGTCTTTGTTGACTGTTTGCAATGTGAACACACAGTGGAAGAACTGTTTGCAACCCAAAAATCACAAAGACTCTTGAGAAGGAAGAAAAAACAAACCAGAGATGCCGAATTTTGAGAATGTCTTTTTGAGAAAGACAGAATAACAGAACATTTGACCTTCGACTTTGTTTCATCAGTTCTGAATCTTTGAAAAATACAACGTCGCAAGCCTTGTACAACAAACTTTCTTTTATTTGTGAGACAAAACAGGATGCTATATGCACTACATTAGTGCTAATTCACTATTGTTTTTATTTCATTCCAACAGACTTTTCTAGTGTCCAATTGTGATGCAAGTGGTTGTTGTTAGATTGTGTTTTGTTGATGATGCCGTATGTTGAATTATGTGGAAACCAAAAGCAGACTTTTCTCTTCCCTGATTATCTTATGACTCTGTAAAAAATGTAACTTTATTAAGAGACACCATCAAATCTTCTAATTTCTAACGGTACTTGCAGACATTCAGTCAAGAATGAACAGAAATTATGTATTTTAATTCCAATAATCAAATACACCAGCATGACAAAGATCATACCTCATATACACCTTTTCCTCAAAGGATAACAGTTCCGATCATTCAGACGGATAAATACAATAGAAATTAAATTTGCCCTCTAAATCTGAAACTGTTTTATGAGCAAATTTTCTTTTTGCTTATTAAATACTCTAAAGACAGGGCTTAAACCCAACAGACAGCAAATACAAAATATGTGGAAGCACATATTAAATGAATGAGCTGATTCTATTTTTTGTGTTTCTGTAAAACATTTCTTTAATTACTTTTTTTTGTATTTTTGTATTTTTTTTATTTTAACTTACAGTTCATACCTCTGATTATAGCGCAAAACATCATCCCAAAGTATGAGATCATTTATGGTGGTTGTACTGTGGTAAGGAATTGACTTGATTTTAAGCATACACTTTCTTTCTTCTTCCATAATCTAAGGATTTAACTTTTGTTATCTGACCCTCCTGAATGTATTTTCTGTAACTGTATATCTTAATATTTGTACAAATACGGTTGTTACATGTTGTAACAATTGTATTTTAACAGCTGATTGTATTTAGGCATGCTTTAACCATTTTTGCTGAAAGCGCTCCGAGTAGCCTTGCAAAGAATATGTATTACAGGTTGCCAAACAGGTAAGAATAGACCTGTTTAGCCACCTGTAATAAGTGAGGTCAATGTGAAATTCAGTTGTGAAACACATCACCATTTCTAGATAATGTGATCATCTCTTTTCAAACTAACTGGGTATTTTTCCAGTATTAAACAAAGACCAATCCTCTTCTGAAAATCAAAAGATGTTCACTCAATTTTCACAATGCCTTGCTCGTGTGTGACTAGTGTGTGTAAATGAAGAGCAGGATAAAAAATGCTAATAAATTGTGAAACTGTGTGGAAGCAAAACACAACATTCTCTCCTCTTTGCTCTAATTCAGTATTTTTTTTCTGGGAGATTCTCTACTCCTGCTGTGATTGTAATCAGCTCCTCGACTCTCGGATCATGATAAAATGTAATTACTGGCTCTGCCGCAGAGCCCAGAATGTATAAGCAGCTGATAAGATTATGCTACCTTCAGCCAGATTCCTGGTCTGATAGTCCCTGGATGTTTTCATGTTGTAAGGGAAATAGGGTATAAATCTTTTGTCTCATCTAATTCAATTATTTAAGACTGTCACTTTTGTTTAAGAGAAAGATGAATTCAAGTGCCTGTGTCATGGCCATCTGATCATTGGCAAAGACGTGGGCCTAGCTTTCATTTCCAAGTCATTTCAAGATATTAGAGGTTTCAATTAGGGTATCTGAACAGTATGATAATGGCAGTGTTTACTTCCAATCTGGATGTAACTAGTATTTCAAACCCACTCGTTGTCATAAAATGCAATATTCTTTAATTTGGCAGAGCGGATGTTTGTCCTGCAATATGCATCAACTTTATAATAATCATCTAAAATGATTCATTTTGTGAATATCAAAATGTTGACATACTTTCCATAGGATGTAATGTTTTGGTTATTGATCTATTAAATTAAACCATTATTGAATCTCACCTTTTAATAGTAGCAACAGGAAAACAGAGCTGAAAACCGTGCCACAGAAGTTATATGAGGGAACTGAACCAGATCAAACAAGACCACGAGACCAACATGACCACCAATTCATTGGACACCTATAAAAGTATGCTATGGTCCAAGATGGATGATTGCTAAGTCAGACATTGTTATCTTCTCTAAAGAAGCCTCTCAGATGAATGATCATAATCTTTCAAAATCAATCAGTCTGTGTTGTTTCGTTAGGCATACGTTCTACTCCAGAAGAAAGTGATAAAGGTTGTACTTTAGGATCAGGATTGGGGTTCTTATTTGCATGATGAAGTTTTTTTCCTCTCAAATAAAATGTTACAACAAAAGACATGTTGTGTTTTTATGTTTTATTTGTCACAGTATGCTAAGTCAATGCTGGTCTGTCAGTTGGTCCATCACATTAAGAAAGCTTGTTTATCACAACCACAAGTTGATGCATAGTTGTGAACTTTACACAGATCTTTATTATCTCCATAGTCGTGCATCCCGCCCTCATTTTCACCTGAGATGGGAAATCTTTGTATTTCTAAGTCTGAAAAGGAGCTTCCAGTGATGCAAAATGATGTTTTTTGCGTTACTGGAAGTTTTCTTCTGTTAGCGGGGTAAAACTACAATGCTAGTTCCTCATATTTTCGACCACTGAAGCTACAGACCAATCACAGATCAGTGGGTGGGAACTCACTCCCAGAATAAAAAACTTAACGTCCACCATGTTGCTTGGAAGCTATGCTAACAGGCTCTATGGAGAAAGCTGATAATAGTGAAAAAATCTAAATATAGCGGCGAGACGACTGCTGCCGACAGGCCGGTCTTGAGTTCTGGCTGCTGGGGGCACCTCTGCCCACTGCTCGCCACTAACTACCCGCTGCTGACGCTGCTGGTCGGTGGTGGTGAGGACGAGGAGCCCGGGCCGGCTCGAGCTGGGGCGGAGGGGCGGACTGATAATGTTGGTGCTCTCACTGTTTGCCTATGGACACAGACATAGAGTCTGTTTTCTGCCAGGAATTTCCAAGATCAATTCTGGAAGAAATCTCAGAATCTGTTGAGGAAATGGTCTTATGTGTTGAAGTAAATATGTCTGGAAATGTTTTTATTACTATATTTCTACTGCTATACTGTATATTTTGGAGAAACTGTAACAATCGAATTTCCCTCTGGGATTAACAAAGTATTTCTGATTCTGATTCAGACCTTAGTGGGAGTGGCCTGCGGTGCTGTGCATTCTGGGATTTGGTGTCTTTCATCCACATGAGCCAAAAAGACACTTTCTGCCTTTTCTCTGCCAAGAAGGCACCAACTTCAAAATTTATTTCACATTTCTACTACATATATGACCCAATGTCAATACAGATTCATGTTTCAACGGGTGAAGTATCCCTTTAACTATACTTTACTATACTTTTCACATATCCACTATTGAAAATCTCAGGAAAAATGTCATGCAGGCTAGCCCAGAAAACTTTCTCAGATGTTTGTGCCTGCAACTCAGAGAAGGACAAAAAAACAATACGCCTCAGACAGGGCAGGGTGGAATCTCTGGAGGCAAGACATGATGTAAAAAGAACGAGTTAGAAGTGGCAGACAGAGCACAACAGATGGAATAAAACCCACAATATCAACAAAAGAGCAGAGAAGAACATACTCGCCAACAGAAAACAAAGCAGTTTCATCATGTGCAGAGATCACACCGGTCACATGCATATAGTCTACAGTCATCTGCAACTCATTTGATTTAAATATCGTATCCTCCTCCTCGCTGGCAATGAATTTTCCTAAATATTCCCTGCTGTGTTCTCACATTCAACTCATCCTAAAAATGTAATTGGGGGGCTATCTGGAAATTGAAGTCTGAGTGAAAAATCAGCTGGTATAGCTCGAAAATGTCTGAAAAAATTGCAGGAGTCTTGTACATTTGTGAAAGCACCAAATGAATGATCTTTGACCTTTCAATTTAGAGCCACCCACATAGTTAAACTTCGATCACCTACTTTGGTAAAATACCAAATTGTATCTTACACAATGACGTTCCAATCATTCTATGATGTAATTTTGATGTAGTGACAATTTGAAATACCAGATGAACATTTAATACACATTGAACATCAGCATTTAGCGTTGTGATATAAGAATTGTATACTTTAGATGCTGTGTGTGTGTTCACTCTGAGATCCATCATGAGAGACTGGTACTGAAGAGATTTAGTGAGACTGGGTTTCATTTTTATCATTTGCAAAAACTTAACTCCACAGATCTGAACACTTTTACGCCCACTCCTTTTTGGTTTAAGGTTATCCTAATTAAAAAGATTAACACCCTGCAATATGGGAGCACAGAGGTGGCACATGGGGAACAATGGGATGCTGCAAGCTCAAGTAATTGATAAAGAGACTTTGAAGTCCAGTCTTGCTTAGAGTGGACTTTATGTAATTTGGTCGAGTTTGAGTTTTATTTCAGATTCTTGCAGCATTAAAAACACAAGCCGAAGTAAAATGTCAAAATAATATTCTCTTTCATTAAATGAAATGTTATAAATATGAAAGAAAGATAGATTGAGATTCATTAAGATTTATTTTCTTCTGTACGTATAAACGATATGGTGTTTCCATTATTATTAACTTTAGTTTTCAAGGCAAAGCACAACAAGCAAGAACAAGAACAAATTGAGATAAATATTAATACAAATGCACAATGCTGGACTATTTTTTTTAATGATTCTAATGATTATACTTTCATAAGCAACAATACTGTATTCCACTACTTAAGTTAAACTCTTCAGTCTCCAGAGCCTGGTTGTTCAAAGGTATAAGGTTTAAGACTGATCCGGATCTGGTCATTCTTTTTTTTTTCTTTTTCTCAGGATCAGGTAATCCAGCTCACTTTCATCCTGCTTGTTCAAATCAATCAATCAATCAATCAATCAATTTCTATTTGTATAGCGTCAACTCATAACAAGTGTTATCTCGAGACACTTTACAAAAAGCAGGTAAAATACCTTACTCAAAGAAAAACAGAATAAAATAATTCTGATCCAGACACAGACTTTTAAAGATGACCAAATCTGGATGACCAATGCTTTAAAGGAAAACACTAAAATCCACTCAATATGAAAGATCCCCATGGCCTTTTTAATTTATCATGTTATGTTTGATATTAATATCTATTTTGATGACTATTTCATTGGTAATTGAAACAACCACATCTAACTAACCTACTACTTTATGGTGGGGATGCAATCAATTAAGTTGATAATAAATGATGATTAAACTAGTGAAATAAATGAATAAAAATAATATTACTACTTGATACAAATGGTACTAAATAGTGGTGTCAAATTGCACTTAATTATTCTCTTAACTATGTTAATCAGTTCTAGTTTTCTTGTTTGACCACTTGGTGAGTTTTATTAAAACATGTAAATCCAGCCCTAACCTTTATGGGTCAAAGTAAACCTGATCATACTCAACACAACACAAACCAGAGGTTTGATCCTGATGCAAATAAGGATTGGATAACCTGATCTTATTCGATTATGTGATCCTGTTTTTCCTTCGATCAACCAAATTTCAAGATTTGATCCTATCCGACAGGATAATTTTGAACAACCGGGCCCAGGTAACTCTTAAAGCTATGACAGTCCCCTACAGAGGATTACAGAGAAATAGTCTGGTCCTTGAAAAATATTCACAAGGTCTGATGTCAACAATGCCTATTGTTTTCCAAGAAAATACTCCATGGGCAATGTGCAGATATGATTTTATATCTGATTTATGACTCCTCTCAGGATTAACTTCCTTATCAACAAATCTTATCATATTGGGTCAGTGGCCTAATTACAGTCTTTTATGGGTTCTTTGCCTCACATATTTTTTTTTTTTACCATTTTACAACAGGGAAATGTGGGCATCAAATGAAAACAGAGGCAGAGTTTGAAAGACCCAGCACTAATCAACCATGAGCCCAGCATCTAGCAAAGTACTAGTATTAGCAAGGAAATACTTCCCATCTGCTCTGACAGTGTTTGGTTTGTTGAGGGGAGAGGGAGATGCAAACAAAATGTACACAAACAAACAGAGCAACAACGGCAATAATGGCAATGAATAAAACTGATTTATGGCTACAATACCAGTAATAGTGCTTAAAGTATGTATATTATTAGCAGTAATACCAAAGTAGGATAATTGACAGATCAGTCTAAAATTAATGTCAACAATTAACATTAATATTGGATAGACTGATAATGTTAATAAGTTTGATTTGTGCAGCTCTCAAGATTGACATCCACAATTACAATAATAATAATACAATTAAGACAGTTATAGCAGTTGGCAGGTCCAAGGGAGCAGGCTGTCTGCAGTAACGGTCCAGAGGAACCAGAGACAAGGAAGCTCAGGAACTCCCAGTAAGATATATAGTTAGTAGATTTAATAGTATTTAAAGCAGTACACTGCTACACCAGTATTGTTGAAACCATAATTTAGAGGTAGGAGACAGCTTTAAAGTGCTTCATCTGTGAAATCCAGATTTAATTTTCTTTGTGTGTAACACACAGAAATTTGCACGAGAATGTACAAAATTACTCACTTGAGATCCAAATGATGTAAAATTAATGCAACAACATTTGCACAGTTAAGTTGCTTTCTCTGTTTCATGCAGGTCCTTTGTACTTGAAACTTTTGTTACCAGTGAGTGTAAGGCATTAACTGATGACAACATGCCAACCTGAGGATAACCCTTAGACATGAGTCTTCCACAATATACAGTAGAGTGGCCTGTGGTCAGTTGCCACCCATTTAGCTGTTTCCACCACAGATCTGGAGCACTCAAACACTCCAAAAGAGAGCTCTGTCAGCTTTGGTCATGAGGTTGACTGCTGACAACAGTGTGATTAGCTGCACCTGTAGGTCAGCTTGTGGGTGGTAACTCCACCTCAAGTATTTCTGTGATATTTTATTATCAAATTTTGACTCAGCAACTGAGCTGCCCAGGAGATTTTTAAATTGAAATTAGCCATTCAAAGGCTGAAGAGTGAGGGTTTCTTCCAACACTATGGTGTGCCAAAAGGGGAAATGTGGGAAAATACTTTGAAAATGTATGTGTAAATTTGTACCTTAATCATATTGTGACTAATCTGAAACCTTGTACAAACTATTGTATTTCCTATAGTCAAATGACTGAAGTATTTGATTTGACCCTTATGGTTTCATGCTTGACCTATGTCTATATTCATGTTGTTATACTGCATGGTTTTTAAGTTTTATATGTTTAACAGTGTCATGGCTATATTGTGTTTTTAATTGTATGGTTTTTATTTGGATTGTATTTTTGCGTGTTTATTTCCAGCCACTGACATCGTTACCACTATCTGGACCTATAGTTACATTTTTAATGGAACCTGTTCTTAACCAGTCTTCAGCGATAGCAAGATAATGCAGAACTACACCTCTTCCTTATAGCCTACAGCCAGCAAGCAGATGGGTTAATCATATATACGGATGATGCCTTCAGTGTCCATCCCAAGGAATTGCATTTCTTTACAAATGGACATAAATCTGATAGAAATACCTTATTTATTACATTTATCAAATAGGGAGTAAATCAAGCTCATGGGCAGCGATTTGTGTCTGTGTGCCGACTTATTGCTGCAAAAGCTGGGTCAGTAAATTCTACATCAATAACCATAGTTAAAAGGGGGTAAAAAGCCCCGGATAAGCACATTTCCAACAGGTCAGATTCCAAGATGGAGCCTTCTTAAATGTGGGTTAATAATGTGGGTAATTGATGTCTTGTTGATGAGAAATTGTCAAAATAATGTTATCGAAATTGTGGAAAACGTACTGACTTGTAAAGCTTAAGTCGAGGGGAAAAAAAAAAAAATATATATATAAATATATATACATATACATGTAGATATATGGTGTGCTTTTTTTAAAGAGACATTTAACTTTGATAGTGATGTAAAAGTGCATTGATGTTCTGTGTTGATATGCAACACATGTTAGAAGCTTATCAACATAAGAAGCGCACAGCTGTACATCTCCTGATCACCTATGACATCATGTGCTTGCTTGTTCAACAAGGTCACTGTATAAAAAAATGTAAATTGTTGATGTCCGGGTTTTCTTGCAAATGATTTGGTTGAGGTCTCAATAGGGAGCTTAAGCTCTTAAAAGAGATACTGCTACAAGGCGGCACACACGAAATGCCAAGCTCCTATAGGAAAAACTCTTGGTGTGCTGCCTTTTAAACCCTAATTACAATTTGAATCACACATCAGTAATCTCACTAAATCGACCTCTTATCACCTTAGAATTATTGAAGAAATGCAATTGTTTTACTCCCAGGCAGTATACCCAGAGGCAGGCCTAATAACTAGAATTTATCTTCATTCTGGTCTATCTAAGAAAGCTATAAATAATTAACAGTTCAGAGAAGACCAGGGATCAGACGAGTAAAGATCTGCCCACCTGAACAATTATTCATTGTTTGCCTGTGAATTTTAATAATATATTTTAGAATTATTTTATCTGTCTTTCAATTATGCAATGGATGCGCACTTGACTATTTGAGAGATGTTGATGTACAGCATTCTCTCTTTAGATCACTATATGTGAAATCAACATTAGAATAAGCAAACATCTTTCTTTGCATTTGCCGTGTGTCTTACCACTTATTTCCTTATTCTTCAGCGTTATTTTTGTACACTGATATTCCGTATTGCGGCTTTGTGCACTAAATGTTCAGCAGCAGACAAGAAGAGCTCTCAAGAAAGCAATATATAAGACTCCCCCTGCCTTCACTTGCAGACACCTTCAGATCACACTGCCTCTGCAGAGCCAGCAGCACTGTGGAGCATGTAACTCACCCTTATCATCTCTTCTCTCTGCTGCCATTGGAAGGCGCTTTAGTGCCCTAAGACCCGAGCTTCATAGCTCAAAAGCAGCTTCACCCTTGAGCCATCATTGAACTGATCTCTGCAAAAACAAAACTAAAATATATACGTGCCTCTTGTTTTCTTCTTTGTTTAGTCCCTCCACCATATAAAGTACCCTTGGGTCCCTTGAAAGGGACAATCTACTGCAAATTGTGTTTTACAATGTGCAATCGGAGGAGATGCTATTTTATTCTATTTAAACTGCATTGTTTTTATTTTAAGCTGCATAGATAAAGTTTGATTGACTTAAACTACTGTTAGCCTACTTTATGTATCTATATTATGACTTTATTTATAGCCTCACATTTGACAAGGGACTCCTGGTCAAGAAGCGAGCATAAAAAAAATCACATAAAAGAATAAACTACTAACAAGCAGACACTAAATTAAACTATGATTCAACAGCATTAGATAACAATTCATCTGCATTGACTGGTAAAAAAAAAAAAGAAAAAAAATATATATATCTTTTTGTTTTTGTAGTCTTCCATAAAACTTAAATGATGTAGCCTAGTTCATGTGACCCTGCAGACCAAGATGAGGGAGCAAACATGAAATAACCCCTCTTATGAACACAGTGCGAGTTCCGGAGTTACATAGGCTACATAGTGTGTCTTCAGAGGCTCGCTGAAGTAGGCCTACGTGGTGTTTGATCATTGGATCAATTTCTCTTGAGGGTTTTTTTTTTTTCCACAGGCACAGTTTAAGCTCCTTAAAGAGACACTGCGAGAATGGCAGGGTTGTTTTCAAGCCGGAGGATCAGGACACGCCCGTAGGCTACCCCTCAAACATGTAAGTGACAATGTTTCGCCTCGACCGAACACCAGATGCTCTTATAGCTGTAAAACAATACGCAATGTGATAGGAACCTGTGCGCAACATTAAGCCTCTCTGATAACATGTGAACACATCGAATGAACATTTAAAGCTCGACAATTTGAGTCTTTTTTTTTTTTTGTTGTTGCTTCATGCTGTACCGTTTCCGTAAACTGTTCAATGAAGCGTTTCTGGAAAAAAAAAAAAAAAAAAAACAGCTTGGTCGCAATTGTGAATGACACTCCTTTAAACCTGCGTGTTCAGATTCAGCTCTGTAGTCAAGAACAATCGTTTGCCCATAGAAGTCGTTTTCTTAAAGCAAGTCGGGTAAGATTTCTGCAATTCACTGAGAGCAGCAGCTTCAAACGTATGATTGCCAAAAAACGACAAAACAATTGCGGAAATTTATAATCATCCTGTAGCCTATAGGAAGCGAGTGTTATGTAAGAATTATTGCAATATGAAAACAAATTGGCTGCTGTAAAAGGTTGTGGTTATAAGCTGCCCCTGAAATTCTATTTTACATTTTAGAAAGACAAATAGCCTACAGTATACATACTGTAAGTGCCAGAGCAGCTCCCACGCTGTTTACACAGGTGATTTAAGAGCCTACTATATTAGTACACAACATTTAGCCGAAAAAAAGAAGGTCTGACTTCAATTGCTTTGAGTGCTAATATTTAGGGTTTGTTTTGTGTTTGTTTGTTTTGTCAGATCTCTGCTATGGCCTCCTCTCTGCAGAGCTTGATTCATGATGATGGCAGATACCAGAAGTCCTTCCACCTTTTTCTGGAGCGCTCCTCTGAACATCAGTGTATGCAGGACTTCATTGACAATATACTGCCAGACATACTGGCCAGGTAATCTGCCACACTTGTACTTCAAGAGTAAACTTACACAGTTGAACCATTGAGGAAGGAATATAATACAGCGGAAAGTTGGATCCATCGAGGTTAAAAGCTTTTATTATGATATTTTTGTTATTGTGGTGTTGCACGACATTTCTTCACAGTAGTTTGGAAAAACTGACAAATACAACCAAAGTGAAATCAATGAAAGGAACATCACAGCTTCAGTTGAAATGTATAAATTACGGTTACTTGTGACAGGTATAGCCTAATTACATACTGGTGGCGAACAATCAAAAGATACATGAAATACCACTTATAAAGGAAAGGTAGCCTACAGTCTATTTTACATATCAGGAAGTATAGTACAGGCAGTTATGGCATTTGAAATTATTATTTTTATTTCAATAACATACAGTTTAGTAAAATAAAATATAAATTCAATCCTTATCAAAATATCACTCTAGCAAGTTATTTTGATGTTTTAAGTAAATTAACAGTTCATAGTAATTAATTAAGAATAGCCAACATATTATTACTCGATAACCCACATTCCCAAACGTTAAACATCCTGTTGAACATTGAAACATTGAACTGTTTTGAACCCGTAACTTTTGTGGTGATATTGTGTTATTGCTAGAAATGTTCCACATCTTTAAGAAGTTCAGACAAAACACAGAACAGATGAACCCCTGTAATGTGATGATTAGGAGATACAATAAGCCCTGAATAACAGAAGAGATCTTTCACATACTCTGTTATAACAATGTTCTCTTTGGATTGAAAGCATCTTTGTGTCTTCAGATGGTAAGAATTGAAATGTTATTGTCATTAAAGGCTTATATCAACCTGCTTGTTACTGGTATGTCCTCAAAACCAAACCATAGACTTCTCAAACATACATTTATGAAGGAGCTTAACAAGGCGTGCCTCTATTAGAAATAATTGTGTGTATTTATGGATCTCTACTCAAGCTGTATGAAGCCAGTGCCATGCTACTGAGAACTAAACCCAACTTTCTCTATTTCTCCTATGGCTTCTATTGAGTGTTTCAGAAGTATATCACAGAGATACGTGACTCACAAGTCAAATAAAGAAGTGCAAAAGCGTTATTAAAATTCTGAAGATGAGCGACAGAAAATGGAAAAATACCATGGCAACATTCAAAGTCTTGGTATAAGAAACACTAGATCAAAAGGACTCACTTACCCAAGTGGCAGAATTGACAGTTATGAGAAATGTGACCCACATTTGGTAGTTTGGATTATGTGAATTCCTCAACTTCGACTGTTCTAAAGTTTCAATATGTTTTTCTTCTCTCGTCTCAGCATTGGAGACGGAAAGTCCCATCTAAATGTCATTGGAGTTGGAAGTGGAGATGGTAAGAACACGCATTATAGGACACTTTCAGTGCAGAACTTAACTTATGTGCTATGTGAATGAATAGCTCAATGGCCTCTGTGGCAGACAGTGAAGGTGAGGAGGCCTTGTTGAATCAGACCACTTAAACTGTTCCTATACTGTGCAGTCATTTATGGCTGCAGCAGTAAAAACCTTTCCCCTTATTATGGCTGCCAAGAGTTTTTATACATCTGTTCAGTTGTCAGATTAATCTTTAACTTAAGTACCAGACAGTGACCCTACCAGTGGTGTAACTGCACTTTGTCTCCAGAGAACATGACACGGCAAGGTTAATTTGTTTCTCTGAAAACGTACTACTTTCCCATGAGTGGTATAACCCTTTACTTTTGTCAAATCTAGCTCTTTTCATTTCAGTATCATAATGGAGCAATGTAACAGATTCTCTAATTGACTGTAAAATCCATTGAAACGACTACCAACTCCCCAGAAGGTATTATTTGATCTAATCAGAAAGATCCAACACTTTCCGAGTTCAGCTGCTTTACTTGCATGTTTTCCTTCATGCATAACAACTCGTCAGCTTCATTAAGAAACTGGACCAAATCAATTGTCTATGGCTAATGATTTCAAAAGGATAATAATAGTGATTACACTCTATTTTTGAATCAAGGGTATTTATTCTGAGATTATCGCTGCATTATATTTAGACTAAGAATACTAAGAAGTGCTTAGAAGACGAGTGAATAAAAAAACTAAACTTAAAATACATGTGCCCCTTCTTAAATATGCAACATCAATAAGATAATTGGGATCACATCGTGGTTTACTAAATGTAGTGTCGGTTTTTCTAACTGAATAGTTTTGGTGCTGTGGGCAAAGTTTTAATTTGAAGAAGTGTGTGGATTTCAAAATCAAAATTGCGCTGGTGCCTGCAGGTGTGATTGACCTGAAGATGCTCTCCAAGCTTCATCTGAGGCACCCAGGGGCGACAGTGGATAACGAGGTGGTGGAGCCTAGTGGCCAGCAGCTACATAACTACAAAGGTAAAGCCTTTATCGGCACATGATTTTCTCACAAATTAGAAAACTCGCATTGTGTGTTCACATATCCCCTAAAATGGGTTTTGATTTTTGATTCAACAGAAATATGGGGTGTTCTTTCTTTTAGTTCAGGTTCATTTGCATAAATACTATGCTTCAGACTGATATTTTGTTCAGTTATGTAAGTGTCTGCTGTATTGTGATCATTCTTAACACCTACTTCAAGCATTAAGGTTTGATTAAACATCATTAAACACGTAATTATGTCTTTGTGTTGTAAATGTTGTATGAAACTTTAAACGTTAAAATACTCAAGATAAAACACAATTCAAATGTTTTTATTTTGGTTGTAACTGTAGGTAACATCTTTAAGGTGGTATGATATTTTTGTTGCTGAAAAGTGTCATTAGTTAAATTGGTTTGCAGGTAAGCAACAATCTTTAAGATAAGTGACTGCAATGTTATCATTCAAAGACGGAGCCAATCCGCCCACTTTTATCACACAACATTTTCCATAATTGTTGTGCCCAGAAAGGATTGGTTGTTCATTCTTAAATGTCATGTTAACCCTTTTACATAAAAAGCCATGTAGAGTAACAATACAGTTAAGTTTAGTTTTGCAAATACAGCAATGCATCAGTTACATTTGTTTTGTATGGTTTGTGGCCTGATGCAGTCTTGGCATCGCAGAAACCAGGTCTGGATTACATTACCTTCACTTGGAACAAGATGACTTCCTCTGAGTTTGAGCAGCACTGGAAGGCGAAGAAGATGACTAAGAAGGCTGACTTCATTCACATGATACAGGTTTGGTTTGCAGATGCAGGCAACTAGCCCACATACAGTGTATTTGACACATCTAGGTCATACCCATCAAGCAGTGCTCCTTGGCAATTAATCCCTGCTGAATAAAAGTCTTGCATTGCATAGCATAGCAGAGCCTAGCAGTGCTTTATAGTTACAGTTACTTGCTCATTATCTTTTGTAAAATTGACAGATGCTGTACTATGTAAAGGATCCTGAAGCTACAGTCAGCTTCTTCCGTAGTCTCCTCAACAAGAATGGGAAGCTTCTGATCATTCTAGTGTCTGGTAAGTGGGTGGATGTTCACTTGTATTATAAAGACTTTTATCTTTCCCTTCTTTCTGAATTATTGGCGTATTCATGCAGTACTGTGTACTACTGTACAGTCCCTATTAATACCACTTTGCTTTCATCGAGAAAGCCTTACTCAATTGTTTTAAGCTTTGCTAGTGGCCACGCTGGCAATGCTGGTCAATCAGTCTGGAAACATGGAATCTGATTTATTGGCCAGGTTCGTTTGCATCTGCGACCAGATTTGACTTTGGTTTTACATTACGCTCAGGGCCTGATTCACTAAGAATTGATTGCAGCTGCTAATAGCTCTACAAATTGTGCCCCTTCTCAACATCTAATTAACAAAGCATGTAGGACTTTTTCAGGTTCAAATGCATCCAAAAACTGTCCTGCTTCGTGCAGTTAGCTCTTGTTTTAAGTCTTAATGTGGAGAAAAGCTATCTGCACCTTTACCCTGCGCAGAGAAGTCTCGCGTTGACAAAGCAGATTTGTGCTCTTAAACATGATGAGCTAGGCAGGGAGGAGACACTTTTTCAAGTGTATTGTCTGAACCGAGCAAGCAGGGGCAACTTGAACCAAAAAAAAAAAAAACAGACCTTTCCACTGTATGAAAGAGGTGTTAAGAAGCTCACAGACTGATTTAACCCTGATTTTATCAATAATAGTGATGTCAAAGTAATATTTACAGACTTTATTTACAGATGATTTATTTTTAAGTCATAAAGAATCGGAATTGTTTTATAGATCACTGACATCTGTTATAAATACTTTAGTGCACTTACCACCTAACCTCACCAGACAGTTTTTATTTTTACTATAACAAGCGCTTAAATCAAGGACAAGTTTGACAAAGGTAATACAAACAATAACACTTAACTCCTGGTGGGTTACCAAAAGAATGCTATAAAACATTAGCAACATTAGAACACAGATAAACCTCAAAGGTCCGAAAGTCCAAAAGTTCTACTCTGGTGACCAACCTAAGTCTACCCTGCCTTTTGCTGAATGGGCGTCAGCCCTCTGTGAGCCTCATCAGATACGCCATAGAACTGATGGAATGATGACAAATTGAATTTATTTAATCCAAATAGCTCAACTGTAATACAATTATGTATGAATCCATAATGACTCAGTGAAGTAGTGACTATATTATGCCATGAACTACACTTCATAGCCAAAGCTACCATGCACTCCATGCGACAAGAGCAAATTTGTGTGTTTTGAGTATGCTTTTTGTGGTTTGTTTTGAATATACGAGTGTATTTAAAGCTTTTTTAGTTTGTCCCCACAATCAGACAGCAGAGCACTGAAGTATTTTTGGCATGTGGATACATAGGGCTGCTATAATTTACCAAAAAAAAAAAAAACAATCTGAAAGATTTGCATACTGCAGAAATTACACAGGTGCATAGAACCATTTCCATTGCTGTTGACTCTTGGTCTTGTTTTTTTATTTCATCCTTTCCAGGTGAAAGTGGTTGGGGAAATCTTTGGCGGACTTACAGGAATGAGCTCTGTAACACAGAAATAAGCCAGTGTGTGACCACTAGAGACATCAAAAGCTTCCTGGACTCTAAGGGAGTAAGCTACCAGAACTACATGCTGCCATCTCAAATGGATATTACAGAGTGTTTCTCTGAGGGGGATGAGAAGGGAGAGCTGCTGCTCGATTTTCTGACTGAGGTGCTGGACTTTAGTAACACAGCCTCACCTGAGCTGAAAGCTGGTGTCTTGGAGTTACTTCGTCATCCGGAGTGTAGTGTAGAGTCCAATGGCAAGGTTATTTTCAACAACAACCTGGAGGTGATAGTCATAAATTAGCTTACTTAAAAACAGGTTATTGGTATTCTGAGGTTGATTTTTTTCAGGGGAATAGGACATTTCTGTTGAATTAGTTTCAGACTAAACAATGAAATCAAAGTGTATATTTTGTGTAAATGACTGTACATAATCACCAAACTTTAGCTGGGCAAATGTGTGTTTTCTTACTTGATCACTAAACCACTCCCACATAACCTGTTCCTGGTGAGTCTGTTTTTATTATTTTAAGTTGTCTAAGTATGAGCTAATGTGGTGATTGTCTTTTTCTCACCACATTTTGTGTAATTGTCATAAGGTACATTTCCATTCTTCATGTTAGGATCAAATCTTCAATCAGCATTTGACATCAGCTTCAGATGCTATTAGCATGTAGTTTCATGGTCTACAGCTGCAAACTGTGCGATCAGACACATTTCATTGTTGCTCCCAGTGGATCAAATTACATTGAAAATATAAAAATAAATGGAAGCTTGAACATATAATATTTTTTAAAGCAAAGCACTGTTAAATAAGTTCAAAACACCCATGGGAGTGTATGGGTTTTGTGCCTTTGATTTTGAATCTTAGATGGTGTTATTTCTGCAGAAAAGATGAACAACCCTAAGAATTTTTGGCTAGATATATTCAAATCAAGGAGCTTTTAATGCTGGCATTTGATTAAGACCAAAAACTTTTATAATTATGTTATTTAGTCCCCTTTCCATGTCAATCATTTTAGACTTCTAGCCTTGTTTATATCGGTCTCTAAAGATGAAATAAGAAATAGGTTGGCAAAATGTTGTGATCATTTAAACCATAGTCAGTCAGTCATTGACAATGAAGTCAGTCATTGTAGATAACCTGAGAATAGAATTCATGTTATTCAAACAAGTTGTATTAGACAATTGATGAGGGGGTTCTTGTGTGGCTTAGACATGAAATGAAAAACAACACTAACCTGACGAATACAGGCTGGCCTACTGATAAGTCTGCACAACTTAATGTTCCAATATGAAAATAAAAAACTCTGGGAATTAATTCTCTAAAGCTTTACAAGCTGTACCAGTAGTATGTACTTACTGGGCTCACTCTATGTCAACAGTTAAAATCATTTCCATTGATGTATGGGGCATTGGCACCACCTTGAGGGGAAGTTCAGCAAGTGCCTCTGAAATTAAAGACTGGGCCGATCCCACAGTTTAGAAAAAATAGAAATTCTAAAAAATTGCTGACTCTCTGAGACTAAATACCCCAGTGTAAAAACTGGGGGAAAAAGAAACTAAACATATTGAAGGCTACAACTAAAAAACCCTCTACAAACAAGTTTTTTTTAATCTTTGACATGGCTGGACTCTGGATTTAATTGTAAATCATTGAACTATGTTTGCAACCTTTGTATGTTTTTCTTTTGAATCTGTATTTACCAAGCAAAGCTTTGCTGATTTGGGGGGAAGATTGTAACATAATAAAACTGTGGAATACACAACTGCTATCAAGGTTTGCTGCTTTGTAACCGTTAATGGTAAAACTTCATATTAAGGTCAACATATTAATCATTAACTCGTTTCTTATTAGCATGCTAATTAGTAGCATACTGGCTGCTTCTTAGTCATTAATAAGCACTTATTAGTACCTTATTCTACATGACCAACACTATCAGGTAAAGCTATCAGGTTATTAATTAAGAGTTTTCCCTCAATACCTCCCCTGATTACTAATGATAATAAGTTAGGAAGTTTTTGCACATGAATTATGATCTTAATATGCTTTGCTTCGTATGGCCCTTATAAGGTAGTAGTACCATAAGAATAGTTTTTCACCCTCAATAACTCTCATAAAGTATGGTCTATTTTCATGAAACAAAGCTCAAAGTACATCATTCATAAATTGTTAAACAATTAAAAAATGGAACTCTACTGACTCCAATCTGAAATCTGATGACACGTAGTAGACTTCCATTTTTTTAATTGTTTAATCCATTTCTTAAGAATATACTACATTAATTGTATAACTTGTGTGCTATATATATATTGAAATTGTTCAGTGTGAAGAGTAGATAACTTTTGAGTAGGGAAACAAATATAAGATCAATGTGAAACTAATGAATTCTTTATGAACAAGACCTGGCTTTAGAATGGGGAACATATATTTAATTAGGAGTTTGGACATTACTAAGACAAGAAGTTTTTGTGTTTTATTTTATGAGAATAGAGCATACTTAATGAGAATTATGAAGATGAACTATTCTTGTACTACTGTACCTTAAAAGAGCTATACTGAGCTATTAAGATCACAATTCAACTTCCTAACGTTCCACCAATAAGCAGTAATTAGAGGGTATTCAGGGAAAAGTCTTAGTTAGCACCCTAGTAGCTATAGACTTTTATATTGAATAAGGTTTTAATAAGTGCTTAAAAATGACTAAGGAGCAGCCAGACAGGCTGGCTATTATTTTTTTCAACTGGATCCCACTTCATATGGTTGTGGAAAGCCGTATTTTCATGTTTAGTCTTAACTGTACTGTGTTATGTTTGGGTTAGAGGGAGGGGTTTTAGCTGGTGTTACCATTGGTCCATCCCCTCTGTTGAAAATTAACCAATCCCCTAAAAGATATATGTCTATGGATAGGAATAATACAGCACAGCTGCAGTTATTTGAGTTCTGGCATTCGCAAAGTTCATCCAAGAGTTACATAACAAAAGTTCATTTGAGCAGAGCCAGCCAGCCTGGGAAGAGAGATTTACTCTCTGACTGGAGACAAGAGGAACAATCAGCTCTCTGTCCTTATTCTCTGCACATTCAAGGTACTGGAATACTAAACATGTTTGACTGAAGTTTTGCATTGTGTCTTGAAGACAGTTTTAAAATAATAGTCACAGTTTTTGAAGTTGAAATCATTGCTTTTTGTTTGGTTTTAAAGCATAACGTGTTATAAATTGCAGGCTCAGTCATGGCTGAGGAAGCAAAGCAGACCTGCTATGAAGGCAGCTCGGTCCAAAGCTTCCAGTTCTACCTCGAACATTCAGGAGAGCACGAGGCCATTCTGAAGTGTGCTCACAACCTCTTGCCTGGAGAGTTTCAAAGGTTACGAGAAGAATGTTTTCATCTTTTAACTATTCGTACAACTTACCCCAAATCATTACCATTACCATAACAGCACCAGTTCTCTTGTTTTTAAGATCATGTCTTTGCATATGCCCATATTTAATGTCCAAACCAACCCCCGGGTATTTTTTTAAACCCTTAGCAACAATTAACTTTTGTTTTTCTTCAAGTAACTATGACTTTGATAGTTCATCTTCTCCAGTCAACACAGTGGTAGATTGATAAGATTAATGACCTTTGTTATAAGAACAACTGCTTTTCAGACGTTTGCATACAGTAGCAGGATTGATATGTGCTTCACAAATAAAGTATATTAAAAGTAGAATTTTTTCTACATGCATTCAAAAAGGTTTTTAGAACAAAATGTGACAACATGTTTGATATCACTTCCTTTCTAATGTGTTGGTGCAGAATTGCAGCAGGTAAAAGCAGCCTGGATGTTCTTGGTGTTGGAAGTGGTGGAGGTACGTGACTAGATGCAGTCTGATAACTGATTTATGAACAAATGTTGTTGTCGTTTTTTCAAGAAATTGTGGCTCAGTGCCATGAATAAAAAAAAAAGTTTAATTTGTGATCTGTGATTGTCATTTGAAAAAGTTAGACCACTGCCATTGTAGGACTCTAACTCCTGTGTTACAATTAGGGGTTGTTGGGATCTATGGATTATTTCATAAAAAGGTTAAAGGTAAAGGAAATGGTTGAGACGTTATCCTTTAAATTGCCTCGCACTACTGCAGGGGTGAGTGAATGTCAAGAGAGTTATTTAAGGGGTAAAGTCAAAAATATTTAATGTCTGCTTTAAGACATAACCAAGTTGCTCTTCTATACGTGATGCAAAGAGATACCAAGTCTAGGTAATCTGAGCAAAAATATTCCACAGTGTATCTGGAGATCATTTGAGATTTTTACTGACTGGGATGTACAAAATAGATCATTAAAACGTATCTTCCCCATAGTTCAGAGAAGAAACACTGCACAAACACAAGCAGGGGTAAATACTAAGTTTGTAGGATACTCATTTAATATCACTTAGTCTGACTGCTGAAGTTCAAATTTAACTTAACCACTTATTGAATAAGCTATTATTGAGAAGTTTCCTAATGTTTGGCTTTAAAGGCATACTTAAACTTTAAATTGCAACTGCTGTAATTTATCATTTAAATGAAACTGCAGTATAAATCTACCACACTCACATACAACGGCATACACATACTAGTTGACTGTGGAACAGGGGCAACATTGGAGTCAATTGTTTAACGATGAGACTGTGGAAACAAACTCACACCCACATTACACTCAACATAAACACACGTCACTTTAAAGATTACCACAGGTCAAGTCAGGTCATTAGCTCTGAATGTTTGTTATATTCAAATCAAACACATTTTTTGGCATGAGGTCTTCTTATTGAAGGAGCGTTACACTGAGGCAGTACGATTTAAAACCCAAACACTTTCTCGTTTCTTTCAGGGGAGGTGGATGCCCAGATGCTCACTCTTCTTCAGTCTACCTTGCCGGCTGTTCCTGTCACTGCTGACATTGTGGAGGGCAGTGCTGCTCTCACAGACAACTTCAAAGGTAGCATCAATGTTTCTCTGCAGTTTGTCTGGTTTCTTACTCTTACTTAGATTTTGTGAGAAAAAAAAAAAAAAAAATTCTGAAACAGGGTATGTAGCTTAACCATGTCTTAACCCTCTTTCTCATGTTAAATGATATATTATCCAATTACAAACTGAGAATTAGGGAACACAATTGACTACACAGTGACGTCTGCTTCTTCAGCAAGTCTGAACACACAAATTTAAAATCTTTTGGTCATTGCATCCAGGAAGTCTCTGGATCCACATTTCAAAACATGTCAGATTCAGCCTTCAGGACTGCTCCAAACCCACTGCTTACAAAGTCTCCCCTTTTGTCTTCATTATATCTGTATTAATTACTTTTTTGTGTGTGTGTGTGTGACACAAAGCCGTCGGGTAATAGTGGAACTGAATTCTCTTGGTGAATAAGCTGCTAAAAATCTTACCAAGCTTATAAGCTCATGATTTTGTTAAATAAAATATCCTGATATACTGTTTACAAACATTTCATTGTTATTTTCTGCTTTATCTATTTTATGTCTAACTTATAGCTTTGGTAGCAAAGACGGCCACTCTTCAGAAGATCCAGTTTGTTTGGCATGTCATGGGCAGTGAGGACTATGAAAAGCAAGTCAGAGCAAAAGGAGACATGAAGAAATTTGACTTCATACACATGATTCAGGTATTACCAATATTTATTTTGGCATTCAAACGAAATTAAACTGTGCTGTATTCCTCAGTTACACACTAAATAAGAGTTACCAGTTGGTAGAATGTCAGTATCTCCCTCTGTGTAAGCAGTGTGATTTATTTAGCTCCCTACAAAGTACATCTGCCGCTGCTGGAATTCACAAGGGAGCATCTTGGAGGCACCTTTTAACTGCACAATAAGTGAGGCTAATAGTCATGTAAGCTGTATAATTTGACAGCAGTGTCCCCTGACGGAACAGCTTTGACTTAAAACACTTCTCTGTGTGCCCTTGCATGTAAGCTTCAAATGAAAGGTCAGTTTAAATGTTTCTTGCAATTCTCTCCTTGACAGATGATCTACTATGTTGATAACCTTTCCAGTACAATCAAGTTCTACCAAAGCCTTCTGAAAAACAATGGCAAGCTTATGATCATTGTTGAAGCAGGTAAGAAGAACCAAATTTCATTCTTTCTAGTTGTCTAAATGCTTTTTGGCCTTCTACCTCCCAACGTGTGTGTGTGTGTGTTTTAGGCTGAATACACAAGTGTTTTATTTTGTGAACACTTTGTTTTGTATTTTTTGGTTCATGGTTTTCTGTGTTGGAAAACCTTTGAACAGATGTATGGCTGCACCAGGAAAAGTCATGTATTGAAGACAAATAAGGCCCGATTACCAACCACCTTGTACGGTGACCAAAAGTGCATTATTCTGAAATGTGTGTATTTTTGAATCTCATTCTCCTCAGCTGATGGTGGCTGGGACAAACTGTGGAAGACGTTCAAGAAAGAGCTCTGCACGGGTGCCATCACAGAATATCGCTCATCAGCAGAGGTTATAGCTTGTGTGAAGAGCCTGGGTCTGAAATATGAGGAGCATGTCATTTCCAACACCTTTGACATCACTGAGTGCTTCAATCCAAGCAGCACGAATGGAGGACGTCTTCTAAATTTCATGACAGCACAAGATCACTTCTACCAGTCCTTTACCCCAGAGATCCGGGCAGGCATGTTAGACCTTCTCAGAAACAAGTGCAGCACTGAAAAGGATGGCAGGGTGTTCTTCAACAGCAATCTGAGCTGCATACTCATTCATGCTTAAGCATGACCTCTGATAGAAAGATGCTTAAACTTTCTGATTTCACTTATTGCATTAGCTTTTCCTAACCATTTGAAAAAGGAAACGTATATTTGCATATGTGTAAGTTAGTAGTTGTCTCTCTTAATGTACTTATACTGCCTAAATGCCTAAATAATGCCTAAATCTCTGCTGGTGTATCAAAAATGATTAGTAAAACAGTTTAAAAAAATGCTTTTTCAAGACTAAAATCATTGCCAAATACATTGTTTGTCTTAAATTACTTAAAATGTAATGAGCAAACCTTTACTGCCTGAAACCCAATACTAGTTGGCTCTAGAATTGATTTCATGGATATATTTCTAACATTGGTGGAAGTTTATAGTCATTGTGTCTGTCTATATAAAAGTTGACTTCATATATATTTAAAGCTAACTTATTTGTTTGAGTTGTCCAGTGGATTGGCTCTCTATAACAGCAGGCTCTTCTGGAGCCCCTGCAGCTGTCACTTGCTGATGGATAGCTATTGTCAGAGTTAGCTTCCATCACTTTCTCTAGAGATGAATACATAATTCCACTTGAAATAGGTGGTTGCTATACTAACAGCTGTACAGTATGTCATGACATCGGTGTTTACACGGACGATCATCATTCAGGACTCATGATTCAAGATGTTTATTGTCACTCTAGGTCTATAAGTACAATTGTGTGAAATTATTATGCTAGGAGGCTCCTTTTACAAAGAGCAGGTATTAAATATAAAGACATAAAATGTGCCACCCCAAAAATGTTTTGGAATATTGGGGTATGAGTAGCTCAGTATAGAGTTGATGGTTCAATGTCCAGGTGGCTGAGGCCATACAGTAAAGGTCTGTAAAGGCTGAATCATCACCAGATTGTAGGATTTGGATACAAATAAATTACTTCATTTGATATATGGAGGATTTAATACAAATACATTATATATGTCATTTGCATGAAAGATAGGTCATTATATAATGAAGAAGAAATTTTACTGATGCTTAAGAACCGTGCCAAGTAAAAAAAAAAAAGTTATCTTTTGTGCAGTGTATTAATTTTATTAGAAAAAAAATTGGGGCTAAAAAACATTCTTAGTTTTCCAGAGGTGTACCGTTGAAGCATTGAGCTGAGTTCAGCAATATTATGAAATATAGTTTGCTATTCTATTCTTTGATTTGGGATCCTTTACAGGTTTGTTTTACCTCTTACAGTATGCTTCAATGCAAGGTTTTGATAAAAAGGAAACTGGAGAGATTACTTATACAACTAGATGTATAATCTGATTAAGGAGAGCTTGGTTAGAATATAAAAAAAATAAACTGTCAAAACCTGACCTTCCTTATGATGATGTTCACAGTAAAACAAACAGATGGCACTATACGTTTGACAATGCAGTAGAGATGGTCTTATACAATGACTCCAGCAGGGGGCACAAAGACCTTACATTTAAACATGACATTTCACACAAGCCTGAGAACACAGTTATATTGAACATACCTAATACATTTATAATATTTTGTATGGGAAAAATGATAACCTGTTAATTTTACTTCTGTACTTTTGTTTTGTATTTAGCAGGCTGTTTCAAATACATTTTTGAAACAATAACACACCACTTAGTGTCAGCTGCTACTGCAAGAACACAGAATCCCATCAAAGAGCTGACATCTTGTCTCAAGCCATCTTGCAAATGTGTTCTGGCTGCTCATTTACCTCATTAGCTTTAATAGATCAGTAATTGAAATTCATTAGAAATTCTTGTCAGTGCGCTCCCCCCTTATGTCAGTGGGCTTTCAGCACCTGCTAGAGCTCCATTACCGGGGGTCCTCGCTGGGCCCTTTTCATACCACGGAGTGACAGAGCATTAGTCACTGATATAATCAACCTCAAGACACTGTTTGTCGGTAAAGCTCTTCAAAAACTATTTACTTGATATGCCAGTTTGTGTCTGATCATGCAAGAACTTATCTGCAAGAAAAATGTGAGCACTAATCATATTGCATTCAAGGTGATAAATTACTTGGAAGTGCTAAACAGCTAGGTATTTATACATTTTTACCCACATATTGTTTTTTGATGCTTGGTCTGAGAATGAATTGCTACATGGTTGTGAGGAGCAGAGGAAAAACTTTTTTTGGAAAGCAACTTTCTTCAGCGCGTCTATCAGAGCCAAACCTTCACTTTAGGTGTAATAAGGAAACCGGGTATGTGTTTAAAGAAGTATTATTATTATTATTATTATTATTATTGTTATTATAATTAAAAAAATACATTTATTAAATGCTAGTGCAGAATGCTACGTGCAGTGAGGGTAGACTTTGGGGAAGCAAAGGCTGCCATTATTCTTCTATAATGACTGTTTATTTAGGTTTAAAAGAGGCACAAAAAAATACCATGAGAAAATGTGAGAAAATACAGAGGTTAAACAAAATCCTAACATCCTTCAACATTTATATACCACTTCCTTATTCTATTCACTTTTGCAAAGTACAATAGAGTGAAGAACATGTTTTGCTATTTAAAAAAATGTATAACAGGGTTGTTGTGATTCACTGTCCTCTTTTAAAGCTGGAAATGTATTGTTTTCTACTGAAATTGACTCTTTGGATGTATTTTTCCTTTAATAAGGCTCCTCTCCACTTACTACATTTTTTTGTATTTTCTGTATCGAAAGCCAATATCAGGCCAAAGGCATCGTTTCTCAGTAATCACTTCAGAGTGCAGACATCTCTAAGACCAGAGCATGGCACAGACTGGCCCTAAAATACATCTAACACTTTAATGGGCAGAGGCTGCGGCCGGGCCCTGAAATATAGCTCTGACACCAGTCCTGTAAATGGCTGGCCTCTGCTGCCTCTTTCATTCTAGAGAATTAGTCCTTTTTCGCAGGTGCTGTTAAATACCAGCTGTCTTCAACAGGTTTGGGTCCAGGAGAAAAAGGGCTATTTGATTGACAAATTATTTGTCTTATTTTAGATTAAGTCACTTAACCTGAATCAATTTAATAGAAGGTGGAAATTTCAGTTGCAGAATTCAGGAATTTTATTGTGATTTTACAAGTGATCTATATCCTTGAAGGCATAAATCAATCCATGGTAATAAGCAACAACTCAGAAAGGGGGCAATAGGGTGAAGAAAAAAAATACCATTATTTGTGAATTGAAAAATAAGTGGGCCTATGTTTTTGTGCTTTGAATGCTAAACTTCTCCTGTCGGGAGGAAAATTACATAAAAAAAACTTCAGAAGAATTTTAAATGTGCCTGACAAATTGTGATTACAATTTTTAAGGAATAACTTGATATTGACTCTTAGGCATAGTCTTTTGAACACATATTTGCTCATTTTGCTTAAAGTGTCATTTGTTCACTTTGTTAACTGATGGAGTTCCTCAGGGTGAGAACCTTCTTAATTACACTCAGTGATGGACCCCCACTTAATAATAAAATCCCCTTCCCATGGTGCAGTGTTTACGGATGTGTTTGCCATTAACTGTTGTCAGATGAGAAGAAAAAAAGAAAGCCTAGTGCACTGCCAGGTTTTTTTTTCTTGTAGTTTTGCTCGAATGATCAAAGTCAGTCTTTTTTGAACCCGTCTGATAGATAGCATACAAAGTGCTTACTACATTACCTTGTTTCAATTTAAAAAAATACAGAAAAAAATGTTATAAAATATATTTTTTTTAATTGCATGTTTTATTTGTTTATGTTTATGTATTTGTACAAAATGTGTTTTCTAAATACATTTCCTTTACAACTGTGTTGTTTCTGTTTATCTTTAAGTAGTCACTGCATTTGTGGTTTCTATCAGTTTGCTTTAAAGTGTGATTCTGGTAAGGAAAAGGGAATATAAATGTAATGCTTACTTTGTGTCAGGATGAGATGCAGTTGAAATCTGTATAAAACACTTTGTATTCTGGCGTGCAAATGTCCAAAGAAAAGATGTTAAAAATGTAAGATCATTTTTGTAAAACTGACTACTGTTGGTTTTTATGATTTTGTTCAAGGCCATTCAAGATCCTTACCAGTTCAATACTACATAGAGGATAACTACAATTACTGAGGATATATCTGTATGACCTGCAGCTCTGTTGGAGAATACATACAGGACTAGCACTAAAAAGGGAAAATTATACTTGGAATTAATACCAGTAGCGGTGATATCTGTACTTAATCCTTGTCATGACAAAAAGAAAATACGACCGAGCATTTCCCTGCAGATCTGCTATGGCTTTATTATTCTTCAGTGTATTAATCAACTAGTATCTCTTTTTTGCTTTTATTAAAAGACATTTCTGGCTCACATCTACTCATTGGATCCTAAATATCCTCCCTCCCATGGGGATGGGCTTGATTGTGCAATGAAAATGAAGTTGGAAACTTTAGAGCTCTATTTAAAGTACAGGTCCCTTAAGCACACTCTTCATCTTAATAACTTTGATACCCGGGTCCTGTCGCTTGTGTTTCTTACTACACCCATTGGAATGAACTGTTCTTCTTTACTGTGAAATCACTTGGGTTTCTGTTCAAAAAATAGATGTACAGCCCTGGTGAGAACCCAAAGACAATAAAGAAGGTTTCTTGATAATTCAATGCGCATTGAAATAGGAACATTGACTATCACATTAAGGAGCTCTGAGTCACTAAAACTATCAAACTTCTCATAGAGATAAAGGCGATATGAAGAGATTCCCTGCACAAACTACTAAATAGAATCAATGCCATTTTAAATGGAAATCTTAACCACATCTGGTGTCTTTACTAGAGTCCATGTACATTTTGCATATCTTTTCTCGACAATTTGAAAACAAAAAGATGCCAATCCATGAATTCACGTCTTCATTATGGATAAAAGGTAGATTGTTTGCTCATAAAAGCACACAACCAAGTTTTGATTAAATGTGTGTTCATAATAACATTTAGACTTGATGGGATTCCCTTGCATCTAAAAATGTGTGCAGCAGCAAATGGAAATAAATAGTGTATAAAGGAAAGATGTCACTCTACACCTCTACAGTGTTGCTCAGATATTTGTGGTTAGCATTTTTTTTTGTATCAATAAGTTCTCACAGGGTTGATTCCACCAGCAAACCAATACTGGTATTGATGGGTGTCAGATAAAAACCATTATGGCAACCAGCTCTAATTTGTCATCTGAATTGATTTCATTTTATATGATCCATGTACATCCAGTGGAGCACACTACCAGTGAGTGCATTTTACCTTGACTTCATGTGAGAGAGACGTTATTCATCACCAAGAAAATGTCCCTTTTTTCACACCCCAATAAAAAGCAGAGTAATGAAGCTTTGGTAGGTGCTGTCATCCCAACACTGCTTTATAAAGGATGACACAATTATATTTTACCAGCTTGCCAAAAATGCTGACAAGTCCTGGTTCAATAAAACACAATCTGTACTGAGAAAAAGCACGCTTGTTACTTTGCTTTGGAGTCATAGATCATGAACTACAGGGTGCTGGAGCTTTGGAATGCTCCTCAAAGAACATTTTCTCCAAACAATTAAGTCAGAAAAATACTGAGGAGAATAATATTTGGAACAAAGAGTGATGTCCAGTTTTGATCTGGCTCTCTTCTATCTTGTCCAAAAAAAAACCTCTCTTTTTGCAGTATACACAGAGGATATATTGAACTCTACATTTTCCCTTCCCAGAAATGCAGAAACATATGCCTCTGAGCAAACAGAGGCTAACACTGCATTACTGTCAATCAGTCAACTTGGTAAATGTTTGTCTAAGTATGCTGGATGATGTGTTGACAACATAAAAAATGCCTCTGCTTCCTAAACCTAAAATCTAGCATATTCAGAGACAGCAGTAATGATGCAGGCCGCTGACACCCTGCTGCTTGATGCTTACCAGTGGCAGGATATGGCTGCTTGTCTACGTCTTATCAG